TTTTGCCTTTTCCTTGTATCTATGCAGCGCGCAAAACATAAAAATTTTAATATTCAAGAAAACCTTTTGGTTTATAGTTTTAATTTAAACCCACGATCTTGATGGTAAAGTCGATTTCAATACAAATCAAAATGAGTTCAAAAGTGAAAGAATCTTGTTAAATTTGTTAGTGTGAGTGTTTATGGTTTTTTTTTTTGCATTTTTTTGTGTGGAGTTGTCCTGTGTTTGCATAGTTAAGTGTATTCCAGTTTCTGTTATAATTTTTCAAAAGAAATCTCTAAGTGGATTCAGAAACTGTGAGAGAAAACCAATGCTCGGAAAACAAATTAAAATGTCCAAATTTCAAATTTTGATTGGAAATTTTAATTCTTTTCAAAACAGATTCGGATTTCTGTTTCCAAAATAATTAAATTTTCTTTTTATCACTAAAAAATTAATACAAACAGCAACACCCTGAACATGACTAAAATTTCTAATTAAATGTTGAAATTTTAAATCGTTTTCTGAGCATTGGTTTTCTTGCTCAATTTCTGAATTCCGAATAAATGTTAAAATTTCCATTGAAGAGAATCATTCTAAAAATTTAATCAGCTGATATAATATGCCTACTAACCTTAATTTCTTTTATCTAATAATATAATATAATTTTTAGTTTTTTATACATTTAATCATTTAAATATTTCTTGACCACTAAAGGAGCTCAGTCAAAATATGAATCAAATTTCGATTGAAATTTGAAAAGTTAAAAAAAATCCATAAGATTTGAAGCTATGAAAAGCTAAACAAATGAAATTATCTCCAGTTAATTAAATTCTGCTTCTGCTTGGCTGTACATAATCGTTTAGTGCTATATATGCGATTATACTGCGCCAAATTAATTACGCGCCCCACCGTCGCCGCAGCGAAAGCCAAAGTTTCAATTTGCGCGATCCGTCGCATCAATTAGCATACGTAATTCGGCGTGCATTATATAATCGGCGGCGGCTCGGTGACGTTCAATCCCGTCCGTTGGCACGGGACTAACTTTCCCTAATCCTCGCGGTAATAATCCCGATTCCGGCCGAACCCAGTCGGGGGTGCGGCGGCGGCTCGAGAGGGGTGCAGGGGTCACTTTGTATTCAGCGCGACGCACGCAGTTGATTCAGCCTGCTCGATTCCCACCCTCGCACAATAATTATACATACAGAGAGCGAGCGAAACACACAAGCTCGTTTGTGAAATTTCACGAGGGGCGAATTGGCGAGCCGGTCTGGCCAGGGATAATTCGTTTAAACCCGGCGTGCGAAGAGACGCCGGTGTCAAGCCACCGGAATGGACGGAAAAAATGGGCCGGTGCAAAACAAAAACACGGGTGCCGATAAAGGGAAGATGGAAAGGGTGTCGGGTTTCGAGGGGGAGTAGCGCGGCGGCGGCGGCGGCGTCGTGGGGCTTGAAATTGCACACTTGAGCGGCAGTCACTGCGGCTGTGTGATAACAGATCAGGCGGAGCGCGCGCCAGACTGCTCGCCTGCCCTGCTGCTGTTGTGTCTACAGCACCCGAGAGCAAGAAGACGAACGTGCAGCTGCACTCATTAATTGAGACACAGCGCAAGCAAAGTACATTCGTGGGGCTGTCGCGGTTTCTGCTCGGGATTGCTTCCTTCCTACCGTCTCACAATGCCATGAGTTGCACAAAATTGCGGAATAATTCAAGTTTCAAAGTTTTATAAAATCAACCGCATTTTCAAGAGTTTCAATTTTTTTATTATAAAGAAATAAAAATAAAAGTTGATAAAAGGCGATTGAATATTTTGCAAGTACTGATGCAATTTAATTTGATATTTAAAGGTGAATTAATTTTCACTCTGTATAATTGCAATATTTATTTCCGCAAGTTTTAAAACAATACTTTCTCGTTGTGTATTGTTTTTAATATTGATTCTGACTTCATATTAATTCATAAATTATAGTTTCTGGACAGTTAATTTTAATAATAGTTGCGAATTTATAAGGTATACAACAACTGCTCAGTCAGCTTGATTGACTTTAAAATTGAGAATTAATTAAACTCAAAACCTTCAAAGGTACATTTGTCGCAGGCGTGTTATTTACCTGGGTAGTAGAAGAGCGACGAGGGAGAGGGCGCCGCCGTGGGGGACGGCAGGTGCCCTGCGTGCTGGGGGTGGCCTCCGCCGCCGCCGCCTCCACCGTTGGTGACCCCGAGGAGGTGCTGGTAGTGCGCCGCCGGGGGCGCGTGGTGGTGCGGCAAAAGGGGCAGCGGAGGGGGTGGAGGCAGCGGTCCGCCCGCAGAGTGGTGGTAGCTGCGGCGGTATTCCATCCCCCGCACCAGGCTCACCCTTGTTCTGGCCGTAGTCGCTCTCTCGGTGAAGCTCCTACGTGTACTCGCTGCTAGGGGTGCACCATTTTCACTGGTCAAAAGCGACGAGGCTGCGGCGAGGATCGCGCGCGAATCGATCGCACCGACGATGTTGCACCCTGGCACATGCTCCGCAGGTCGCTTTGGCTCTCGGGGGCGGCGCTCGGGGGCGGCGATGCAGGCGAACGTGCGACGGCTCTCGCTCTCTCGAGTACTAACGCGGCGCGGGCGACCCACCGACTATGGCTTGTGAAGAGACCGACCGACCGACGGGACTGCCACCTGGAGGGGCGGACGGCGGCTCGCTTTGGGGTGAAGCGGCTGGCAGCCAGTCAAGCAACCCTTATGTAAACTATACGGCGAGGTTGCCAAACTCCACCCCACCGACAAAAAATCAATGCTAAAAAGCTGCTTTTAACAGGGGCAGGGTGAGAATGTGGCGAAAAGAACAAGCCCGCTCTGCTCATCCTCTCTCCGCACGTATCTCTCTTAGCGCCGCTTGTACGTTTCGGCACACGCTCGAGTCTTCGACTCTGGGGTCGTTTTAAACATGATCCTGACAGTCACTTCCTTCAACGTGAAGTTGACAAGTTGTCTCAACATGGCCATTATGTATTCATAGATGTTTTTAAATTCAAAATTTAAGCACATTGTAACTGAAAATATTTACTATTATTGTAGTTTATTTTTCTACATTGTTTACATTCAATTGTTGAAAACAATTCAATTTATTTAAAAAAAGTATTGATTGATTACTTTTTTTAATTATTAAAACATGGAATAAATTTATTTAAAAATCATGTTCGATAAAAAAATCTAATTTGGTATCCTTGTCTAAATTCAGATTGAAATATATTTTGTTTTATTTATAGATTATTTGTTTGCCTTTTTAACCACGGGTGACTTTTCTTGGTTGTACCAAGACGTTAGTTTGATTGTCTCTAATAAAATTTATGTTGCATCTTGCTTTTGATTGATAAGTTGAAGTAATAAATTCAAGCAGACAAATTTTCTTATTAAAATCAATTATATCTTATGGATTTTACTTGCGTAAAATTGTGAAAAATTATACTGTTTACATTAAATGTCATGTCAGCTCATAAAAAATTGAATTTTGTAATCTTTGAGCACACAGTTTGTATACATCAGTATTCATTTCTGACTTTTAAATAATCTTGTAAAAATTATTATTTTTTTAAAAACATTTTCATGATTCGCCGTTATTTGTTAGAAAATCTTCAGAAAATCTGTTTTCAAAAATCGGATTTTTTTGTTTTTAGTTCTGATATCAGTAAAATATAAATATCTGAAAATAATACTAAATCAAAATAAAGAAACATTGGTTTTTCACATTTAATATGTCTATACTTAGATTGAATGAGAGTAAAAATTCAAACGTCTGTGAAGTTTTCAGATATTTTCTTTCTCAGCGCCTAGCCTTTCTAATTGTAAGGTCGACACACTAAATTGCCACAGCCGACAAAGTTAACTGCTCTTTTAAATCTTCACTAATAATTAAAATAAAAATTAATTGCGAAAAAAAATTACAAACCCTTCTTTCTGGTATTCTTTTATGAAAGCATATCTCTTGGAAGAGAATTCTCGGAGACTACAATTTATTTTATGGATTAATTATGAGGCAAATGACGTTGCTCTATTAATGGCGATTTTTGGTGCGAGTGCATTTCGGTAAGGGTCATTGGTCAATGCAGCTCAATGCTCCGCCAATAACCCTTATCAGCTTGCAATCTTCAACGGGGCAATGAATTATTTTCTGACTAATAATTTTCAGTATAATGCTCATTACTGACAAATAAATTTAGGACAAATATACATAAATGCGTTTCCGATACATAAAAACTGTTGTTCTGATAAATTATATCTGATGAATATTTTCGAGCAAAAATTTTGGATGTCTTCTTTTTATAAATAAAGGTTTCCCATTTCAATTGTTATCACAAAGCATCGTGATTTGTGACAGTTAGTAAGATTAATTAGCATATTTTTCTGAGAATTATAAAACTCATAAAACAATTATCGATTATGAATATAAATCAGCTCACGAGCTCGGAATTCTTTAATCCCTTCTTCATTTGACAACGCCGGTATCTATTGAGCGGCTTGGCGAACATCGCGCCGGTGTTCATGCTCAACGTTCATGCAATTTCAAAAGTGATTGATTAAAAGCTCGGGCTGATTGACGCCCGATAACAAGAGAGGCGCGTCTCTCACTCACCGCGCCGTAATGACAAATTAATAAATTGGGAGCGATGCACGTACGGGTAAACACGAGATGCATACAAATATGGACAGGCAGGCACTCAGCGTGTGAAGCAGGCGCAGTGGATTAGCCGCGGCCAATAATCTGGTGCACCAGAGTTCACTCTCTGGTGCTATCATTTTGATGCCTCGCCAAACATGGCAGGGCAGATAAAGGGCGAGCAGCAAACCAGTTTTTTCTCTCTCTCTCTCTTGATTTTATCACCAAGAAATCGCGTTCGGAATTTGTATGCAAGCGGCGAGTTACACATCAATCGAATGAAAAAAATAACCCAACCAGTCAACCCGCTTTTTATCTCTCTCATATTTCCAGAAAGATTTGCTGCTGTCGAGGGAGAGGGTGAAAAATAGCAATTCCTCTTACCTTGGTGTGCTGCTCCTGGCGATGGCGCTTCCCCTCGATCAGGTCGAGATCCAGTTTTGCGCTGTTCTTGCTTGTTGTTGCAGTTTTTCCTGCTTCCTCTCTCCGACGTTCTCGACAGCCCACCAGAGGCAGGAACCTGAGCAGAAATTTTGTTTAAATTTTTATTGCACCGGCCAAAAAATAAATATTTAATTTAAACAAGCTTTGTGACCTTTAAAACTCCAGTATAAAAATAAAGGTCAAGCTAAAAAAAAACTGAATCTAATTTTTTTAAAGGCAAATCAAAACCTATAGATAATTTACCAAAATTCCATAAAGATTGATTTTACGAAATAACTCTACACACAAAAATTATGAAAAATCACTCTTAACTAAAAAATTAACAAGATTAATTTTAAAATCTATTTTGTTTCCATTTACAAATAATGCCATAGTAAAAGCCTAGCCAGGTCAATAAATTTACAGCTTCAAAATTAAATTATTCGAAATGTTTTAGATTTTAATTTCAATTCTTTTTTTATTAATAATTTATCTAATTTTTATTTCGTATAACGTTCAGGAAGAATCTTTGCTTCAAAATTCCACATTCCCTTCTCACATTAAATATTTGCTTTCGAAATTAATCTACAATCAGTCCCTGTGGTCGTCACTCGGGGACGGATCTTTTCCCACCCGCACTTTAGTGTTTTGTTGCTTCATGTCATAAACTCACCAATTTTTCAGATCTCTCTCCTGACGGCAATCGCGCCACGGCCGCCTCAGGACTGTCCTCTGGGGGCGGCGGCTGCGAAATCCAATTGTACTCGCGCTTCTCAACGGGCAGACCCCATCTCTCATACTCGTGTGACTGCGTCCTGAGGGTTTCGTAACAGTCTAGGCACACAACAGCAAAGTCGCCGTTTTCCAGCAGTAGGCTATCCGGCTGTCTATGGTAACGTAGGAAAGGAAAGTCCTGCAAAATAAAGAGCACACGATGGGTGCATCGTTAATTCACTTTCTCCTCAACAAACACAACGGTAAAAAGTAGAGTGCAATTGTGCAGCACTCTTTGATTTAAAAAATAAGCTCTTTATAATAAATTATAAATAAAATAATGAGAATAAAATAAATTCAACAGACAAAAACTGCAGTTTTATAATGTGTTACCGAATCAAAATAAATTGACATAACTTTTGCAATCAATCTATTATTATTGCATAATATTAAAATATTACGTTCAAATGTAATATTAAATATAAATTCATTTTAAATTTTGACGTATCTTTAAAAAAAAAAATATGTAAAAAAATTGTAAATATTGATTCCTCACTTACAATCATTAAATATACAATTTTTTTTTTTACATTAATTTGCCATCAGAAATTAAATTATTATCGACTTTTTCTTTTTATAATTGAGAAGTTTATAATATACCTTGACTGGTAAGGCGCGAACCCTCTTTCTGTAGGTCATGATGCCGCAAACGTAGCATCGGTAGTCGTGAGTATTGTACGTCCGGTGGTGCGGGTCGGTGGGCCGCTCGGCGCCCTCGTAAGCCCGCCACTGCGCGATCATGGTGTGGTAGCAAAAGGTGCAGACGAGGGCCGAGCCGTCCTCCTTGAGCTGCTCTGCGTTGGCTGGCGAGTTGTGCTGCAGCAGGGACGGAAAGAAGGGCGCGTTTCGACCCTGGGGGTGGCTGTACAACACCCTGGCAAAGGTAAAGTCCGAGTGGAGGCCGCACAAAAAGCAGTAAATGGAACTGCTGGCGGTGCGGTAGTTGGGGCCGGCGGGTTCGAGGGTGGGCGCCGGCGACCCCGGGGGCGGCATTTGCCGCCCCGGCGACCTCGTTCGCGCCACATACGCCAGCGGCGGCGTCTTGGCGTGCGGCGGACACGGCGACACCCCTCTGGACGCGTACCCGCTCCTGGAATTTGAGTCCTGCTGCGGGACGCTGGGCGCAGGACTCGGAGCCGGACTGCTCCGTGCGGAGCCTGGACGTCCCGAGCTGGCCCTCGTGGACGGCGGCCGCGTCACCATGGCCGTCGGGATGTCGTAGAAACGCTGCTCTAGAGGAACTCGGTCGTTTTCGTAGCTCTCCCACTGCAGGGTGAGGTGGTTGACGCACAGCGAACACGCCAGCACGCGGCCGTGCGAGTCCATGCACGAGTTTTCCGACGCCCTGGCCACCCCCCGCAGACAGGGAAAGTGCATCGCGTGGCTGTTCATGCCCTCCGAGCAGGTGGAGAGCCACTTCATGTGGTCTTTAGGAAAGGGCTGTTGGCAGATGTAGCAGTGATAGTTTTGTCCGTCCTGCCCGGAACTGTCTTGGCGTTGAAACGACTCGGGCTGCGGAGTTGGTTTGCGTCTCTGCGGGTCCTTCTTAAGGTCGTACGGCCGGAAACGGATGTCCGAGGACGTGGACGAGGCCGTCTCGCTGGGCTTCTCGGCGGGACGTTCGCCGCCAAAGACTTCGTGCTTCTGAGGAACAGATTTGTAACAAATTGAACAAACCTGGACCATGCCCTGAGGGGATATCGGACTTGCTCCAGGCGGAGGTTTGATGTTGCATATGAACGGAAAGTAGGATTCGTTTTCGGGGTTCGGACAGCAGTAGAGCAGTCGGAGGGAAGACGACGGATACTCGAGGGCGCACGTGTAGCAGATGAAGGTGGTGGTGTCCAGGGCGGGCGTGTGTCTCTTCCTGAGCATGTAATTGCGCTCGGTGTGAGGAACCGACTTGCTCTGGTAGGTGTGCCACTGCTGCACAAGGTGTCTGTGGCAAGCCTCGCACGCCTGGACGCGCCCCCCAGGGTCCATGGGCCTCGACTTGCTTGGTCGAGGGTGCAGCATTAAACTGGGGTAGAAAGGGCAGCCGGCGATGGGTTTTGCGTAGATGTTGTTCAGAGAGCCCTTTTTGTACTCGTCCCCGCACACGTAGCAGACTTCGGTGGTGGCGTTTTTGTCCGGCATGCTGAGGTCGAGGATTCCGGGGCCCTCTTGGGCTGGGGTCACTGGCTGGGGCGGCTGAGTGTTGTAGGCCACCAGCCCGAGGTCTGAGTTTCGACTCGAGGAATCTCGCGAGTTCCTCAAATCGAGGGCGGCGTCGTCGTTTTTGGGTTGGTGGTTGTTGGTCGGCGGAACGCTCGGAGGGGCAGTGGGCACCGAGGGCGGGTCTCTGGAGCCCCTGGGCTGATCGTTCTGCTGGAGGCCCAGGACCTGTGCGGCGTATTCGCCCTGCATGATCATTTCGGCGCCGGTGAAGGGTCCGTTGTCGACGCGTTTCAGCCAGTAGAGGCGTTTGGTGTGCGGCGTCTTTTCCCGCTCGTGGCAGTCCCACTGCTGCATGAGGAACGAGTAGCAGAGGAAGCAGGCCCGGACGGTGCCCTCAGAGCCGGACGGGCCCTCGCTGCCAGCAGGGGGCTCGTGGCTCTCGAGGAAGGGAAAGTAGGGCTCCGATTCGTGCGGCTTGGACCGAAGAGGGTACTCGGCGGTGCCGTTGTTGCCGCACACAAAGCAAACGGCCGCCCTGCTTGCCAGCGGCTGGAACATTGCCTCGCTCGAGTCCTTCTTGATATACATGTCCATGCTGTGCACACACTAACTGCCGCTAACAAACGCACTGACGCTCATCAGGAGGAGGAACTTGACGCACTGCTCGAACCAGATGCCGCCGGTGACTAGACCTGCTGCTGCTGCTCCTTCCCGAGACATTTTGTTGGCATCTCGCCTCTGAAATACAAAACGAAATCAATAAAAATGCTTCAAAATTTTCTGATAATAAAAACAAAAGAAATGTCGGACCAGATCAAGTTAACATAACAACCGAATCGCCGTGGTAAGCAAATTCAGCAAATTGGAGCTCTCAAACCGATTTGACTCGCAAATATTTTCCACGCGAATTGAGCTCAAAATGCAAATGGGATAAACAAGAGCAATATTGTCTCCAGCCATGAATTTATACACATTGAAGAAAGAGTAAGCAGGGCTAGTCGACGAGTGACCGCTTTTTTCGAAAGAGATGCAGGCGATTGGAACTAAAAAGCCCTTTTCGGCCGCCACCTCGGACGCGCCTAAGGAGGCGTCCGGACAAGCCGAAGACGACGGGGGCCCTGCCGAGGGCCGTGGAAAGCGAATCGAGAGCAATATGGCAAACAAACACACCACTTTCGACACTACTTTCTCGTCGTTATCTAAACCAAACCAAACTTGATCCATCCAGCACCTGCCAACGCCGATGTGGCGCCGCCAACGCGGCGCCAGTCGGCCCGACAAGCAAATTACCTGATTCAAAGGAGGACCGGAAAATTTTCAAAGGGGCTGGCGAGGGATTAAATAGTGAAAGCAGAACCAATTCCACTTCCAACGAGCCGTAGTTGAGTGAATACGTCCATACATCAGCATGTCGCCATGATGAAACTCACGTCTGAAGTGGCCAAATGCTTCAGATTCGCGCCCAGAGGTGGCGTCGCAAGTCCACGTTTGCACCTGGGTGAAAGTGCTCGACCGCACCGAAATTGCATTTTGGCGCGCATGGCCGCGTGCCTAGCTTATATGATCAGCAATACACAATACTATTTCGGCTTTTTTTGCTAATTTATTCAAAGATATATGTTAGAAATTTTATGATAACACGCAAACTTGTACGACTATTAATTTTTATTTTCAGAAATTAATTTATTTAATTGTTTTAAATTAATTTCATATTTCTTTCAATTTTCCGCTCTAAATGTTATTTCTGAGCAATGTATAATTATAACTTCCGTGAGTACATTTGCATTGCTTTTTTTATCAAGTAAAATAAATATTTATCTCAATTAGATCTCCTTATATTCCTCCACCCATCCCTGGCCGTAAGTGGTCAATAAGGATTAATATTAAAGCAAGTTGAAGTTTTATTAAATAACTGTGGTTTTAAAATAACTTACTTCCTTTAATGTGCTTATGATATTAAAAAAAATTGAGCCAAAAAGAACACCTGTCTGCTTTGAATGTGAACTATGTTTACTATTGCGACGTGAGCAAAAACTTTGCAGGAAGCAGGAACACCCAAAGGTTTGCATCACATATGGCCGACTGGACCCTTCTTTGACCTATAACATAGCTCCATCATTCCAGGCCCTGATTTTCCAACCTGCTCAGTTTTTTTTTTTTTAAATATACAAATTCCACAAGTCATTTTTTTTCAATAGAGTAAGTTATTTGCTAGAGAAAAATGATTTTTTATCAAGAAAATGTGATTTCAAAGTTGAAAGTCAGATAGTACAGTATTTCTACCAATTATTTCACCATTTATTTATCTTTATTGTACAGCAAATTTATCACAGCCACTTTCATCAATCATATAATTATTGAAAATTACATACACTAATTGAAACCTGAGCAAAATTTATACTATCTGCGATATGGGAAAAATCAGTTATTTACTGCTTCTAAAATTGACAATATAATAAGGGGAATTAATGGGGAACATATTGATAAAGTGAAAATAACATTTTCGTTCTGCTGCATACAACGAGGTTGAGACGAAATACTGAACATTGATTGCGTCCTTAAGTTGCTATTACTTTTTTCTTCTAAAAATTGCACAAAAGTTTTGATTGCATCTTTGTTGCACACAAAATCACGTTTTTTTTTTTTTTAAATATTTCACAAGATTGGCACCTGCGACGGTCTCACTCTAAGTTGGGATGGAAGGTAAATTGGGGTAACCTCGGTGATGTCCGCTCTGCACAAAGGACACCTGTCGCAGCGAGAGGCGCATTCAATGCATGATATGGCATGTCGGCAAGGGAAAAATGCAGTGTCGATATTCTTGTCCATGCAAATGCAGCAAAGGATTGCATCCAAGATTTCAGAGAGTTGATCTCGAGAAGCCTGAAAAAAAAATTATTAATTTGTTAATAACGATTGAATCAATCAATGCTTTTTCTTTTTCAATTTTTCTTGTAAGTGTTGCCAGCTTTTAATTAAATAGAATAGTTTTATTATCATTTTTCTCACCTTGCATTCACTGCTTTTGCACTCCTCTTCAAGACAAGAGCCAGGGTTGGAGCAAGTAACTTGGGCTTTACTGCTTCCTTCTAAATCTGGTTCTTGGAGCTCCACATTAGGCATTTCTCCACTCAGATAAAGGGCCCTCCTGGCATTGTCGTAAACTTCGCGACAGGTGCGGCGGATGTCGAACACATATTTCTTCCCCAATGAAGTGTCTTCGTTGAAGATTGATACAATAGTACCCTGTTAAAAAAAATAAACCATCATTAAAGACATAATAATATCAAAGTTCAAGATCTAGTATAGATTATTATTTTAATTAAAATATTTATGATCAACGAGCACAGTTAGAATTGTGAGAATTTCTAAACCACCTTGAGATCTCTGATGAACTGTGAGGTGACTGCACTGCGAACGGTCTCGCAACTATAGAAGGCGTGTTTCTCGGTGATGCACCGGTACAGGCCAGTGGCCGCCTGGGAGGAGTCCAGCTTGAGCTCCAGTCTAGCCACGGAGGCGCCGGCGCCTTCCAAGTGGTACACGTGAAGTGAGCGCCTCATCGAAGAAGCGCGTTGTATTGCTGTGTACGGAATGCTGCGAGATAAACAGATATTAGTAAGCACTTTTCATTAGTGAGTCAATTAGCTACTTATTGGCTTGGCCGGTTTCAACGTCAACAAGGCTGACTCCGTGCGGACCGACGCCTACGATTTTTCCCAGTCCGACGCGCGTCTTGGCGCCAAACAGTTCTTGGCCAAATGTTTCGAAGTTGCTGACCTCCTTCAGCAACCAGTACTCGGCGGCGCTTTGTTTCATGCCCTGTGCGAACATAAATATTATTTGGATCAATCTCGTGATGCGCAGTAGTATTAATAATCATAAATATGTGTCAAATGAAAAACAAAACAAGTCAGGATGACAAAAACTTCGCAGAGGGGCCAAAGATTTAAATCAACAAAAAGTCTTCAGTTTGACGCATCAGGTTATAATTAAATAGAATTTGCCCAATCAATAAGGTTTTATAATTGTAACTTAAATAATTGCCCAACATATAATTTGTTAAACTAAGCTTTAAATTACAAAAAAAAATTTATTTAAATTATTCAGACCCATATGAAAAGATAAGGAGGTTTTCATTTTAAAATATTTTTGCTTGATGCAATCATCATAATTATAATAACCTGTAATTTGGCTCTCTCCATCGCAACTCGCTGGTAGAGATCAGAAGGCGCGCCAGCGCAAAGGCACATCAGCGACGAGGGTATTTCTTCCTCCGAGGCCTCTGCTTGAGCCACCAGAGCGATTACTCTGGCCATTGTCTCGCAGTCGGGCACTTTGAGCCGGTTCTCCAGCAACTCCAAGCGGGCGTGCAGGAAGAATTGGTGCCTGAAACAAAATTAAATTCCTCGTGTAGAAATTGCGTAAAAACAAGTTTTGCGATTATCAAGTTCAAGTTCACGGCTTGGTTGTTGACGCGGCAGCTAGACAACCTATAGTTCCTAAATTAATCAGCTAAAACGAGTGAGCAGGTTGTTAGCCAACACTTAAAGCCATGTGCATTGGCGAGTCGGAGAAAGGGAAAGCGAAATTCCCTTCATCATGGTCATTTGAAAAAGCGTATAAACAACTCAAATTGGGTTACCATCGTTGGCCACTATATGGACTGCATTGTTACGCGGTGGTCGTGTTTCTCATAATAATAAGTATTGATGTTGACTGAGCTTTATTAAAATGAAGAAAGAAATAATAGAATTGCGCATTCTATCTATTTATGTCAACGGATCGGCGTAATTTTTTTTTAATTTCAATTATAAAAATTGAAATTCTGAACAGAAAAGCAATGATTTAAATAATAGTTAAATTGATCAATTAAATTATGTGATGATTAAATCAGAATATTTATTAAGAAATTCAATTATTTTCAGTATTTTTTTTTCAATTTTAACTTTTTTTTAGTCGGAACAGAACGACATGAATTTTTCCTTTCAACCTTTGTTTCCTCAGATCCAATTAGAATCTCGTTTGTAATTCAATTTCCATCAAACTCCGTATCTCATGATTTATTTACATTCTACGAAAAAGAAATCATTCGCAGTCAAAAGGTGGAAAATAATTTTGCAATCTACTTTTCGGCTTAATCTTTGAGAAGCCCTACCTATTTTGAGCTTCTCTGTCAGTGCTGATATAAATTAAGCTGCGCAAGTGGACACATAGGTCGCTTATCTTTTACATAAGGGGCACGCGGACCCAGAAAGAGCAGCCGCGTTTGCAAACGTGCCCGGAGGCACGGTCTGTTCCTTCATCCTTGAACTTGAGCAAAGCGCGACTTTTTTTTCGCAGAAAATTTCAATAATTCTCGCAAGTTTTGTTACATAAGTCATTTATATGGTCACACGCAGAGTTCAAGAGCAGAAAAGTGATAAGTCGGGGTCATCAGACCCGGTCGCTTTCCAGAGAACAAAAGGCGATAAGATGCCTATATTTGGCGCTGCGGCGTTCACTTCCTCAATTACTCTGTGGACGAAATTTATTCACCGATGCACAACAAGGCCGAAATATAGAGCTGCGAATTTTGCAATCTAGGTTGCCTCACGCAACGTGCATTGGAGATGAGAATAGCCAAATATAACAAAAGGACGCAGAGGAGATTTTAGTAAATGGAGCATAAACATTGGCGGTGACACCAATATACATTAAATTGAAAATTATTTTCCTTACAGGCAACGAATGACTTTGTAATAATATTGATAAAAATGCTAGGAAGTTGAGAATTGTTAATAATGTTACGATTTAAAACAAAATTAAATAAATTAAAATATATTAAATATTTAAAATTATTTTTACGAAAAATTTTAATTACTTGTATTTTTTAATTAAAAAAACCAGCAGACAAATGATTGATATTAAAATTTAAAAATAATTGTTTACTTAAAAAAATTTGAATGACAATGTTACACAAAAAGTATTTAATTGAAGTGCTGTACATTAATTCATTATCACTACATCATTATTAATAGTAAAAGGGAAAAAAATTATGTTTCTTATCAATATCGGTGTATCAGTTTCAGTTTGCCATTTGACCTGACTTGTAACCTACTCTTTGACCTCTTATATCAGATTCATAAGGGTCAGTAATTATACTGATATATTTTTGTCAATCTTGAAATTTTTATTCAGACCAAAATTTTCAACATTTTTGCAATCTGCGATTCTCTTTGTGGTCTCCCATGCAGTGTCTGGCTGATATTGACTCATCCAATAATTGCATGAGGAAAATAATCCACTTTAAAAGGCGTGCGTCGAGCCAGTGAGAACCAGTTCCGAGAGACGTTGGACTAAAACTGCGACGTCTTGCCAAGTCACCGCGCAAAAAGCCTCGGATCTCTCTCGTCTCGAGAGAGCTGATGCAATTTGGCGAATGCCAAAAAATTCATCGAGTCACATCAAATTGCAAGCGTGATGTAACTATTTACACAAAATTCAAATTATTAACTCTTGCTGCGATGCAACCGACTTGAGACGAGTGCGCGAATTTTCACTTTGTCGCAGCTCACTTTGAGCCAAGGAGAAATAAATAGCCTGTTGCAGTAACAAGCTCAAGTAAGACAGAGCTTGAAGAAGATTGCAAAACGCGTTCTATTAATATAAGTATGCTTTACATAAAAGGAATGATTAAAATGAAAAAGGTTTCCTTTGATTTCACTTCCCTTTAACAACTTAAACGTTTTTCTAGAAAATTCAGAAATTGATTTTTTTACAAAATTGTCCGAAATATTGAAATATTTGAAAACGAAGAAAATTTTTCAAATGTAACCTAATTTTGATCATATTGTTGTTTTACAATTTTTCAGCAATTTAGAAAATGAAATAAAATTTTAATCAGAAAAACTATCAGACACAAATGAAATATATTGACTACTTAGCTTATACTTAAGACAAAATTAAAGGTCTTTTTATTAAGTTCCTAATAATTATTATTTTTAATTTAATAGTGATAAAATTAGTGGCACTATTTCCATCTTATTTAATAGTTTGATTTGGTTAATTATTTATTTTTCAAAAATTTAAGACAATTTCATTTCATAAGTTTCCGCTTATTATTGAATAAAAATTAAAAAAAAAATGAATTAAATCTAACAAAATAGAAAAAATAATGCTCTCATTTAACGCATTTGACGTATTTTAGCTTCATCCTTCATTCTCCTTCAGAAAAAAGGGGGAAGCAAGAAGTATAATATCTATTATTGGCACAAGTAACCGCAACGCTGCGGTTCATTTCATACGCGCTTGGTTTCAGCGCACTGTATAAATATAAAATCCGAGTGTTTGCATGCATGAATCAAGCAAACGAAGGTTGCACTTTTTTTCCCACACGATCACTTTTGTATTGCCGCTGGTGCGCCAAGCAAGAAAAGTGCAATCGCGGACGCGTCTCCGTGCACGTGCGCACCTTATCTCGAATAAGTACTTGGGTCACAGGCACGTATTGAAGAAATAATGCGTAAAGCCGGCAAACAAGGGGCACCTTTGTGTGTGAACGTGTGCGAAACACAAACATCGCATTATTGTTGTTCGTGCAGCGCACCAAGTCTAATAAACAATTAGAAAAGCGAATCGTCCGCGCTGTTTCCTCACCGCAATGCCAAGTAAAAATGATAAGCAAGGATAAGTTATAAGCCACTTTACAAAACCGCAAAATGTGAAGCAAATAATTCAGTATTTTTAAACTAAAAACGTACTTAACTAGTGCTGAAATATTTTTATGGAAAGAAAGCTGGAGAATATAAAGGATTTTTTATTTCATATCAACGCATTAACAACTTTAGAACTTTTAACTTGATTCTTGAGACAATTTTTTTCACTCAAAATTGTAAGTAAAGGACTCATTTATGCCATAGAATTGATATTTGAGAGATTCACCAATAATAAGTATCGTTTTAAATCAATTTGTTGCTTAAAACATGAAAAATCATATCATATTTATGACATCATATCTTTCATATCATAAAAAAGTATTTTAATATATTGCAATACTAATCTTTATTGCTAAAGAAGACAATTTGTGAATTCTTTTGTTCTTCCCCTTATCTAATCTTGTTGCAATAACATTTGAAACTCTAAAAAACAGAACAAATTGCAATAAAAAATATAAAAAGCTATACAGGTTGATTTTTCTCAAACTCAAAAATTGCACTGTTGACTCTACTCTCAACGTTCTAAAACTTTGGCAGTGATTTTAGCACAAAGGTTATTATAAAATAAACCTACTGGGTGTGTATTTATTTAAAATTAAATAGTTAATAATTTATAATTAAATGTCATTACTTTCCTGTTATTAACAATTCAAATATATAAATTTTTTTCCAAATTCCATTGCAGTTTGCACATTTTAACAATAAAAGAAATACCTAGATAAAAATACTGAGATTTGAAATTTAATTATTTTAAAATTAGAAAATAGTGAATGTCATTTCAGTTTTAGGTCGGAGTGAGATCAGACTTTAGGCGAATGAATATTCTAGAAAAACGCACTACATTGGCGGGCACGCGGTTTTTGCGGTTTTAGGTCTTACAGTAAAGAGTAAAAAAAATATATTAAAACTAATGTGGTTTTCCTTTTTAATCATTCCTATAAGGAATAAAAAATAGCTTCTCTTCAATTTAAATTTTTTTCATAAATTATTGAAATTTTTCTGCTATTTATAAAAAGTATAGTTTTGAAAATACTATTTATCAAAAGTCTTTTCATTATTTTTTATTCCTCTGCACTTTTAAATTATTTTAGACGAATTGAGTGGCATGAAAAAAAACTGGAAGCTCAAATAAAAAGTGTAAAATTTCTTACCTGGTGGCATCTTGCAAGATGAGGTGTGGAGGCACCCAAAACTTGACCCTCAGCGCAAACCGATACGGCGGTCCAGCCACTTGGCGGTCGATTTGGTTGCGCAGGTTGAGCCAGAGCTCCTCGCCCTTGGGACTCAGATACTTGAGGCCAAAGTAGTCCTCCTCCTTGCCAATGCCCAAGCTCTGGCACACCTGCAGGCACAGCAAAAAGTACAATCAATAAACCAACAATCAGCAGATGAGTCGCAATTTTAGTTTAATTGAAAATATTCAAAAGTTAACATTAAAACGAGTCGCATGTGGCGCCGCTTCGACCTGCTGCGCAAAACGCGTGCACAAACAGGTACGACTTTTTTATTTGCGAAAAATTATATGGGCCACTGGCCCCATTCCCCTTATGCGAAATCAGCGTTCCGTGCAAAGAGGAAAACAAACTCGGAGGCGAATTGTCGGTCTTTCATTTGGACCGGCGCCAAAATTTATATATTCCGGGGTGGAAAACACCAGCTGCAAGTTTGACACTCTCTCTGTCGTCCCAACAATTTCCTCGTTGTCGTAAATTTTGACAGAGGCCGTTTTTCAGTTCGGATGAAACCTGTTTTCCAGAGCGAAGGTCGCGGCTCTCAGGAATGTTTGTCAAATTAATCAAACACTGAACACTTTTATTTTTTTATAATATGCCATCGCAGAGTTAACATTTTTCAGCTTCTCCCTCTTATCTGTCCTCGCGCACATCACGACTTGACTTCCTGACCGAGGACAAACAAAAGCCTTTATGAAAGTTACGAAAGAAAGAGAGAAGAAAAACGCTTTGAGCTTTATTAATGTGCCAGGTAATAATAAAAGCTATTATTGAAGCTTGATTTGTTCCGTTACGCTTCAGCAATGCTTACAGCAGCCTTAAATGGCTGCGAATGCAATAAAATTTAAAATGAGAAAAAGGAAAGTAACAGCAAAATCAAGTTTGAGCTTATTTAAAATAAACTTGGCAATATATTTAATTTAATGTGAGAAAAATTTAGAACTTTCAGTAACAAATTCCCTCGTCTTTCAGATAAATATACCTACATTTATTTTTGTTTCTTGCCAAAATTTAAAAAAAAAAAAAACCTGTGCAGAAACCGTATTTTGTGCAATACGTTTTGAAAATTTCATGTATAAAAAATTAAAAAAAAACTTCAAAGAAAATACTTTTCAGATTTCTTTTACTTAATTCTTCCAAGTGAGTTCATTGAATTTTAAAGCATATTATGCACCACTTTAGACGTTCAAATTATCTGTGATTGCAGCTTGCGATACTTCTTGCGAACTATGAGTCAGACTTAATAGTAGCACTCGCGGCCTATTGATGATTCCCATAATATTACATCTCGCGTCTCCATCCATCTTTTGACTTGGTGGCTGCATCAGGATGAAAATAAAGAGTTCGTAATTTCGAAAGAAGAGGAAAAGGAAATGCCAGACCGACATCCTTCTTTCTCGGCTATTTATTTTTTGCCGACTGATTGTGAGTAATTAAAACTGCCTGAGAAATGGGGTCGTCATAATAATGATGATTTATAACAATAAAAAAAGCAAAAGGCGCACACTTGGAGTGCGAGTCGATGACACCTCATGTATGCAGTCCCTTCACACAGAGAGACTTTCTAAAGTTTTTTCCCTTTCGTGTGAAAAGACTGATGCGACTTTTTAATAAAAAGAGCAGTGTGATAAATTGAAAATTGCGCAATCGAGAAACTGCTCGACTCAAATGAGAATAAGTTTATTTTCAATTAGAGTTGTAACTTCCAAGTTATATAACTAGCAAAATAAATTTTTAATATCCCTTCAATAGACTACCAGCTAGAAATTTGTTACATTTTAAATTTTTTTATTAAGAAGTAACTTTTTATATTTTAACTTTAAACTAGGGAGGAATTAAGAAGCGAAATGAGTATCAGTTGCAAAAATTCATATTGATAAAAAAAATTGAATTCCGAATTATTTTATATATATTAAATTTTGAATTTTACAAAATAGCGTAAAAGATATCTCAACAATCCTGTTCAAGAAGAAGGATTTAAAAAATTCAAGCGTATAAAAACATTTGCAAAATTTAGATGCATCGAGAGAAGTTCGAACGTGCTCAGAAAGACCAAGCGAGCGGCTTGGAGCATGCGGTGGTGCTCGAACATGCAATCTTAATTGCCTTCCGCTGAAGATCCGCGAGTGAGCAGAGACACCAATCACGCCAAGAGATGCTTCCCCGGGGCCAAAATTACTCGTCTTTCGCGCCCAGCAACAGCGAAAAACAAGCTCCGGAAAACCCCGTGTCAAATAAAAAAGGGTTGAGCAAGCTGCGGGCCACCCACTCTCTCTCACTCGCCAGGGGTAAACAGCCGCGCTCTCTTTGCTTTTCGCCATGCAAGTGAGCTAATTCGAGAGTTCAAGGTGACTCTCGCAAACAAATTAATGGGAGCCGGCAAAGGCAAATAATTAAACGAGTTGTGAAAATTTTCAAATTTTTCTGCTACTACTGACCTTTTCAAGGCACTGCTGGCCCTTGGCCTTGCTGTCCACCTCGACTTCGAGGATGACATTGTTTGGCTGGCTGACCAGACACCACATATTTTCCTAGTGGAAAATTGTTCGGCTCATGCAGAAGTAACAGAAGACCGGGCTTTGAGGGCTTTCTCGGACACCTTCCTCGGGCACTCGAAGTCCATCGAAGGCCGCTGCTGCCACTGGACGGGACGGACCGTGGGCTACGAAGAGGCGATCGGTGGTGCCTGTGTGGCTGTGAGGCTCGCCCGCAGATTTGACATTAGACTTCTTGCGTTGCTCTTCATTCGACGAGGCAGCTTTTGCGACAACTACTGCTGCTGCTGCTTCCACTCGACAGAACCAGCTGGTGCTGGTCGTGCGCTGTTCACGTGCTCAGCAACAAGCCGCCCAATGGGCGCGAGTGGCGGGCGGAGTTCCAAGGCAGGTAACTCATCGCGGCCGGCGTGCGCTGTCTGTGATTCAATGGGGCTCACGAGCGGCCCAAGGCTGCGCGCCCGCACATATATAATGCAAAGATGTATTATTGTGATATAAATATATATTCTGCAGCGAGAGAAAAGATGCTCTGCTCTCTTAGTTATAATTGGCAAAGTAAACTCGATCGTTGCCCAAGCAAATAGCACATCCGACCGAGAGTTAAATTTTTTTCGAATGAAGTTTTGCAAGTTTTTTTTTTGCTGTGTGCATCAGAGCATGTATACATACAAATTGATATTTAACAATATTCACACTCCAAAAATGTAACATTTTAAATTAATTTAATTGCGAAACGCAGTTTTTTTTTATCTCCAAAATTATTTTAAACATTTTTATTGCTCACTCATACATTGTCAAATGAAGTTTGAATTCTATATGTATAACTATATACTATGGCCTCTTAAATTTTTATCTGCCGCCCTATTAGGGTAGTAAAGGGGTCAGAATTTTTACTCGATCCTTCATTTTTAGATTTTTTTTATAATCATAACATATATTGCACTCTATAGCTGACCAATGAGCCAAAGCTCTGTCTGTTAGATATTTTAAATGCTATATGAAGTTTTAAATGAAAAAATAAATAAATAAGGACTACTATAACATACAACTGACTTTTTTGCATTAAAGTGCATTAAAGTTGCTTTAAGTAACACTGTTCTCGGAATATGATTTTTGGTTGTGAGAAATATTTTATTGTATTGATTCATAAGAATAATATATTATGAAATGGGGTAAACAATAATAAGGCAAAAAAATTAATTGAGCAGATCGATACACAAACGTAACTAATCAAATTTTAAAATTAAGTTTTTGACGAATAATAAAAGGGGATTAAATTGCATTATGGGTAACATAAATTTTCACAATTAAATAAAAATTCAAGAAAGTAAAACAAAAATAATAATAAACCTATTGATTGGTGTTTGCTGATAAGGTTGATGGGCCTGAGCGTATTGCTGGGCAGAAAGGGCCTGGTTTTAGTGGAGACAAGTCGAGATCTTTGCACGTCAAGCCAAATTCTTGAAAGCGGCCTTCGAATGTGGACAGCATCTGATTGTGAGCCTTACAGGCTTTGGCGAGTTCAAATTGCAGACGGGAAATAGCAGCTTCTTTCTTCTTCAAAAGATCCTAATAATAATAAAAATAAATAATAAAATTATTGTAACGTAAAAAGGTTAAATAAAAAATTGCTGCAAATAAGCTTAATCAGCTTTAAATTTTGATTATAAAATACACACCTCCAATTTTTTGCAACTGGCCATAGCTTCAGCAGGATCTGCATGGCACGAGGAAAGAATCTGGTTAAGCTGCGCCTCTCGAACCTCGAGTTGGGACGAAATAGTCTTCAGCTTGTGCTCCTGAACCAGACTAACAAGTCCCACGCCTTTGTGCTTCTCAGACTCCAAAAACGCCAGGCGCTCCCTCAGTTTCCTCACTTCCGCCTCCAGATGGTCTCGATGGACTTCCACATCATTGTGCTCTCTTCGAAGATCGTTGTACTTGCGCTGGAGTAACTTATGCCTTTGCCAGGTTTTCTGTGCAGATAAAAGTTAAGCTTCAAATTTTTACACCATGCTATTCTTATATTATACTTCGAGTAATTCCTTGTCCTTCTCGTAATTTGCAAACTGCTTCGAAAATTCCTCCAATTGCAGCTGGGCACTTTTCAAAGGTCCACTTAAGTCCTCAGCCTTAGCTTTTATCAGCTGTTGCTCCAGCCGACTTTCTTTCTTGTGTGCATCAGAAAGCTCCATCTATAAAAATCATATATAAATCAATAAATTTAAAAAATAAAAATAATTAAAATGATAAGTGCCTTCAAGTTAGATATGAGTGCCATGTTGCTGGCAATCACATTCTTGTAATACTCTTTCATATTGTCCAAGGCTTGCTCTTGCTTTAATCGAATGGAGACCATCTCTTGGTCCTTGCTCTGCTCCAGCTGGGCAAGTTCTTTACTGGACCAAAGCCTCAGTTCAGCCCGAACTACATCCAAGCGCTTTTGAGCCTTCTCTTCAAAAATATTTAGTTTCATCTCATGCTCTTCGTTCAACTTAGATAGTTCCTCAGAGTGAGCCTAAGACGAATTTTGTATAACATAATTAAAAATTTAAAGTTCATTAAATCAAACCAATTTTAACTTTCGGATTCTGTCCTGGGCAGAAATTTCATGTTCTTTGAGGAGATGCTGCAGGTCTCTTTTATTCTGCATGAGTTGCTCTTCTCGTTCAATGTACTTGTCTTGTTCAAGTTTCAGCGCAACCATACTCTCTGCTTGGAGCTCTGTCAGTTTGAGTTGCTGTTCGTAGGTGATATTTTGTAAGTGCTGCTTCAGAATCTTTATCTCATTTTGGTGTGCTTCCTCTGCCTCTTCAATTTCCCTGTCTTTGTTCCTGATTAAAAGGTTTTATTAAAGCAAGTAAGCTTCACAATTTAAAATATCAACCTTGATTCTGCAAGTTTCTCCTCTAGCTGCTGACGAGTGATGTCCCAAAATATTTGAATTTTATCCCTTTCGAGCTGAAAGAAGTTTCGCTCCTCACGCTCCCTTTCCATTTCTAACCTCAGACGGTTAGCATGAGCCTCGAGCTGCTCCTTGGTCATCTCCGCTGTTCCGACGCTGTCCACCATACCTGAGGAACCTCCACCCTTCTTTTTACCCCCTTTCCCCTTTTTCTTTGGTGCCTGTACCAAAAATAGGTTTTAGTGGAGCTTAATTATAAAATTTATATTTAGAGTTGGAAAACTCCTTACCATTTTCCTCTAATTTAATATAGCGCAATGAAGTATTTTTCAAAGATTATTGCTTAAGTAGGAAAGTCTAAAAACCTAGGCTCAGAGCATACCACAATTTGTTTGACAACTCTCCATGGTAACGCACACACACGCAGATTAATAAAGACTTAAGAATTCAACAAGTGGCTAAACACAATTTTGATGACGTAAAAAATGAATTATTGATATATTGATTGAAATATTTTTGATAAGTTTGAATTCTGCACGAGAATATATATTTATAGTAATTTATAAACAGGTTTATCTTCTTTGCTTCCCTCCCCTTCCTCCAGCTCTGCCTGGGGACTTTCCACCTCTTCCCCCAGAACTAAATCCTCTTCCTCCGGAACTGCCACCTCGTCCTCCAGGTTTGCCTCCTCTCCCTCCAAAACTGCCACCTCGTCCTCTAGAACTGCCTCCTCTTCCTTCGGGCTTACTCGTGTTCCCAAATTTCTTTCGAGACCTTTCTTCCAATTTCTGCTGCGCATTTGCCCTGCAATTTATTTATATTTTGTTAATTATAATTTAATTAAATAAAATCAATATCAATTTAACTTACACATATCTAGCCTGTTTGACGCCTTTACGACTTGTGTCGGTGAGGTCATTTTCAAACGAGGATGATTTTCTCTTTTTGCCTGTAAATCAAAAATGAATATAGTTATTATCAACACAAGAAAGAAAAATCATTTACCTTTTCCACCCAATTTTCCTTTAGAAAATCCGTTGGAATCGTCAACAGCACTGATGCGTTTTAGCTTTTGGCTCTTCTTTGCCATACGAGCTTGGAGAAGCATTACTTTCTGCAACTCTTTCTCGACTCTGTCATCGGCTGTTTCTTTCTTTTTGCCTCCTTTCTTTGTTTCCTTTGGTTTCTTCTCTTCTACCTCACTATCGTCATCATCATCAGAATCTTTCTTCTTTTTCTTTTGAGGGCCAGGCATCTTCTCTTCAAGCTGCAAGCGCTCTAAAACAATCGAGGTTTATAGTCTGTACTTCAAAAAAACTGAAACAACTCACTCTTTTCTTTTTTGCGTTCATCCTTAGTTTGGAACCAACTCCTTGTTTGTTCGTCAGAAGCCTTATCATTTTTAAGAATTTTCTCTGCTCTGTTAGCTCTGTTTTCAATAAACTCCAGGGTCTTTTCGGCCTTTTCCTCTTTCATAATCTCATCCACGTCCGGCTGAATTTCTGCCACTTTCTTTCTGTACTTGTCCAAGATCTCAGCAGGGATGGTTCTGCTCTTCACTGGGTTCTTTGCTTTCTTGACCACTTCTTTAACAAGCTTTCTCTCTGCCTCACCAGCTAGAGAAACCGAAACTCCTGAGCGTCCAGCACGAGCAGTACGGCCAACTCTGTGAATGTAGTGCTCAAGGGTTGCTGGCATTACAAAATTTATGACCTAAAATAGCAAAGTTCGTTAGATAAATTTATTTAATTTCATTTCGTATTTACCGTCTTCACTCCTCTGATATCCAGACCTCGAGCAGCAACGTCAGTGGCAACAAGAACATCCAACTCTTCATCCTTGAATTTCTTCAGAGCTTCAAGACGCTGAGGCTGTGTTAGATTTCCATGCAATTCTCCAACTTTGACCCCCAGAAGCCCCAGCACAATGTGCAGGTAGTGTGCTTGCTTCTTCGTTTGGACAAAAACCATCACATGGTCACGGAATGTTCGCAAAATCAAAGCAGCAAGAATGGCCTCTCTATCCCCTTCCCTTCCTTCTCGAAGCCTTTAATTTTGGGTTTGAAAAAAATGATTTTATTAAACGATATTTTCAAATTGTACCTAATGAATTCTTGTCGCAAGTTGAGCGCCACTTCTGTGTTGGTATCAACAAAAATCCTGACTGGTTTGTCCAGGGAAACTGCAGCCAAGTCTTCGACAGCTTCAGTCATAGTAGCTGAAAATAGCATTGTCTGACGGGTGCGACTGCACTGCTTAACAATCTCCTTCATCTGTTCAGCAAAATACTCGTCCAGCATCCTAAATAAAAATAAAATTTGGAATGTATCAAAATATAAAATTTAAGTCCAACCTGTCAGCCTCATCCAAAATTAAAATTTCAATGCTGTCTAAAGTGAACGATGGAGTATTTTTCAAGTGGTCAATCAATCGTCCAGGTGTTGCAATAACAACGTCAGGATTTTTCCTGAGCACAGCTTCCTGCAAGTTCAATAATAAGATTTGCAAATAAAAATTATTTTCGAAAACCAAACCTGAGCTTTGACATCCAAACCACCAACAGCCAGTCCGATTTCAACTTGTGTAAACTGGGACAATTGCTTAGACACCTGGTATACTTGGACACCCAACTCTCGAGTAGGAACTAAAACCAGCACTCGTGTAACAGCGGCAGATCCTCTTGGTTTGAAGAGGAGCCTCTCAAGGGTCGGCAACATGTACGCTGCTGTTTTTCCTGTTCCTGTGGCCGCGCAGCCACAAATGTCTCTGCCTAGAAGTCCGACAGGAATTGCTGAAGCTTGAATTGGTGTCGGGTGGACAAAATTCATTGCAGCAATTGCCTAAAAACAAAAGGTTATAACACTTTTAACCTTTCATTCAATAATGCAAATTTACTTTCAGAAGTGGCCGAGATAAGTTCATTTGATAAAACGATGTATGCTCCTCAGTTGTAGGGGCATCCTCAAAAATTTGAAGTTCTGGCTCTACCTTTCTCTTGCCTTTTCTAATTTTCTCTTTGATTGTGTCTGCAAAAAAACGTAAAAATTTGTAAGTGACTTAGACTTCCTTTTTTTTTTTATCAATGTACCTCTCTTGAGATCATCATCAGAAAGAACGTCGCTGTCGTCCTCCTCGTCAACGTTATCATCTTCTTGCTCATTATTTTCTCCTTCTTCGTCATCCTCGTCTTTTATTTCAATTGTGCCATCGGGAGAAGTGACGCTTTTCTTAAACTTCCTCCTCTTCTCGGCAATTTTATCGTCCAATTTGTTTTTAGCTTTCCTTTTCACATACTTAGACACATCGTCCCAAGAATCTTTGTTGTACTCGGACACACTGGACACAAATTTGAATTCTGAATCAAAGTCCAAGTTCTTTGTTTTCCTCTGCTTGCTGGGTTGAAACTATTCAAATGCAAAATTATGTGTGAAACCGTGGTAAACAAAAGTGCCTTTTGAAAATTATATATAATTTTTTTTAAAGAATAATATATTCAATAAAAGGACGCACCTCTTCTTCGTCGTCGGAGTCTTCGGAAAAGTCCGGCACTTCTTGGTCCTCGGTAATGGTTTTGATAATCCCAGTCATGGCTTCAATGTAACTAAGCTCTGCCCCTCTTAATCAAAATTCCATTTACCGCTTCTATAGCAACCAAATTCGATTTTCCAACCTGAAGTCTGAAAATGTTTACAGAATAACGCACGTGGTTTCTATGCTCAGCTGAATCTTGACTGAATCCGACGATGAGCGCCTGCGCATGGGTAAGCTCCTAAGCTCTTTATCACAAAGAAAAAGTGGGAGGTGGGAGCACATTCGGCAAAAGAAGGAGGTAAAAACGTAAAAGTAAACAACGAAGTTTAAAAGGGAGGAACGGGAAAGGAAAGTTTAATAAGAGGTCAAAGCCATTTGACAGACCTCGCAAGTAAGTATAACAAGCTAAATCAAGATTTTACCCCTGATATTCCCTTCAGTGTTCAGAGAGTTGTGTTTAAAGTTTTCCCACAAGAGAGGTCAAAATAGTTATTACACAAAGGTCACCCGCCCCCGCCTTTGCATATATTATTATACAAGATTGGCTTTTTCTTTTTGGATTCGCAATTATTGTAGATGAAAAAATTAATTAATCGGTTTCTGTGGGGCAGTTTTGAAACTTGAAACATTTTTTTTAAATGAATAGTGCCTGAATCTAAAGTACTCGGTTTGCCATTTTTTTTTTATTTTATTTTTTTTTTTAATTCAATAAACCTTTATTTTAATTTGCTCCTATTGCTTTATTACATCAAAACCAGAGGAACATAAATATATGTATCCTAAAGTCAAATTTTTTTCATATTTTGAAACAGAAAAAAATTTCTAAAAATTACAGTAAAGTATTTTTCGAATGAAAAAAATATGGTTATAATCTTTTTAAGACAAAAATTGATGAAAATTATTTTTATTCCTTTATTTTACTCTCGAAGCAAGTTAAAAAGAGACAAGTTATTGCACAACACTTGAACCTTTATCATTTTTGATAAGGCGCGCCTCTCTCGTCTCTCGACGTGTGCACTCCGCACTAAAACAAATGGGGCCGGTCACATAATTAATGTATGTGCGCCTTGGCCGCTTTGCTGATTAATATTTCCAAATATTATATAGAATTGAATAAAACTTCTAACCACTTAATGTCAAAATTATTTTAATTTTAGGACAACTTCAGTTGTGCGAGCACAATTCAAGATTGCTCAATCAAAATGTGCACAAAAATCACTTCCGTCACATGCAAAGACATCCGCTTCCCAACATCTTTGAATGCTCATGGTTCAGATGCTATGGTTAGTATTTTTTGTTTTATATAAATGCAAATATTTTAAGAATAAAAAATCTCCTTAGCACACAGACCCTGATTACTCATGTGCCTACGTAGTTATCGAAACTGGAAGTGGCCACCATGGCTATGGACTGACTTTTACTATAGGCAGAGGGACTGAAATTGGTAAAGTTTTATTTCTTCTAATAATTCTATGTGATTCTATGCAAATTTTTAATCCCTAAATTTACTCTCACAGTTGTTCAGGCCGTCAAATCATTGTCGTACCTTGTCTTGGGCAAAACTACAAGTGAAATTTATGGCAAGTTTGGAAATTTCTGGAGAACGCTGACAAGCGAATCTCAGCTTCGATGGGTATTTAATATAAATAAACTTAATTCGCCAGCAAAATATGAAGTAATATACTAATTAGCTGGGCCCTGAGAAAGGTGTGGTGCACTTGGCAGTAGCGGCAATTGTGAACGCCCTTTGGGACCTTTGGGCTCGGATTGAAAACAAGCCGGTGTGGAAACTGCTTGTGGATTTGACTCCGGAACAACTCCTGTCGACAATTGATTTCAGATACATGTAAAATTTCATTTTTAAATTTCTTCAACTATTTAAATCATGGAACTACAGCACTGATGTTATATCTCAAGAAGAGGCCCTTCAAATTTTGTACAGTATGAGGGACACAACAGCAAAACGAGAAGAGGAGATGAAAACTCATGGATATCCTGCATACACCACTCAAGCTGGTAAATATACTCAAAGAAAAAGTAATAAAAATTAAATATTTTAGTTCCTGGTTAAAGGCTGGCTTGGTTATTCATCCGAGATAGTGACAAAGCAGTGCCTTGATCTGATGCAAAAGGGATTCACCGCTTTCAAAATTAAAGTTGGACAGGACCTCCAGAGTGACATTGAAAGGTGCAGAATTGTTCGCGAAGTAATTGGCGACGATAACATTTTGGTAATAACCAACTTATGCCATGCTATAATATATTAAAAGAAATTGGCAGATGGTTGATGCAAATCAGCGCTGGGAGGTTCAAGAGGCGATCGAATGGACGAAAAATCTTGCCCAGTTCAAACCCTTGTGGATAGAGGAGCCGACATCCCCAGACGACATCCTGGGCCACGCAACTATTGCTAAAGTACCATTATTTATTTTAGTAAACCACTTTTATAAATTAAATTTTTTTTTAATTTTAGGCTCTGAAGTCGGTTAATATCGGCGTTGCGACAGGAGAAATGTGCTGCAACCGAGTCATGTTCAAACAATTTTTGCAAGCAAATGCATTGCAGTTTTGCCAAATTGATTCCTGCCGCGTCGGAGGAATAAATGAGATACTGGCCATCCTTCTCATGGCTCGGAAGTTTAATAGTATTGATTTATGATTTAATTTGCAATGGTTATATTTTTAATATTTTTTCTTGTTGCAGTAAAAGTTTGTCCCCACGCTGGAGGTGTAGGCCTGTGCGAAATGGTGCAACACTTGCAAATTTTTGATTACATTGCAATCACCGGCAGCAAAGACGGGCGCTTCATTGAGCATGTAGCTGAGCAGCATGAGCACTTTGAGGACCCGTGCATTTTGAATGATAAGGCTTGCTACATTGCTCCGTCGGTAAAGAGTTAAAAATTTAAAAATGTCAAAGTGCTAAAGGGCGTAATCTCTCAATTCTAGGCCCCTGGGTACAGCACAAAGTTCAACGAAGATGTTTTGGAAAACTACGAGTTCCCAAGTGGAAAAGTTTGGGTAAAGCTCTTTTCGGAGGGTGTTTTTAAAATTGATTGAAAATAAAGAAACAAATTTTTACTGATATAATAATAAACTTTTGTATTAACTTAAATAGCAAAGAGTCTCAAATCACAATAAAACAAGTCTAATAATTATAGTGTTTACCTCTCGGAACTCACACTTCAGTTAGAAGATGTTAATGTCCTCACTTGCCGAATGGCAGCCACTAGTCTTGGTGAACACCCGGAACTTCCCGTCTGATAGTCTTGAGGTGGCAACTTCAGCAATAGACAAACTTGTTGCAGTGGCTCCGAAAGAGACATTCCAAGATCTTCCAAAACGTTGCCCAAATAGTCTATAAATTATAAAATTTAGATTTATTTCATTTAAAAAAAGTTATAGTAACTGATATCTGTTGCAAGTTGTTTGGTTGCAGCAGGACCAATTTCTTCCAATGTAAGAATTTTTTCACAGTAGGCTTGGCTAATTGTTTTTGCTACAGAATTTAGTAGCAATTCGGCCGCACTGCCTTGGATATCAAGACCTGCCTTGATCAGGCCGATTTTCAAAGACTGGCTGTCCAGGAATGGCTCCAAGTGTTGCGGCAGAATCATCAAATACTGACCAATCTGCATAATTAAATTAGGAAAAATGAAAAATTAAGCCTGTAGTAACATCAAACCTGTGTGATATATTCTTGAGGAGAGAAACTAAAATCTGGCAGGTCAGCAGAGACGCCGGATAGTTTCCAGGTCTTTGCGGCCAAGACGGCTTCAAAGTGAGTGGTGACTGGAGAAAAAATAACTTCCACGGCAGTTTTGTGCGCTTCCGAGCACAAATTAGTACCCTTCCTCAGTGATGGCTCCATTAATGGATCCCCTGCAATACATTTATTTTCATAATTATTCCAATTAAAACTTGTAAAAAAATTCTTAGTAACCTTGGCTGGCCATAGTCATCAGCAGGTGAAAATTTGAGCGACCGTCGGGAGTGAGAAGTAATTCGTCGTGCTGTTCAAAGGGACTAGTGGTGGATGCGGAGACGTGTTTCAAAAACTGTCGCAAGTTATGGCTCAAAAGGTTGTCTAGCTCTTCAAGCTGCACCATGAGTTCACCTGTTAAAATTTTCCAAGTTAATGTTTTTATAAAAATTATACAATAAAAAAATTAGTTTTGGTGTTAAAAAGTAAAAAAAAATAGAAATACATAATATTTTGCATGATTTTGCAGAAAACTGTAGAAATAGCAAAATAATCTCCAAGATTGGTGTGGGAGAAAAAAAAGAAAATTTAAAATTTAAATCCGAAAACTAATTGAGCCACAGGTAGCAAGGGGTACCCTGTACGGCCGACTTTTCAAGGAGATGCAATCCGCGAAGGTGAAAATCACTGGGAAAAAGCAATAGGATTACTGCAGGGAAAAAAAAAGGATTGGAATATTTTAATGAAATACAAGATACTGGCGGCAAAAAGTATTTGGAGAAAAAGAAACAAAAAAGAAATTTTAGAACCATTTTCAAATACCTTCAATTACTCTAGTTCTAATGACAGAAAAAATAAAATTTTAAATATTTAGACTCACCACTTGACTGAAGCATATTCAGACACATTTGAAACAACGTCCAATCCTCTCTGTCGCTCTTTTCTTTTAGCAGATCTTGCAGGACTTGACTTTGCAACGATATGTATTTTTCCACAAAAACCTGGATTAAAAATTTACTCTTTTCAATAATTATGATATAAAACCACCTGAGCACAAACCTCGATAGCTTCCAAAAGCCCAGCAGCTCCACATCCCTCTGTGAGCTTCATGCATCGAGTGACCGCAGGTGACAAGAGGTCCAAGACTTTCGTTTGGTTGAATATTTGAACTCTGTCTGCCAAAGCTTCCGGCTGGGAGAGGGTTGACAAAAGGCGAGGCTTTTCAAGTTCCCCGTAACGTTGGACGGCAATAACCCATGGCGCATTTGTTGCTTGCGCCAAAGCCAAAATCATGTCCGGATCTGGACTACGATCTAAAATGAGCAACATTTTAAAAACTGAATAATTATTATTTTAAATTTTAAATGACCTTGTATCAAGTTGTGAACTGACTCGTTTAGCTTGTTCCCAAAATTTTTTGTCACAAGTCTGAGATCCAGTAAGGATCCTAGGCAGTCCTCGTGGCTCAAAGCTGATCCAACACAAGAGCTGATCGATGGTTCTAAGGCCACTAAGAGATCGGCAAAGAGTGGTAGCAAAATATTCAAGCTAGGCGTATCCGGAAAGATGTTTGAACACCACTTTGCCTGATAAGAGTTTCTATAATGTTAAAGAGCCAATTCCACAAGAAGAAATAATTTACTTGATCATTCCAAGCGACAAGAATTGCGTCATAAATTCTTCTCAAGCACTCGTCTGCCAACTCATCCTGCTCCATTTCGGCCAAGTCTTTCAGTTTTTGGTACAGATTCTTTTCCTGACACTTATGATGATATTTCAGCAGCTGCGGTAGCCTTTCGATCGATTCAAAAACATTAACTAGTCTCTTTGCTTCATCTAAAAAATTGTAAGATTTAATGAATATTTAGATTAATTAAAAATAAAACTAAAAACTTACCAAACGATCCTGCTGTAAATGCTTGAACCAAAGCAGGACTTGCTTTAGCTTCTAGCCTGTTTTTCAAACCTTCCAATTGCAACTGCTTTGCCTCAACGTCTGGCGCATTGGCCAAAATTCGCAGACTTTGCTGCATACTGACCAGCTTTGCAGCCATTGCGTCAAGATTTGACTTCTCAAAGCTCTAGAAATAATAAGAAAAAATTAAAAATAATTTAGTTTTTAACTCTTAGCTTTACCTCTTCGAATTGGGTTACTAGTATTGTCCAATTGTCAGCCTCATGCAAGGCCTGTTTGGCAGCCTGGAGGTCAGTTTTCAATCGGTTGATTTTTTCCAGAGCTGCCATGGAATGCCCTGTATCTTGTTCAGCCTAAACGATTCATTATTTTCAATTTTATTTAAGAAGGTTTTCCGATTTTACCTTTGCTAATTCTTCTTTCACGGAGTGCATTTTGTCTTTCAGCAGAAGAGCCTCCTGATTTAAAAGCTCCGTATCTCTGACGACACGAGGAAAATTTTGCAGAACCTTCGATATAATAAAAAAAAATTAATAGGTATTTAAATTTTTATGATATTATTGAATACTTTTTGACTCGACTCTTCGAGGGCATTGCTAACTTGGTGGGTGTAGACTTGCAGCTTTTTTAGCAGGGCCATAAGAAACTCCTGAAAATTAAAAATTTTAAAATATTTTTCAATTCAAAAGTGACAAACGCCATTGCCGGCAAATTTCAAATTTGCCAATTTTGGCCCACACACCTCCTTATTTTCGTTCGAGTCAGCTGGCGCCGAATTGTACATCTTGTTGATCCATTCGGCCGGATCAAAGTTTTCGTCTCCGAAGGCAGAAACGTCCTGCGAATCAATCCAGAAAGTCAATAACAAAGGTAGAAAATACCATTAACAGGTGCAGTAAAAAAACACAGCCGACCGGTGCGAGTTTCATAGCAAAATTTCTCAAAAAGTTTGTCACTCCACCGTTTTATTTCCGGCGAAACGGTTAAATAAAAATTTAATTCAAGGGCGTGCAGTGCAAATTACCATTGCAGGGCCGCGCTTCGGCAGGAATTGGGCGAAAAGAGGCGAAATTCAGGGCGTCGGCGTGCAATGTTTTGCTGTGTGGTGCGCTGCTGGCGACGTCAACAGCTGGATCGCGAACACGCCACGCCGGCCGCGAATGGGGATAATTTTGAGATTTTGACATTTGGCAACTGCGCGCTGCTGGTCGGGTCGGGCTCGGGAGAAGCAAGAGAGAAGCGAAAGAGCGATTTTCGTGGAAATTTTGTAAATTTCATTTAGATTTGGTTTTACGTGCCGCGAGTGAGCTAGGAGCGCGAATTCGGCTGCGTTTTCGTGTGATCGGTGGCAATTCAAGACGAGGACTATGGTGTTTGCCCGGAACGAGCGTCAAGGTAAATAACACCGGCGGATGAAAAGCTGCCGCTGTGAAATATAATAGGCAAATTTTTGGGGTTTGAATCAAAATTGATTCGTGCGGTGTCCCTTCTTTCCATTTCAATGGCCTCTCCCGCAATTGACGCCGTGCGCCAATCAAAGAAACAAACACGCCCGTGTCCGAACGTGTGTCTCGCAGTGACATTCTTGCGCCGATATAAGTATATCCGCCGATCACAGACTCAGTCGTCGGCCGAACAAACCGCGGCAGCCGAAAATTGCATGCCATAATGGGTGGTTTTGAATTCACAGAATATGGCGTCCGGCGATCCGTCCCGACAGAGCAGGAAGAGGTTGTGTAGGTTTCAGACTTACTGGATTGACACGCAGGATAGTGAGTACGCTAGCTGGCTTTTCCCTGACAAAAGCAACCCCCACAAAGCGCACTGCTCGCTGTGCAACAAGACGTTTAACATTGGTCACGGTGGACTGAACGACGTCAAATTGCACTGCAAGGGCAAAAAACATTTCGAGTTGTACTGCAAGCACCGGATCAGTCTTGGTTTGGAGGTGCCGCAACTCGAGCCCGCCGTCAAGAGCGACTCCTCCGCGGCCCAAGACCCGCCGCCGGACACCCACCCGCCGGACAGCGTGAGTAGATCCCCTGATTGCTTCCTGTCCGGCCGCGGCCGCCGCCGCGCACGTGCATGCTTTGCTCCCTCGGCGTGATCAAAATTGTATTAATTTTCCCAGAGACCTCTCGGTTTGGCCCCTTATCGTGTGCACTGTGACCTTTAATTCTTTCGGCTTTTCATTACAAATTAATTAATTCATTAATGTCAGTTCAGAAAAAGACCAACAGCGAGCAACGTTTTCGGAGTTTGTGCCGGTTTCAAAATTTAACCCCAAGGCCTTCCGAGTCCTTAGGCCACTGACCGAAACTCGGGGCTCATTCTTTCAATAAATTCAGTATTTAACGAAACCAGATTTCTTCAATGTAAGAGCTCAATTTTATATATTATTTATTATATTTATTTATTTATTTAAATTTCTCCAGAGATAGTTTTTTTCCTTTCATTTTTTTTTCTAATTAGCCTTTCGTTTTGTAAAATTTCTTATTTAGAATTAATAATAATAAAATATTATATAATTATAACTAAGCACATTTGTGGAAAATACATAATTATATAATCAGGGCTAAGCGAATTTGACCCCCTTTGCTAGTTAAGAAATGTTTGTGAATTTTTAAATTATTTGCTATTCTTTTCGCTCAAACAGCAGAAATTCAGCTCATTTTGCGTACGGAATTCAGACCCAATTTAAAATTTTAAATTTTAAGACAAAAATTTCATTGCTTTATTTGTTTTTCCTTTGTAAAAACCCTTCTTTAAATTCCCGCTTTCATTGCCTTTTTGTGTTGATTGCCTCATTATCGTTGTGCAGATTAAAGTCAGCATTGAAATCACCTGTTAATTTTAAGCATGCTCGCAATGCGGAGCAAATTAACAAGCCTAATGCTTGGGTGTGTAGTAAAGTACGTCGTATTTTACGTACAGAGAGTGTCGGCTGCGCACACACACACACCGGCTGGTTCATGTGTGTGTGTGTATGACCGAGTGTGTGTGTGAGTGAGTTGTATCATTCACTACCTTCCTCTCTCTCTCTCTCCACAGTAGCATGCGTAATAACACAGGAGCAATGAAAATAAAGAGAGCCGCTCGCGCACATGATGCCGGGCACGCCGCGCTCTTCGTACGTCAAAAAGGGCCTGTTTGCAGTCAAGAGCCGCTTTGCTTTACATGGAAATAATTTCCGTCGCTCGAGTTTTTCATCAAATAAAGCTCTTTCGAATCAGGTTTCTGCTGCTAGTTTCTAAAGCCATCTTGAAATTATTTTATAGCGCTGCGAGAAATTGAAACTCGCGGCCGAGAAAATTAATCGGCTCGCAATCAACGCAGCGGAGCGACGGCAAAACCTGCAGGTTGGTGCCCATTTGCTCACCTCCGGCATTTCTAATTCTTCAATTTGGGTAATTTGCAATTACATCAACGGAGAGTTCTAGGCTTTTTTTGAGAAAAATCGACATTTGTGTTAAAGTTGCTTGTATAAGGCAGTAATTTCTCTCTGTCCTTTGATAACACAAATTAATTGAAAAAAATTAGAAAACAAGGAAGTTATTTGTTAGCGAAGAAAAATTTTATGAAACTGAAATTAATAAGTAAATTAGCTTTAATTAAAATAAATTTGATATTATAGTTTATTAAAATTACAATTAAATTCCTTTTTTTTTTTTGTTAAATAAAAATGATTAAAATATAAAATATAAATCACACTTGTGTCAACAGCTAAAATTTATTGAGAAAAACTACATTTCTGCTTTAAATTAGTAATCAACGTGAAAATTATAATTTCTATAAATACAAGAAAAAGGAGGTTCTTTGAAGCAAATTATGCTTAGAGCTAGGAGGAAAGATAGTTATTTTATATCGTCTTCTATTTTAAATTTTAATTATTTTACGATCCAGTTTCTTGCTCTCCAATTCAGTGCCTCATAATAAATATATTCTGTTATGACCGCGGGACATTGGAAATTCCTGATTCCCCCTCAACGAATTTGCAAAATCGAGGTTTCGAACGTGGCGCAATTCGCGGAAAAGGTGTGACCGACCGCCTTGGTCAACTTCCAATCTGCATGAAACTCGCCGCGCGCACTATTCGGTCGTCACCACTTTTTTTTGGCAAAGAGAAACTCAACTCTCTTTATTCTCACTAAATTTTGCTGAATCGAAATTCAGTCGTCGCCTCCGCGGCCGCAATTACATAATGCGGAAAGAATTTCCTAGCGCCGCTCGTACCTTTTCGTGACTTTGCAGATTTTATTCGAAACGTCGGAGAAATCGGCACACACCGCTAAGTCATTTTTTGCCTATCGCTTTTGAGGTTATTGTTTTTTTATTTTTATTCTTTTTAAATAAAATTTCAGCCCGTGCGTTCCGGCACGTAAACAACAAGTTTTCTCCGCCGTGTTTCGTTAATTAGCCATAAACTGAAAAACGTTTTCACACTGCGGGTCAATATTAAAGGTTTTTTTATATTTTCGACGGAATCCAAATCCGTGGCACGCCACACACTATATAGCTGTTGTTGTTTTCAGAACTGGGGACGGCGGTTGGAAAATATTTATTTTTTCGTTTCCAATAATTGCTTATCTCGGGCTCGCATCGCCTGGCTCGGCGCACACGGTTCGAAAGGGGCCATTTTTTGAGCCGCTCGGCACATCAGGAATTACAAAATTTTCACGCTCCACCGAGCGACGACAATCGGCTTTTTCTCAGGAGCTGCGAGGAGCCGGCTCAGGAAAGAGAAAGAAAGAAAGAAAAGCAGCTCGCCCAGATTTTTCGACACGAGAGCAGCCCCGAAATGGCCGCCCCTTCTTTCTTTCGTTTTAATCAGCGGCGTTTGCGTCTGTGAAATTAATCAAACGGCGGCAATTTGCAGGAAAGAGAGAGAGAGAGAGACGAGGAGCCTCGCCCGCCCGCCTTGATTATATCGGCGGCCGGCCCCCCGTTTCAAGTCATTTGGAAAAGGCGCTCTGCAAATATCGATCGCGGGTGAAAACTTCTTGCTAACTAAATTTCACCAAAGGCGCGCACATCGAATTTCCTCCTCCTCCTCCCGTTCGCTCTTTCTAATACGTCTCGGTAAAAAAAGAAGCGGCGGCGGCGACGAGGCAGCATTATTTTTCATGAATAATTCCGATTGTGTTTGAAAAATTATTTTTCGGCTGCTGGCAGGTGCTTGGTCTTTTTTCCCTCTCCGCCGCCGCTGCTTCTTCGTCTTCTGCAGCAAAAAAAAATCTAATTAGCTGATGACGCGGTGATATTTTTCCTCTCCGAATTTTCTTTTCCCGCTTGCGCTCGATTTCTGGCATTTTCGAGCCGCCCGGGGCCCGCAGCCGCGGATTTATTTTTCTTCCCCCTGCGTTATGTCCGAAAAATGATGCCGCGAACGAATTCAGAGAGAAAGAGAGAGCGACCCCATGTTGTTTGCTCGCGTTTTATTTTACCTGTCGTGCTGGACCGATTCCTGGTATTGTGAGGGGCGCGAAAAGGAAGCGATTTCCTTCAGCAAGCTGTACATTCACACAAAGGCCTCACGTCGCAAGTTTCCCCAATTCAAATTGTCCTGCTTCAAATCGATACGACTGCAGAGAGCTCAAAATTCTCATCTTTATTATTTATTTCCGATTATTTCATTTTAAATTTAAAATTGAAACACATCAATGGCTTTGCCAATGAATGCAAAAAATCACAGTATGTATTGAAAGTCATTATAGTAATTATTTGTTTATTTATTTATTTATTCTCCTTTCAGATACAATGAAATACACAACATTTTACATCAATTCAATACACAAAAATTAATGAGAGATACAATATTGTGTAATTTCAACTTTGTTTCTATTGATCAATTATTATGTTTCATAATGAGCTGCAAAAACTTGAATATTTGAATTTTACAATTTTGAAATTCGCATTTCGCGAGTGGAGAATGAAGCGGTTTTATGAGTGAGCAGTGCGCCCGATTTCCCCCACCGTGGCAAGGGGCTCTCTTTTTTTCACCCTTGAGACAAAGTTTTTCCCCATTTTAAATTGCCCCGTTCCAAATCAATACAGCAGAGCTCAAAAATATCAGTGTTTCCAGCGCCTCCCCGTCTCCCCTCAACTTTGCGCCGGCACGCCAAAATTTTACAATAAAAAAGTTTTCGCCGGCGGCGCCCGGGCGATTTCGGCCAAGTTGGATTGGAGCCGAGCTTTTTAGTAAACGCGGCAGTGCGTCATCGTCGTCGCCGGTATAATCTTGGAGAGCAGTTTGCGATATTGGAAATTTTCGAATCGATCGCTCGGCGGCGCGGGCCAAAAAAAGGAGAGAGACACCGTTTTTGAGGTTTACTCAAGTTCGATGCTCTCCTCCCTCCGTTTTCGCACACAGACTTTGGCTGCAGCAGCGCCGCTGCTAATATTTGAAAATTATTTCGTACCTCGCCAAGTACCGCTAGGCCTACTTTTGATTCTGATGACATGCCACTCGTTCGCGCGCTCATTCATTCTCTACGCTCGTCGTCCCTCACTCAATTTCTAATTATCCGCGCGCATGTAACAAAAGCACCGAATTCCTTCGCGACGACTTTTTGGCATCAATAATGCGGCCGCCGCCGGTTCCCTTTCTTTATTTTTTCACAATTTTATATATTCTCTCCTCTCCAAAACGGACGGGCAGTCGCGAAATAGGGGAATATTTAATATCAAGAGCCTGCGTGATGCTATTTTTGGACTTTAATTGGAGACCAAAGTCGCGGTCCTCGACCCTCCTAAACTGCTGAAAGCTTGCTTATTTAAACACAAACACATTTCTTTTATGCCAGACATAATAATGACAATAATTAATATTTATAATTATCAAAAATTACTCAACACGTTAATGAGCTTCAGAATGAGATTATAATATCTGAAATCATATTTTTAATTTTCAGTATATTAATTTATTAATATTATAATATTTTGTAATTATCATACCCGGACAAAGTCCTGTTGCCCTTTTTTAACAGTAAAGCAGAAGGCGCCATTGAATTTTTAAATGATCTGTATATCAACATCTTTTACTCAAATTTATCATGGACCTGTGGACCTGTTAATTTTTTAACAAAAACTCATTACATCAAGTACAGCCGGCTAAATAGGGATTTTATGCGATTGCTAGGAAGCCCATTTATCAAACAAAGAGTCACTTCTTTATAAAATTTTTTATCGTTGCCCTCTTTTAATCAATAGAAAATTTTCTTATATCTTTAAAAAAAATGATAATTAATGATTAATTTATAATTTTTTTCTTTAAATAGGATGGAATAATAATAATTATTAAGAAGGTTCAATCAAAATACATTTTTTACATCTCTCTCTTGTTCAGGTTACGTTTTTGACGGATCAATTTTTAAGGCAATTTTTAAGCGTGGAGAAAAGCTGCCCCTCCCGGCGCCGTTCGCGGATTTTCAATTTTTTCGCTTGTGTGCGCGGCGCTCCTCCCCCACGTCGTTTTGCCAATTAAGTCGGGGCTAATTCGACGCCGCGGCGCGCTGCCCTTAAGCTCGATTTTACTGGCAGTGGTGCAAATTTGAGCGCTTCGAGCCGGCGCAAAAGTCTGCTTTCGGCGTCTCGGCTATTTTTTGCCCTATTTGCCGCCGCGCGCGAGTCGCGCAGCTTCGATTCAATCGGACCGGGAATATTGGAATTTTCCACGGCTAAGCAAAGCATTGATTCGGAATGTTCTTTCGGGCGAATCGTATAATAAAGTCGCGTCGCCGCTTTTGCCAAGTGCCACCGCCAGCACAGCTCAATTTGCAGCGCACTCGAAAATTCGCAAACTTTTCTTTCTACACATCACGTTATCGACCTTTTTCGCGCCGAGCGCGCCGCACACCGATTTTTTTTTTCGTTTCGGATCCGGCCTTGAGGCGCCCATTTCTTACTTACGCTTAAAAATAGACTTTATCTGTGATGCCGCGCGCGCTCCGACATCCTTTCCGAGATAAAATCCAATTTTTATTTTCGCTGAGAGCCGCGACCTTTGGTTTTCGGCTAGAGGACTTTTCTATAATCTCAACAAGGGCGGCCAAAAACTAAAACGATAGTTGATCTTTTTGTCTTCCAATAAAAAAAACTACATCCGGCTCAATTTTATAAACACAGTTATGTTGTATTTTTTGTTTTTATAATTGAATTTTCCAGATCTGGAAGAGACTCAAACTGAATTTGGGCTCTGCAGAAAATTAATCATTGAACAATATAACGGAGCGAAAAAGTCGTAATGTTTGTTTTTCATGCGCATGCAAAGCAAAATGAAAAATGGGCTCGTTATTCAAATGACTTCCCTTGCTTGACTACTTTGCTCTTATGAATGCCCGTCACGAATTAAGCCTGAAATTTCTATTAGCCTTGATTTCCTTTTTAATAAATAGTCTGTCTTCAAATATTATTCAAAAATATCAGAGTTGATAAAAATATCTCAAAATACTTAAAATACTGTCACTAAAATTAATTGTTGAAACTTTTAAAATTTAATTTAAAATAATAGACTAAGTCATCATCATCAACAGTTAATTTTAACTTTTAGACTATTTTAAGCCAATTGATAATTGCAATTTCTTATCGCTCAACTCGCATTATCGATTAGCCAAAAAATATTTTAGTTGGCAGTGTTATCAAGATCGGTTTTCAAGAAGACGTGTTGCCACGCATGTGACCGTCTTCTACTTTGAGCCCGCACATTTTGAGATCTCAAATTTTTTCTACCCGAGCGCGGTTCGTCGAAGCGTCCATTGTTTTGCGGCAAATTCTTGAGCAAAAACGCGTTCGCCGCCCGAGCGCTCCGAGCAGCCGGCGACTCACTCAATCGTCGTCTCTGTCTCGATTAAAAAAGCATAGCCGGCGCGATTCAGAAAACAGTTTTCGCAGCATTAGAAAAAGCGCAGAGTGCGCGAAGAAGACATGCTTTTCTAATATTTGTGTCAGAGAGAGAAAGAGAAATAAATAAATGCGCCAAGCGGTTGCTCGACCGACCACCGCGCGCGTATAATAAATAGATATACCGTAATGCTAACTAACTGCTCGCGGATGTACCAGTCTTTTCTTTTTTCGCTTGCAACTTTTTCGAAAAAAAAAAAAATCTCAACGTCATTCGTTCTATTCAACGGCTCATTATTTTTAATTAAAAATGATGGTATTTTTAATAGCCGTTCTGCAAAGAGAAAGCTCAAGGAGTAATTTAACAGACCAAAACTGATAAGTTTTTATATTCATATTTTCTTTAAATTTATTTCTAATTAAATTTTAAACCATTATTTTCTTTTGCTATGATATAGTGAATCTCTTTCAAAATAAAATAATGCAGATCAAATCATTTTCCTCAATTTAAATTTTTTATTTAAAAAAATTTGACATCTTCAGCAAATTTTGGGTGTTTATGAAAAAACACATTTTTGATCCCAACGATCACCAAACACAATTAAAAAATCTGGGCAGAATTAAATCTCAAATCCAACCCTTAATTTCTTTTCTCCCAGTAATTATTGGTTCAGGGTTCAAGCAACCCTCGCAAAACGTTAAATGTTCGTTGGATGTGCGCGTTGATCAATCTTTCTACAAACTCGGGTCATTTTCCATCCGCTGGCCACTTTTCCAAAACGCCTGACGCCACTTGTTCAATTTGACGACTCATTATTGTTAAACTCAGAATGCGCTGCTGAGGTGACGGGCAAAAAAGTCGCAATCGAATTTTAGAAAGTGGCTCATAGCGAAATTATTTCGAGGCCGTTTTCCGCGTGCTGAAAGCAATTTGGTCTATGGCGACTTCGTGTGCTGCAGGCTGTACGTTGATAAATAAATTTTTTTGAAATATCTCTCGGTCTCGAAGCCATAAAACCTGTTTGCCAAATTTTCCACCTAATCTGGGACCTACACGCCGAGGAGAGAAGGACGGCATTCTTTCTGAGCCAATTGTTAAAAAGGTGGGCAGAGTCGCCGTTTTCTGAAAAGAATAAAGTATTACGGCTCGCAGCTGCGATTTTTATTCCTTCACGGCTAGGGTCAACTTCTTGTTCCTACACCACTTTTTGTGAGAAAATCGGCTTTTGTGTTTGCTGAGAGGGCAGATCGGGAGCAGGCGACGAGCGAATTTCCTCGAATCGAACGAGCGGCCAGAAACGAAAAAGTGCCGAAATTAGCCGACCGATACCTGGATGGATTTCGATCTTGGAAAAGGAAAGGAGGAACCAATAATAGGAGGAGCGGCCCGACGGCGGCGCCCGAGTGACGTAGGCGAATCCAGAGGGGCATTGCTTTGCGGTTTTTGTCGTGAAAAGCAAATATTGAGCCCCGTGGCAAGGCGAATCCGATCAGGAGAGTGTTTTTCGTTATCGAGCCGACGGGGTTCGCTCGCCAAATTTTGGTTTCACTGATTTGTGGGCCAACCCGCCAAAACGCAGGAGATAAAAACTGATAAGCCTGCAAACGGCGGCCACCATTGCCATTCTTCCCAGTCTCGTTTAATTCACAAAAAATACAAAATTATATAGACGCCGGCCTAGCACGCGATGGGCCGAATTAAAATATAAAAAAAGAGAGACTTGTTGAAGCGCAATGCTCTATTTTCGGCGCCAGTCGATCACGAAAACATTGCTCTATTCGAGCGAAAAGCGCTTTGTCGCCGAACGCCGCTGTCGCTTTCGTGCAAGTTGCTGATTTTTATTTGGCCACGGTGGAAATAAAATGAAATCGGAATGGAATTATTCCAGAGATCGTATGTGTGGTCATCCGGTTTATTTTTAGCCGCGGTTTTACAGGCACATGTGTAATTCCCGGCGATTGTGGTTCCAAAAACTTGCGGTATTTCAAACCGCAAAATATAAAAAATTTCAAATTTTGTTGAACAGTAAATCATTCAAAATGAAAAATCGCGACTAAGTAAAGGTTTCTCTGAAACTGTGCGAGAAAAACTTGGCTTTAAAGAATGGAATACAAACGAAAATTTTGTCTTTTAATTCTAAAATTAATTTTTAAACAACACGACTTATAATGTGGTTCTTTTTAGAAAACGATTAATATACTCTAGATTTTTTTAGCCAATAACTTATTTCCAGCATATCAGCGGATGCCTCTAACTAATTCATGTCCATGTTATAGAAATTCAAAATCTCCATTCTTTAAATTTGACTTAGCCTTGAGTTTTTTTTTTAATTAAATTATATTTGTATCAAAAAAATGTCTAGAGTTATTATCTGTGCTTTATGAACAATTTTTTCAAAACCAATTAAATTTTTTCCTCGTTCTGGCAGTTATTTTAAATCGTAAAAAAATTGCAGACATTACCCCATTTCTCCCTAAATTGCGAAAGTTTATTTTCTGGAAGGAGACGCTTTAGAAAAACGGTGCCGCGCCGCTCATAAAAACTGAAAATCTCATCTGGGCAACTTTTGGAGAGGATGGAGGCGAAGATGGTTTTATAATTAAATTTGCCTCTCAGTGAGTGAGAGAGAGAGAAGAAAAAACGGCGGAATATTTGAGCTCTGGGCGGCTGTGGCGGCGGCGGCGGTGGGCCGTCGGGGTGAAATGCGCATATTCGCGAGATGATTAAATTTATTGCAGGCTCAGCATCCACCTCTCTCTCTCTCTCCAATACTTCTTCTTCCCTCCGTGCACCTTGGGCCCCCAAATGCCAATATTCTCAACTTTCCGATTTGTGTTGCAGGACCCGGAGCGGCTCGCGGGCGAGTGTAGTCCGCCAAATTTCCTCAACGTGGAGGCTGAACTGAGCGAGGGAGGGGGTGAAATTGAACTTTACAACTCCGACGACGACGCCGAGGCGTCCTTGCTGGTGAGTTTTTTTTTTATTTCAATTTTTTTTTCTCAAACTCAGTCGAACACTCTCCGTTGTTGGGTGCAGAACTGTGAGGTCAAACTTGAGAGTCAAGAGGAGGATCTAGAGGAAGAAGGACTCGAAGTCGCTGCCCCGGAAGAGCCGGAAACGCTGCCGCCCCCACCGGCCAGAAAACTGCCTCTGCTGCTGCCTAAGCCGTCCAAGGCGATGGACGCGGTCGCCAGTCAGCCCAAGATGACCAGCATGACCAACAACGCTGACCCGCAGCAGTACTGCTTGCGGTGGAAGTACCACCACAACAACCTGCAGGTCATGTTTTCGCAGCTGCTCGAGAGGGAGAGCTTCTGTGATGTCACCCTTGCCTCGGAGGGGAAGCTCCTTCGCGCACACAAGGTAATTGTAATTTCTTACAAAATGCACAAATTGCTTCTCCTGCAAAAATCATTGTTACTTTTTTATATCAGCAAAATATTGTTCAATTTCTAGTAACTTGTATCTTAAATTGTTTGAAATTACTTAAAATATTCAAATCTTATTAATGAATAAATTTACCAAAGCCATTATTTAGAATTTATCACCATATTATTATACCAGTTTCATAAATAAAAAGAAATGTGTCAGATTATCAAGGTCTACATATTTTTTCACAATTTGTTGTTCTGATAGTTAAACCATCAATTCATTTTCTTTTTTTATTATCTCATCAGATCTTTCATTAACAATCCAGCACTTTCTACTCTGTGTGAAAATAAAACTTAAATTTATAACTCCTGATCAGAGCTTGACTCTAGACCTTATTACGCAGGTTTTCTTTGGCTGAAAACTGGAATGCTTGAAAATCTTAAAAAATTGCATTTCGGACAAAATCTGGGCTGGACAGGCACGCGCCCTTCTTGCATTCCGTAGATTCAAATTTGAATTATTTTAGTTTTTCCGAGTTGTAACTGGAAGTACACGCTTGTTGTTGCAGGTTGTTCTCTCAGCGTGCTCGACATACTTTGACCAGATCTTCACTCAGTATGAAGAGAAAAACCCAATTGTGATATTGAAAGACGTCAAGTACGACGACATCAAAGCGCTCGTCGAGTTCATGTACCGCGGCGAAATCAACATTGAGCAGGTAGGCCGCCGACACTTCTGGGTGTCTTTTGCAGCCACTTGAATGCCTTTTCTTTGATTTGCAGTCTCATTTGGCGTCCCTGCTGAAAACAGCCGAGGAGTTGAAAGTGAAAGGACTGGCTGAGGTTTCGTGGCGGACAGACGAGGCGCAGGCAGCAGCGGCCGCGGCGGCGGCTGCGGCCAACACCAGCAGCAGCAGCATGCGGCTCGAAGAAGAGGATGAGCCAGGCAGCAAGAGGCGCAAGATGGTTTCTTCACCAGCATTCCGACCTAGGGTCACTAACGTCATGGGAGGGGTAGGCAACATTAGCAAACACGGCGCAGCAAATTTCGTTGACATTTCAATGGTAAGATTGCATTTATTTTTGTATTTAAATGTTGACAATAATTTTAAAATACTTTTTAGCAGCATGAAGACAATGGAACTGGTTTGAGTGAAAATTTTGGATCTGATTACGAAATTGATCAGCATGAAGGCATGGACCTTGAGGACTCGATGCAGAGCAATGGCTCATATCGAGGCGTCATGGACATGATGGGTGGTGGAGGCATTCCTAGTGAAAAGCGGGCATCGCCAATATTGGATGGTAGGAACCAATTTTTGTTAAACTAGAGTTTCAATATGAAAATAAGTGCCGAAAACTTGTTCAGTGAACAATAATTACAAAATCCAATCAAATTCTATTCATGTTGTTGGTCAAAATAAAATTTAAAACTATTTAATGGCCTTAAAAACATAATCACAAAAATTCAGATAAAATTTTCTTGTTTGCATTGCAGAAAGGACCAGAGAGCTATTCAAAGGTGTTGTGAAGATGAATGACTACTTGGTGACAGGCCGGCGGCAGCAGTTTTGGGAGGAGCCGTTCATGCGGCGCCTGATGGACGCAATCAAGAACAAAGAAGTTGAGATGAAGCTGGTGGCGGAAATGCTGGGCGTTTCGTATGGCACCCTCTACGGCAGGTACAGAGACACACACGGCTGTCTGAAGCACCCTTACCGGATGCGAGACTTTTGGAACGAGCCTGGTCCCTCCGAGGTCATACAAAAGCTGAAGAGCAAGGAAGTGACACTGAACGAGGCTGCTGACATGCTGAACGTTTCGATGAACACCCTGACAAGCTATGTTGCCTCGATGCCGACGACGTTTATTGGACCAAGAGACACGATGGGCGAGTCATCAGCAACAGCGGCCGTTTTTGCAGCAGCCCGGTTGCCGCCGGACATCACCGTAGCGGCCACGGCGCAGAAACAAATGATGAAAGAGGAGCACCATTACGAGCAGAATGGCGGCGACGGTGACGATGATGACGACGACGACATCATTCACCCGCAGCAGCTGCTGCAGGTGCAACACCACCAGCAGTGACGCTGGCCCAAGTAGAAACACATGATCAACGTGGTCAACCAACTGGACAATCTGATCTAACTGAGTGAGACTTCGAACACACACCGGGTCTCTCCCTATTTCATTTTTGTATCACCTCATTTTGCTCGACATAGGTCCACATCGTCTTTATTTATTTTCTGTTTCCTCCTCATTCCTCTCACTCCCCCAGTCAGCTCTCTATATATTGATTACAAATATTCACACAGTACTCCGGAGTAGTTGAGTAAAATATTGTCTCGCTGGTGATCATATCATACTACTATTTAATAACATTATTACTATTAATTAATTAAAATCGCATAATTATATATATTTACACGAGTAAGGTTTGGGTGCAGTGGAAACGAAATTAAGCAACGTGCCGTGTAAATAGGTTGTGTTGCTTGGTTAAAGAAGAATATTATTATAAACAGAAGTAATAGTAAAGTTCCTGCCGCTACAGTACGGTCAATGTGTCTGTATCTCCTGAGAAATCAAGCTGAATAGCTGTCTTGCTACACTGATGTATACTGTTTTTATAAGATTGGTTGGATTGGTTATTTTCAACAATTCATCAAACAGGTTTCGAGGTGCTAGTGTAAAAATAATGAGGAATGTATTTTTTAAAAATAACGAAGACGAAGATTACAATGAGCGATGTTAAGTGAACGATAGACACTTAAGTACACTTACATACAATATACCAAATCCTAAGTGAAACTACAAACAATATTTTGCTTAAAACACAGAACAATACACCTGAATGTTCAGGACAGACATGATTAAATCCCTGGAAATCATTTAAATCGGAAAAATTCGGAATTTTCAAATTTAACTGACCTGAAGAAACGTTTATGATATATTTTTATCATGAAATCGATTGACTTCATTTCAAAAATTAATTTTTAGCAAAGTAATAAAAAAAAAAGAAAACATCAACCCCACACACAAATTCTCATAGTCATTCCTATGTTGGATATTGTATAAAATTATACAGCCGCTGCCCATTTTTTCAGGTCTTTTATTGTGAAAACTAAATTATTCTTGCGTATAAATATTCCGCCAAGTGCATCGCAAACCCTAAGGTCCGAACGGACAAGTTGACGCCGCGAAGTGAGCAGTCAACTTGCTCGACTCATCTGCATAAGTAGCCTTTTTACAACATTTTGTGCTTTTCTTGAAACGCAAAAGAGTGAAGCAAGCCCTCGCCTATGCCGATTCTTAGTTACTAAGTGTGGCAGGTATTGCCAAAGGTCCTTTTGTATATCTTTAAAAAGAGAACTCAGGATGAAATATCAGCCGTTGTATGTAAGCTTTTAAATACGAATCATTATGTGTCATTTTTTTAATTATTTCTCCACTTGATTAAGATGCCACAACGACTTGAAACAACTATTTCATACTGCAATCGACAGAAAAGGCATGATTATTTAAATACACACACACACATACTGTTATAATAATAATTATTATTGTGTCGCTCGAGATCCTCCTATGTTTTTTACTACATTTAATTGATAATTATATAATTTTTTATGAAGTGAATAATATCACACACGATAATAGTGGAACTGTGAACTGGAACTCAAGTAGCCTTTTTCACACCTGTGTTTATATGCATCACGTGGCATACTATAAAATGCATGTATTCGTGCGAAGGAGCGGGCATTGGACACTAAATTCCTGCCATTGGGCTTCTCTGCCCGATTGAAATAAAGTAGAACTAAAAATTATAACATATAGAAAAAAATGGACTGTAAAATGCCGGCTCCTGGTGGCCACCACACTGCCGTGCACCAATATGTAAACTCTTGATTGAAGAAAATATTAATTCGGCTGCCGACCTGCTTAGAACAAGCGCCGGTTGTGAGAATGAATGATGGAAAACAAAATATCTCAGATCCTGCTAAGTTTGATGTATCATCATAGTTTAGATCTCTTCCTCTAGAAGGATAAACAGTTGCTTAAGATATTTTGATGAAATGACTTTGTATAAGATTGCGTGGATTCAGAGAAAGGAAGCTGGGAATTGGATATAGTGGATGTTCACGCAGTATTAATAAAAAGAAGAGGATATAGCGAGAAAAATAAAAATCATATACTCTGGTGATAAAAGTAATGAATTCTTGTATACAAAATGTGTCGTGTCTCCCTGGTGTCTGTTTAGTGCAGAGAAAAGTATTTTTGAAAGGTGCCCCTGTTAACTGAGAAGAAAAAATAATACTATGAATAAAAACAAAATAAAAATATCAGTCGTCGTGTAATATTAGGGAAATGGACTTATCTGTGTAAGATTAAATTGAAACATTATGTCGGTCGGAGACGACTAGGAGCTGAGAGAGAGACAATTTGAAGCAGAGAGAGAAAAAATGAATGTTGTTTAGAAAAGGATTTTTATATAATATACCGTCAATAATGACTATACAATACTTCTGCATAAAAAAAGAAAGAAAATAACTAATAAGTAATACCGCGACTATATTGTTTGCATTAGAATAGAGGGATCAAGCAAAGAAATATCATAAAGATATACTAGCAGAACTGAGAATCGACTTTCAGTTGCACACAAACACGCGCGCATGCCTTCTTATTTTCCAATAAACCTAAAAACTACATACATATGTATATGTGCATAAGATAAAGGGTCTGAGAACAACTACTACTGCTAATTTCATTTTCCGTTGTAAGGCGAAAAAAAATACACAAGCATTATGTTCGTCGTCATTTTGAATGAGTTAAACGCTGTAATTTATTTTTACCTTTAGTTGTAATTCTTAAGATGCAGCTACTTCACCACTATTATTACTTTCCGTGTTACTATTATGATAGCAGTACGCAAAAGTAAACAAAAATACATGAAATGAATAAAAAATCAAACTGTTTCTTTCATTAAATTTTGCTTCCTTTTTAATTTGGACTAAAATGTTGAGATTAGTAGGAATGACCTCGCAAGGCTGATGCCCTTTTGCAGTAGCTAGGGGCGAGAATCGGTAAAATTCCGAATGCAAACCTACAGTTATATAATAAAACCTGCGAATTATAGCCTTGGAACAGTATAAATTATTTAAAAATGAACTTCTTTTTAATTTGGACTTGGAGGAGGACCGGGGCTCTCACCATCTTCCATTCCCTCAAACTCGTCAGGTTTGTGCAAGTTGAGAGGAGGAATAACCTCGTGAGGCTGTTGCCCTTTCTCAGCAGGGGCGTCCAAAATCAGGGCTCTCCTACCAACCACTACCAAACCATCGTCATCCTCAAAAGCGACAAGACTAGACTTGGGATTAACTTGAGAGGGCTTTTTCTTTGAAGGTCCGGCCCAAGTTTTGCGTCTTTCACTGGGGGACTCGATCAGAGTGACCATTTCAGGGTCAGGAGGGTTGGAGAGCGTCGCAAAGGTGCAGCGCCTGGCTGGATTTTCATCTGGCATCTCTGAGGCAATCATAGATATTTCCTCCTGAAGAGAAATCTAAATTCAAATTGAAATTTTGTACTTCCACTTTAATTAATTTTTTACTTGTTTGTCCTTGACGAGAAAATTTGGTGGCATGCTTTGGTAGAAAATTTCTAAAGCCTGGGCCTTGTAGAAAGCTTGAACTTTGTCTGACCTATCCTTTAGATCAGTCACAAAATTTTCCTCTCCAGGATGGTCATTTATCACGGCTATATTATATATTTAAAATTATAAAATATAAAAAAATTTAAAAAATCCATCACAACTATTGAGGTCTTCAGACAGTGACACTTGCTGCATGACTCGGAAAATGTCCCAATACTTATTCTTTGGGCTGGAGGTTCCCTGCTGTTGTAAATACATTTTTTCCCTCAAATTTTGATAAAATGGTATCAAAATACTACCAGACTGACGAATGGAATAAGATCTCTTGAATCACTCTCAACCAAGAATTTCATCCCTTCCAAGCGCTTTCGAGCGTCAACTTCGTACTGGTAGGACATATCAATCTGAGCAGAGATTTCCTCTGCTTCTGTCCCGAGATCCTCAGCGATTTGCATTGCCTCCTCGAGATCTTCAGCCTCAAAATTTTCTGCAGCTTCCATGATTTTAGCAAGCAGACCACCACCAGGTTCAAGATTACTTTTTTCCCAGTTTGAATTTTTAGAAATCCTCAACAATGAGAAATTATTATTGTTTTAGGGATTTGTATTCAATACTCACAAATTCTTTGCAAAAATAACATTGTTTTATTATTCCGTAAAATGAAATTTTCAATAAAGTTTCTCACAATTTTAATTTTGAAACTTACTCTTTAGTTTTTTTGTTCAATGAGCATTTTTACAAACGTTTGCCATTTTTCTTTTGAAAATTAATACACATAAAACAATAAGACGAAGTATAGCAACAATGCGTAGAGATAATATATTTAAGTAAATAACAACGGGCAAAGCAAAGTTATTTAGATATTATTTGTAAAAAATTATTTTCACGTAACCAAACATTGCAGCTTTGCTTAAGCAAAGTAAAACACACTGAAACATAGATGAAATTTCTAAGCGTATTAATAAATTGATACATAGTTACCCAAGAACAAGCAAAGATCTATATCAATATTGCTGAAATAAATAATTACTTTGAATATAGAGCTCAATAGAATTTATTATTATAAAATGGAAAAATAAAAAGATTTTAAATAAATTAATAAGAATATTCTTAATCATAAAAAATAGCTTACTGAGAATTCAGAAGGTAAATCGTCTCAGAGACAAGACGCCCAAGAATTTGCGTAAATTGCTCTCATCTGGAAAGTTTAATTAACAATTTCACTTGTACCGCGCAGACCGAGTTTTACTAACATTAGTGACTAATTCAGGACAAAATCAATATCTCGAGGAACTAAAACAATCTACGTCCGGCAGTAGTTAATTATATAGCAAAAAACTATTACTTTTTTATACCGTGAAGCACATAAATCTAAATTTCCTCAAAAATTACAAGCACTTTATGAAAGAGCGGAAAAATGTCGTTTGATTTTTATGTTTGCAAGAGAGAGAGCTACAATAAGCCAATGAAATTCTTTTTGCAAGTGATTTTCCAACAACAGTGCAGAGAGATAGAGAACAATTGTTTAAAATTTCTTTTCCTTTTTTGGCACTGTGATATAAATTCACTTTGTACTGGCTGGTTCTATTTTGGAATTGACCGAATTGCAATATCTTATTTACTTTAAATTTTGACCTTCAAAGAGGTCTATTACATGAATCAACTACGGTGAGTCTTGTATCAATTACGAAATGACACAACCTCCTTCTTCTACCACTTCGCCGCTATTCGACTCGGACAGCTCCAAGTGTTGAAGAGCTTCCTCGGCGGTTTCCTCCTCCAACGAGTCAAGACTGGAGCCGTTGGGGGAAACAGACGAGGAGGACGGGGCAGAAACGAGTCTTAGTTTGCCCAAGGTGGGCTTGACAGGTTGCGAGGCTAAGCTCTCAGAGGGCTGGGACATGGACGGCGTGATTGAGGGTTTGTTGGACACGTTCGTACCTGAAACGGTGCTTGTGACGGTCGCTGAAGCATTGGTAGTGGCACTCAATGAGTTTTCGGCACTAGTCTTTGGGGCGCTGCTCAGTATCTTGTTCAGCACCTGTATTTGATTCTGGATGGCCAGCATGAAGTTGCGATATCCAAGACTGAAATTTCCATGAAACCACATTAATCAACATAATTATTTTCATTTACAAAAATGGAAAATAATTCAAGCAATACATATTTTTTCATACATAACAAACAGAGAATTTATTTATAAAATTTAAAAATAAAAAAATCTTTGTGTAATTTAAAATTTTAATCAGTCATTTAGAAAAGTTTTATTTTTTATATTTTTACCATTGAGTGTTACTCCAAATTAGAAGTGCCTCAAGTCCATCTTTAAGCCTTTTCACAACTTCTATGGACTGGTCAGCAGTTCTAGCAGCAAAAGTAGTTCGTAGAACGGCCATGGCGTCTCGGAGAAGAACTGAAAGGACCAGGGCCCACTCAAGACACCCTGCCTCCATGAAAAGTTGGAGCAAATATCTGAAAGATTTCCAGCATAATTTTAGAAAAACTGAATAAATAAAAATTGGGTGTAATACCTGAGCTGGACTTCTTCCCTTGCTGGTACTCGACCAGCGGCGTGATCTTGGGCTATGAAGTCCATCTCGGGTGTTGTCACCCAGCCAGGGCTCTGGACATGTTCGTCGACAGTGTCTCTCTCTTCTCCCATGTATGAGGAACTCTCCTCACTCAAGAAGCTGCTGCCACCTAAGTAAATGGAAAGAGAATAATTATTTTTTGAATGTCAGGACTTAAAAGACTTACCCTGTCCGCCATGAGGCTGCAATCTGGCCTCAACGGTGTGCATGCTGGAGTCAGTTGATGTGTTCATGCCCCAATGAGGAATGTGGTTGGTGCTGGCATGGCTCATGTACCCTGAATCGTGAATCCTGCTCGGGTTGCCCTTCAGAATGTCCAAGGTGAGCGCCTTGAGTCTGTCTTCGACGCTTGGAGAGGCCGGAAAAGAGCGGCCAGATGACCCCGAGCCGGACGTCTTTCTCGTCGTGGCTTGAGACGGCAGCGGCGGGTAGCCCTGGAAACTCATGCTGCCGGCTGGGTAGGGCCAGTTGAAGTCCCTGTGCAGGTACCTGAGGGCTTCAACGCAGTCCTCAATCCTTGCTGCCTGGTGTCTCTCAGACTTGAGCCAAGTGACCAGGTGGAAGTCCAGGTGAGCTGCAAAGAGGCCCAAGTCCCGCAAGCGTTTGTCCATCAGCATTCGACAGGCGTGTCTTTGAAGGATGGTGTCGATGAAAAAGTCTTCTGCAGCATTGCTGGAGGTGCTGTCCCTTCTTCCGGAGGGAGCCGATTTTTTCCTGGTTCGGGACTGGCTGTTGGTGGTGATGCTGCCTTCACCGACGCTGCTGCTCGACCTGACCAGCACCTCTGTCTTCTTTGGGTGTGGAGAACCAGTGCTGGGATTTGAGACGTTGGTTGCCTCGGGAATAGAGACCTTCGGTGTGTTGGTTGTCGTGCTGTAGCTGCGGCCCCGCGCCACCTGCATGGTGCCGAGAACAAGGGACAAGTCTTCCTCGTGTGGACTGACAGGTGGTGATTGCGCCATTCCATATTTGTTGGCAGGGAGCATTGGTTGCCGAGGAGATTCCACGTCATTTGGGTCTAAAAAGTGGATGAAATTAAATTTTATGAAGAAAATTTATAAATTTTACAAAATACCTATTGCTCGAAGAAACCTAACCAAATCCTTTGCCAACTCCCACTTGCTATGCTGCAAAGCCGTGTCCAAAAGAAGAGTTGCAAACTGGCGACTCACAGCGCTTGGCTCCAAATTCTATGAAAGTTTTGATATTAAAGCTTGTTTTCTTTAAAAAAAAAAAAGTAAAAAATAAATTTTTAAATAAAATAAAAATCATACGTTCAGGAGTTTAAACGTCTAGAAATTTTGACTAAGTTAGTTTAATGGAAGCAATTGCAATAACCAACATACCTGGAGAATCAAAAGGTAAGAGGCTGCCGTCTCTAGCTGCTCATTGTTCAAACATTGCTGGAACAACTCTTTGGGTTTGCCGGCAGCCGAGAACAGATACGGCCAAAGGGCCACTTCTGTTTTTCGAGCACACTGGACAACAGTTTGCAGATAGACTGGAAATTCGTGGATGAATTCTACAACACTAGGTAACAGGGCGTCCGGTATGGGACCTTTACTTGTTGCTTCTTCTTCTAAAACCTAGTTATTGACGTTTTTTTTTAGCTAGAAATTTTAAAGATTTTTTTTAATAACCTCGTGGAGCAATAATTCCAAAGCATGCGGGAAATATGGAAGGTTGGTACAAGAACGAGCTATTTCCCAAGCATGGTAGCCCAAGTTCCTTCGAATCAGCTGCCGCAAAATTTGATGAAGATAAACTTGGCTCTGCAAAATATGAATCGTAATTTAAACAGTTCTCAAAACTTTATCAAGGAACGTACAGTTCTTTGCACTAAACAGAAGGGTAGTGAAAAGTGTGAGGCAGAATCTGAGCTGTAGAGCACTGTGTCATTTTCGGCACCGAGTATGATGGCATCTTCAAAAAGTACAGCTGCATTGAAAAAATAATAATAATAAGAAATCTGAAGAAAAATTAATTTTTAAAAATACCTAGAGGGTAGATTTTCAACTGGAATGGAAGCATTATCCGTTTTGACATGAAAGTGTGCGCCTTGTCTCCGTCCCTTGGAAACAGAGGAAGCCACACTCTCATCCCGTGAGCACCGCAATACAACCATAGAGCCTCGGTCAGGTGAGGCTTGTCTCGTTTGCTTTTAAGAGGCATCCACACACTTTCAACACATGAAGCCAATACCGTCGGAGTACACTAGAAATTTAAATTGTTCAAGCTAAAAGCTCGATTTTAAATCGACTGAAAATACCAAAGTGGTGCTGCTACTTTCTGCTTCAGGAGAAGCACAAACTTGCTGGACAAGCAGGAGTCGCCCACTCACGTTAACTATTAAACTCTCAGCCTGCTCCCTTTTGCTACCGATGCAGCTTTCAGTTCGCAGGCACGTCAATGTGATCGAAACAACGCAGGCAGGGTGAACGCAGAGTGCGCTAATATCAATTGCCTGCAGTTGAATCAGATCAACGTCGTTTGAATCTGAAAATTTTGAGTCAGATTATATTTTTTCAAAGAGGATTTGTTCAATACTTTGCTTTATCATTAAGCTATAGATGGTAATCAGACTATCAGAGCAAAAAGTGACGAGTCGGTCTCTGAACGAATTCAAAATCAGTACTTGAGCTTCGGCCTTCTCAACTTTTGCAAAGTTGTCAGCCAAACGTGTTTCTTTAGGATAAATTCGGATCTAAAAACAGCCTCGTGTTAGTTTCATTAAAATTATTTATAAAATTCTCTTACTTCATCTCTGCTTTGAACAATGTTGTAGCACCCGAGAATAATAAACGAACGCCACCATAAAATTCCTCCAGTCACAACAAAATCTTTTTCCTGCGTCTCATTGCCAAACAGCTTCCATTTTCTGTGCAGCAACGAATAATGAGCAAAGCCCGTTCTGCCAGCAATGGCCACATTTTGTCCTTCGGCATCCACAGCAGTATACTAATATTTATAAAACATTAAAACATTTAATCTTTTTTAAATAGAAGTTGTCAATTACTCTGATGGGCCAGTTTGTCGAAGAGTATGTGTGAGGAATAGTCACAACAACCCACTGCTTGCTGCCAGTGAAGGACGCAGAGTCAAGAGCTGATTGGGTGATTGATTCGTTAGAGACGGAGGCCACATTTGGCTTGAAAGCTCTGACTTTTGAATCTCCAAGGTGCACTAATAGCCTGTCTTCACCCTGAAGGTGGACTTGTCCATGCTGACTCTAAAATAAAAATTAGCAATTTTTACATTCTTAATAAAGCGCAACCAATTATTATTTTTACTCACCATGCAAGGGTTGACAGTCTGAGGGCTCTTAACCATCTCCAGTTGCAGGAGTCTGTGCTGCGGCTCAGACTGCTCGACCATCCACAAGTGATAGCCCTCGGCAGCCCAGTCCAGTGAAGTCACTCTCAGTCTGGACATGGAAGAGTTCAGCCCATGGTCCCACGCCAAAGAACACATGAGCAGTGAGCCAAAAGTGCTCCAGAGAGAGATGCCGCCACCCTCCCAGGCCAGCGCTAGGGCGCATCCGTCAGGCGACCACCTCATGCAAGTCACAGCTCCAGGAGCCCCAGGGAAGTCTTTGCTTGAGAGCACCACTTGGTGACTGATCTCCAGCCCACCAGTCACTTCGTCCACACAGTAGACTATGCATTGAGAGCTGAGGATATTGAAAAATTAATTCCCAACAATTTTTTTAATAATAACAAAAATTACTAGTTAAATGGAAAATTTGGCAGATTTGTTAAATAAATTTTATTCATACTTTTTCCTTCCAAATGCGATGAGCCTGTGTTTGTGGTTGAGAGCAGCGCACGTCGCATCTTCAAGCCCCTGTGCCCAGATTCCTTGCACTTGCTACAAAACGTTACTTTTAGAATTAATTGAAAATTAAACAAAATTAAGCGCCTACATTTGGATCAAATTGCAAGGAGAAGGCTGTCAAAAAAGCTGCTCTGCCGTCATTCAAAACTGCAGCAAATCCTCCAACCAAAGGAGAGTATTCAATTTCGGAAATGTAAATGTTGTCCTCAGTAATTGGCTCGGCTGAAAATAAAATTATACATCGAATGAAAAACACTAAATTTAAATGTTAGCTAACCTTTTGAAACTTGCTGATCAATGCAAAAGGGCACCCTCCGCAAGTCAAGGCAGTAATCTCTGTTCAGGGATCCGTCCCATCTGTACCTCAAAACATGACCCCTGGTTGTGGCCACCATCAATTCATCTCTAATGCAAACAATGCTCGGGAGACCAGCAGTCACATCCACGCCAAAATGCTAAAAAAATAAAAAAAGAGAGAACTTTAGGCGCAGGAAAATTTTAGTTTCCCTGAACCCATGGCCAAACATTTCAGTGAGCACCACGAAGCAATTTCAAAATACTGTTATTTTGGCATCTACAAACTTATTTCAAAAGTTCCTTTATTTAGATTATTATTTTCTATGATTATTTTTAAATTTTTCAAAAATAAATTATAATTAACTGGAGACAATCAAAGCTAAATATTTGAAATTATTAAGGCACATAACCCAGATTAATATTGCAACTCTTCTCTTTCACAGTCCACCGAGCAAAACAAGATTGTTAAAATATTATTATTCTAGCTGCAAACTTACAGGCGTAAGCATAAGGGCGGGAATAACCTCTTTCACATAGAGCTCTGCACTTTCCCTGCGCAAATTCGGACTCGGCGAGTCCTGCTGTTCGTAGAGCCCTTTGAAGTCCGCCGACACGGACAACACATAAAACAAGAGATGCCCTTTTGAGGTCTGAAATAAAAAATAATTAAATTCGGGTCAATGTATAATGAATAAAAGTACTCACAACGACGACCAGCATACTCGAGTCGGGTCTCCATTGGACGAGTTGGTTCGTGCCCACGTCCTCAATGTTCTGCACGTCCCGCTTGTGGGTCACGATGGGCAAACAGGGCTGAACAAGTTTATCATTAAGACTTTGAACTGATTGAGAAGAGTTTCTGCTTACTTTGCAAAACCAAATGGAAAGGCTGTCGTCTGTCAGAACGGCGTAAAGCAGTTTGTCCCGATTGTTGACCACTTGTCGGACGGCGGCCAACGCTCGAGGGAGCTTGAGCACCCGCGGCCAGCCCACGGGGTAGTACATGACCTCCTCAGTCCGGCTGCCTCCTCATCGAAGGTTAAAATGCAGGCCGATGACCGACGTGTAAACAAATTCTAACTGGAATTTCACATCACTGCCCACCACTCCGTCATCTGTGAAAGGGCAGCAGACATCATCACCAGTGCTACCAACAGTACAGAAAATGCTCAGTAGCTACAATTAAAAGTAACTTGCATGAAATCTCAAAAATATATAAATAATATTTTTTTTTAAATATCAATTAAAATAAAAATTAAATTCTGCTTCAGACTGTTAAAAAAATATTGAAAATTTTATTGGAAATAATATAATTATCTTAATGATGGAAAAAAATATTTTTATTGTTTTATACGGTTTTGTTTTATAATATTTTTTTAGTCACACTTTTTTATTATTTTTTAAAAACGCTAGCAATTCTTTTAAAAAGGGTGGAAAAAAATGTTTTCAATGTAACTATATTTCAACGCAATTTTAAATATTATTTTCCCTGCGTTTTATTGTCTACTATGTATCTGTGTGCTATGCAACCTGTGCTGCGTGGAGGTTCGGCGGCGCAGTATCTTTTGCGCCAAGGCAAGGAGCAGGTGCGTTGAAATCTGAAGCACCACCGGCGTTCGGGCGTTGTATATTTTTGCAGACAGTCATCCTTTCGCATTAAATTTTATTGTCTCCGGCGCACTTTTCCACTCAAGGCTGGAATTCTTCTTCACTTTAATTCAAACCTTCATTTTGAGCGGTACCTTGTCCAGTGCCAATAGCAAAGAACACTTTTGCCTGCATGCTCATGTGCCAAGGGAATGACACACAATTTAAAGCGGCGTAAACACGCTCAATTGAGTGACCCAAGAGTATCAGCTGAATAAATATGTCTCATTAAGGTACTTCTGCCCCGGCATAATGAGTTTGTTTTCAAATCACAAAGCGACGTGCGTTGGAGATAATTACAGGCGTTTTGTTATTCAAATTTGAATTCAGACGGATAGTTTTTGTTAGTTGACGTCGTTCTGACAGTAAGAGAACTTCCTAGAGAAAAGAGGCTTCCAAAGTTGCAGTGAGTATAATTATTTTGTCTAAAATTAATTCAATTATTTATGGGATAATGAATGTTAAAAATTAAAAATGTTACAACTTGATCTGAAACTTGCGAAACAAAACCTAGATTAATATATTATTTTATTAGCCTTTGCTACAATATTTATATCAATTGAACTCAATTTAAATAGTTAAAAAAAGTGGAAAAAAAGAAAAAGAGAAGAAAAACAGGAAAATCTTGGGATTCAAGAATAAAATTGAGCGGTAAAAAGATTAAATATAATTCAAGTACTATAAAATAATATATTTTATAATCAAAGCATTATTTGACTTTTTTCTTTGACTTGAATGCACTAGAGAGAAAATAAATAAAATGTTAAGACCAGCAAATTTGATACAAATTTCTAGTACAAAGAACACATTAAACAATCCTAGTTCCATTAATATTGTTGCTTGGCCCTTGAATCTTGAATTATTAAAAAATATTAGTTTAGGCGAGCAGGAATTCACCTTCAATAAATTTACAAGTCGTCTTAGACACTCACATAAATATTCCGATCGCGAATTTCACGCACACGATTGTCGCAAATATATCATAGTGGACTGTTGTAAAACTATATACAAGGAGCAGGTTTGCCATGCGGACGTGTCGACGAGTACGACTGGATTGTCGGCTCTTTCAAGGCCCAAGGAAATTGTTCAGATCAGAAAATTATCTTACTTAGAGTCACGTCGTTGAATTTCACGGCGCGTATCCCATGAGAATGATTTGCAAAATAAAATCTCAGAAAAAATTGATACAGAGACAATAAAATTTTTCGTTTTGTGGTTTAAGTAGAAATTTAATTTTGAAATTAATAATTTCAAAAATTAAATATTTTAATCCAGTCATCAGAATTCAAAATTTCTTTTAAATCTCTTAATGAATGCAGATTATAAATATATGTACAAAGCATTAAAATCTCTGTTGCAACCTTGAAATAATGTCGAGCCAGTGGGCTAAGGACATGTTATTGCGAATTTTTCGGAAGTCTGCGTAAAACGCTCGGTCATGATCGTAAAACTCAAAGGTGAACGGCTTGTGTCACGTACAAGTTTTTAGCCCTTTGGATTGAACCTGATTTAATGTGAATCAAATTTTAAGCTCAATATAGACCGCAGACGATGGGCAAGTGCAAAGCAATTGTATAAACTTTATTAACCATTTACAGCCTTGCGTTTTTTTTTTATTGCATTTGATTATTTGTATGTTAACAAGGAAATTGGCTACGTTTCAATTCGCTGCTTATTGCAATGTCAAGGGGCGATCCTGGTAACAAATTATCATGTGGAACAAAACAAAGCGAGACTTCAATTGCACATTAACTTCAATGATTCTAATAAATCACTCGGCCGTGTTTGCTCAATTTGCTATCACTTATAATTTCACTTTTCCTACACGCTAATTAATGCACAAAATTATTTTTATCTCCTACAGGATTAGTCAAACTTACTTGTTATTCTACCGGAAGGAGATAATGATACAGAATTAAGCAGTAAAATGAATCAACTTAAATATAATATTCAAGTAAACATTAATTCATGGTTAAACGTTTAACTATGAGAATAAAATGTAGGAAAATCTCATTATGAGATTTATTTATGCCTGTTCCGCAGAAAGATAAAAATTTCATGGCTGTTGCTAGAAACTTACTGACAAGTGCATTTTTATGATGTTTTACAATTGAGAAGGAAAAGAATAATAATTTTTAATCATATATTAACACCTTCAATTTATTTATTTAAATATATTTTATACGATAAATTTTTTAGATTTAAAACGAATGATAATTATTTAAGCTGAATTTTGTATTTTATGTAAATTTACTGGAAGCTAACTTCATTTAAACAAGAGAAGGGCTGTTTTATGTAAAACAAATTATTGATGATTAAAGAAATTCTTCACAAATTGTGCATTCGCTGAAAATACAGGTGAATTATTAATAAATTATTATAGATTTTATTTATTACATTAACAAATATTGGTGTGTATTTGTTTTTTAGTAGAGCAGCTATGCTATGTGCATGGAGTTGAACACAATATTTCTTTTATACAAATTTACAAGTGATGTTAAGCTTATATAAAACAAGATTGCGTATAGTTTGCAACTCTTCAGGTTTGATTGCAATTTTTCCAGAAATATGATAAAATAATATGATATTAATAGAAGAAATCTGGTTTCACTTGCACTAGAATATTCATGAAATTTTCGTCGCGATGGACAACAAAATAAGTTATTTAAAAATAGCATCCGATTATTGGTCATGAGTCACTAAAATTTCACAAATATAATGCACCTGTTCGACGGCCAATTAGCCGCACGTGATCCTCAAATTCGAGCAGACGCACCTTGAACTTAACCAAAACCCCCTGCACACTTTTATAGGGGGTCAGTAAAATACAATAATCATCCGAGTTTCGTAAATTGCTTTGCGTCCATGCAGGGGTTTCGTTTGATTTAGAAAAGCAGAGTGGGGACACCCACGAGTTGGAACTCGCCACTCGGTGGAAGGGAATCGCACGCGGTAGCTCGGCCGCGGACAACAGAGGATGCTGAACGGCAGAAACGATTTTCCGGCGGACAGTGCGCGCGACCACGGGAGGAAAATTAGCCGATGACGAGATGAGGCAGCTCTTTTTCCCACCAAACTTTTCTTTGTGCTCAGTGAATTTTGGCGTTGTTGTTGTGTGTGAATTTACTCGATTTAACATAAAAAGGTGCTGATTGTGGTGTTAATTTTTTTACCAAATTTTGGAATACTGCGTGAACCCGAACCTGTGGTAAGCACTTATTCGTTTAATATAATTTAATTTATAATTAGTTTCGATAGTTACTAAGTTAGGCGCGTGAAAGGTCGTCAGCTAAGGTTCATTACCGCGTTGAAAAGCAGTAGCACGTGCTTATTTTTTTATTTATTTGCGCGACCCATTCCTATTGTGGGCGCGCAGGGACCGTGCAAGGATAGGACTATAAGAAGAAAATCAATTCTAACTGTCAGAGCACCTTATCAAGAGAGTTGTATCTAGTCCCACGAGGGTCTTTTCAATGACCGTCACAATAATTGACTTGACTTATGTTACAAATCTGAGTGACTGAAAAAATATTTTTTAATTAATTTTAAGTCAGTTAATTAATTGTTCATGTGTATCAAATTTTGAATCTAATTTTAATTAATCTTAACAATACAAATAAAGCCCCTCGTGCATTTAATTAATTAAAAAAAAACATTAAATCCATCACTTAAAACTAATTAAATTTTCTTAAACAGGTTTTGTTCAGTTAGATAATTGGAACAAAAACCCACAAAAACCTAACCCATTTTTTTGTTTATCAATTCTTACAATTAGAGTTTTGATTCCATAAAATAGATCGAATACATATATAATAATATTACATGACGTGGTAATTGTATCTAATAATTACCTAATTTTAACCAAATTTAATTTATTTGCTCATTTCTATTAGTTAATAAATTTAATGCCAAATAGTTGGATGAACAAAGAAAGTTAATTTTTGCAATAATTAAAAGGCGGATTTTATGTAAAATAATAATTCAGATCTGGTGATTGACTTCATTGAAACTAAATCATCATTTTTCATAAAATGACCCGGATTCTTTTATTATTTTTATTTTACCAATCAATAAATCGTTGCAGTTTTACAACTTCTTGTCGGCGCTAGTGAAGACTGCAAACAAATTTATCTTTTTCCTCTACATCTCCATGTATACGTGCCATGTGGCGCATTATTTGGACCAAATGAGCGCCGACAGGAAAGAAGTTTTCCTTGAAGCGCGCTCCTGTGACCGATACATAATGTAAATTTAAGCCCATCGCCAGTTACATAAAACGTATATTAAAAAAAACACTTTCCTTGTTATTACAGGGCATTGCTTTATGCGAATTTAATAAATTGGCAGTTCAAGATCATTACCAACCGCGGTCGGCCGCGAATAAACTTGCCATTTCTTAATACTTATCTTGTTATGCGCGACGCTGCACGTTCACTATTTAGGGTCAGTGCGCTTTATGTGCTCCCTTGTTATTGGCATTCCATTCACGGTTGAGTTAAAATTGAGTGAAATTGAAATTAATTAAATGCAGTTCTTCATTGAAGGCCAATACAATAAATTTTTAATTATTTAAATTAAATTTTTTTATGAGATTAATTAATGATGATAAAACGAGATGGATCTCTATTTTTTTTTCATAATTTATATTTACCTCTCAAATGCATTCGAAATTAAATTTCTTACTATCAAACAACAGGGTCATTCTCCCTTAATTGTACTAAGCATTTTTATAGGTTGTACACGACAATTGAATAAAAAAAGGTTGCGATAATACCATCATTGTATATGTGTTCAAGTTAATTTTACGAGAATATGAAAAATATTGAACAGTAAATACAATCATTTGTTTTTCTTGCGTCAATAATTTAAATTTTGAAGACAAAACAAAATTATCTCAATAACCCCAATATTTCTCGCAACGATTGCGAGAGAGGAGGCAAATACATAATAATGAGGCGAGGTTCCAAGCCAAAGGTCAAATACGTAGACCAGATTTCGGTGACAAAAGTCCTCATGACCAGTTGTGAGCGAAAAACACGGAAAGCACGAGCATGGCCGCCAACAGCACGGTCAATGAAAAATTCTGTATCAGTGTCGGTCATTTTTAGAAGTAAATTTTTATAATATTATCATTTAATAATTATTTTCATTTAATATTAAGAACTCACAATGTAACAATAATTCAAAATCACTTCATACAACTCTAAAAAATTCTTTATCAAAATTCGCTATACATCTTAAAAGCATTTTATTTTATACTTTCAATTAAGTTTAAAATATTATTTGCTGGAGTCGAAATTTAAATATTATCCAGTGAGCTTTTCGTATATCATAAATAAGAATGCAGAGAAAAATAATTGGTAAATTACGGTGTTTAAAAACCACAAAACACGTTTCCTTGTTTTCAACAAATTTGTCCGTCGCCAATTTTATCGGCGCGATCGCCTTGTTTTGAGATGCATCCGCTGGCTGATAATGAAATTCGGCTCGTGCGACCTTGCGTGCGCTGATAGATCTCTCTGGCCGGACAACATCGGCGCAGAGAGCCAACGCAAGGTTATTGCCTGACGTAGGTGCAGATTTCCATGCCCATTAAAAAGGTAACTCCTCTAATGAGCGAGTTCTTCCGCGTTTACTCTCGCATTTGTCGCGCGCATCTCTCACCTTGGGTGCATTGCGGCTTCTCCAATTCGGACTCGTATATTTTATTTTCACAGAGGTCGCGTGCATTATTAATGAGAGAGTCGCCTGAATTAGAGGCATAAGGCGCCCTATTAAGACGCCGCAAGGACCAAACGCCTAAAATTCGTTTTGCGAACTAGGGAAGATGGGCGCGCCGCAAGTCAGATCAGGAAGCGATTTGCGTTTTGCAGTTCGTTGCGTTTATTTTATTTATATCCCTATTTCTCCGAACTTGATTATATTGCGCCTCTAAAAGAGCGAAGTGTTTATATTAATTGAAGGTCTTTTTTCCACTCTCGGCTATATCTGGAAATTTATAGTCCAATAAATTTATCATACTATATAAAAGTAATTAAATGTTAAAAATCACTAAATAAAACCTAAAATACTAAAAAAAAATAAGTAATAAATAATATATTAAATTAATCAAAAAATTATTTAGTTTATTTTAGAATAAAAAAACTAAAAAGGGCTAAAGTCGACCTATAAAAAGAACAATATAAAAAAATGAAATATGGAAAAATATGATAATAATTTTAATATGAATCAAAATTTAATGAAATTTTACCGCCGTAATTTCCTTGGGGGAAAATGAGATTGTTTGAATAATGAACAAGAAATGGGTCTGGCTGTGGAGTAAATGAAAAACGTTATTAAAAAACAATCAATGTAACAAACTCCACAAAAGAAATATATAAAAAAGAGGTAGCTAAGCCTACACAAGAAAACTGGACATTGTTTAATATCTGCTTTTGCTAATAATGAGTAAATTATATAACACTCATTAGAACATTCATCTCTCGGGATTTTTTCTTTTCATACACATTACGAAGAAAATCAACTTGACCCCGCGTGCTTTCATATAAATGCAGAGACCGTGTTTATTTTTATATGACCGAATTTGGAAATTAAGCGCGTTTTAAAAGGATAAACAACCAATGTTGATGTCAAGGGTACGCACAAGATCTTATATACTTTTGCTACTTGGATTTTACCATATTATCACTGCAGCACGCCAATGCTAATAGCTCACCATAGACTATTATTTTTCACTGCAAACCTTTATAATTTCGCAATAAAACGTTTTAATGAATTTTTATTATGTTCCGTACATATTGCAATGTTAAAAAATCACTATTTATGTTTTTAGATGATTTTTTCCATCAAAGTTTTAATTCAATAAAATGTCGCTAGTTTTTTGAATTTAAATATTTTGTACTTTAAAAAAATTTAACCATTAAAAGAAATAACAAAAAAAAATTGTGCAGTAGGTTCATGCAAATTTTCCTACAAGGAAGGAAGTCCCAAATATAATGGCCATCATGGGGAATTTCAGCTCTATTAACGTTATGGGAATTCCGCCAGTTTTGCTGGAGGCACAAATTTTACTGTATTTTGACCGGAGTAGAAATTAGATAATATTCATAATATAGGTTGTAAAAATTAAACCTCGTTACCGCTCTTTACGCAATATTAGAAAATGAAGTCGGCTGAGTACGTAATGAAACGAAATAGGCTCAAAAACCACAGTACTTGTGAAGTGATGGAGCGAGGAAAAAAATAAGCAGCTGCATGCAGGTGTTGCATCTGGTTTTGTTGCATTCACTTTCACTGCACTCTCAAGGAGCCGCTTTCCACCATCACAATTATCCACACAAACATGTACAAGCTAAATTAATGATGACATTTGCTGAGGCTTTTCCTGAATGAATGAATTTGTCCGTATTCAAAATAAAACAAGTGGCTCAATTAAATTTCATTTAAAACAGAGCATGAATTAATTTAAATGAGTTTCTATTCTTCAAAAGCGATTAATTTTGCGGACACTGCGTTTGAAAAATTTATCTATGAATGAAAATTGGGGCATTGAAGGTTATTTCATGGGCAGATTGCAAATTTTTGTTGGCAAACGCGCACCTGTCGTTTGCTGGCTCACTCGCTAACATGAATTGTATATTGTTTGCTCAATGACTCTGGATGATTAATGTGGAATTATAGCTATGGACGCGTATATCACATTTCAAAACACCATTATTCAGCGCGCCGCAGGGGTCTTTTGATATATTTCGCGATTCACTGATCTAGAGGCTGATGATATGATTTCGATCGGTCAAATAAATTACAATTTTTTTTGCAAAAGATTCAAATAAGGAAACGATAAAGAAGAACTTGAATATGTTTTTGTCACATAAATTTTGAAGTAGAAAATTTAAATACATCGATTTACAAAGATCACAAAATGGATAAATTATTTTGAAATTTTACGTCAGATACTTAAGTTAGCATTGAAATTTAGTATTATTAATAAAGTTTTGCTGCGTTGTAATTATTAAGGCCATTTAAACAAAAACGTGTCATTTTCATGATTGCGAGCTTCTTTATTTGGCCTCCGAACAGCTCAGCATAGAACAAGACAAATGAGGCGTAAATGCAATTTTGCTAAATCATTCTCGACTTTGAAAAATAATGTCAATAATTCAATTAGGCAATTTGAGCAGGCGGTTGACTTTAAAAAACCAAACAAGCTTGACGGTCGTTAAACTAACTAAGACACAAGTACTATATTTGCATTAAGTGCTTTGAATGTTTGTGCAGGCCATGAAGTCATCGTTACACCTTGGCGCCGCGTGGTTTCTCGCAGCTTTGGCTCCAATATTGGCTCAACAACAATACAACGTGGGTGTCGGAATCGCCGACTGCACTGGACCCGCCGGCGAGATCACTTTTGTACGGCAGAGTGACGGAAATTTTTGTATAAAATATTAAATTTAAATCGGTCAATTTCAGATGGGATACGCACGTTTGGAGCAAAAGGGAGCCGGAATACATTTGCGACAATTTTCCAGGGCTTTCATTTTCGACGATGGAGAGTCTCGAGTGGTCTTCATAAGCGTTGACGTAGCAATGATCAGTTACGGAATCAGGAAAGAGGTAATCAATTGTTTTATTATAGAAATTTAGGTTTTTATTTTCAAATATAATTGATTTATTTTGATGAAAGGTTTTAGAAAGGCTTCAGAAAAAGTACAGAAAATTGTACAACGATCAGAACGTGATAATCAGCGCCACGCACACGCATTCGGCGCCGGGCGGCTACAACCAGTATTTGTTCTACGACATCAGCGTTCTCGGCTTCATGTCCCAGACCTTTAACGGCCTCGTCAATGGAATCGTTCGAGTAAGCTTCAATTTGTCAACAGACGAGCGAGCAATTTTTAACTTATTTCGCATTCAGAGCGTGGACCGGGCGCACGCCGACTTGTCTCCAGGCTACGTGACTTGGAGCCAAGGATTGCTTTTGGACGCAAACATCAACAGAAGTCCGACGGCGTACTTGAAAAATCCCGATGAGGAGAGAGCATCGTAAGTTACGAAATTTTGAATTTAGGCAATATCATAAGAAGTGAGATTGATTTCAAAATAAATTGCGATTATTGGTACCATAATTAATTATAATTTAAAATCTAAGTTTATAAGCATTTTAATTAATTTTACAACTTCATTATTTCAAGCTCTTTTGGTAGCCTAACTTAATTAAGTTGAAGAAAAAAAATATTATATTAATTAAATATAAAGTTCAATAAATTTTAATTCAATATGAAATATAAAGTTGAAAGTATTACAGAGTATTACAAACATTTAATTTTAAAATTTTTATAGTATCAATATGAAAGTAAGTTATTAAAGTAGTTTATAGTTAATTTATTTTAAAATCATTATTAATATGATATTAATAAAATAATCAAAATAATATCATATTATGTAGATTACTTTTAATTTTAGTTCAGTGTAGTTGTTCAAATTATATAAATTTTATTATTTCATTATTAAAATAGAATTATTTTCATATTTTAAACTATTTGTATTTTTCAACTTTTTCAATTTTATGAAAATGTAAGGTATAATTTACATAAAAATATAATACAATATTATTTTACTAATAAATTAATCTCGCATTTCCAATAAGTTACAAGTATGACGTGGATAAAATAATGACACAACTGAAAATCACCCGCTTGGACGGAACTCCTGCAGGGGTGATCAATTGGTTCCCCGTGCATCCGACCAGCATGAACAACACCAACACCCTGGTCTCCAGCGACAATGTTGGCTACGCCTCGGTTTTGTTCGAGCAACAGATGAACAAAGACTCTCTCATCGGAAAAGTATATTATTCGAATATTAAAAAAAATTTAACGTTGAAAAAACCCATTTTCTTCAAATTTTTTATTTAGTTGCAAAGTGTCTTATTTAACAAAATAAAAATCCTCAGGGAAAATTCGTGGCAGCGTTTTCGTCAACCAATTTGGGAGATGTGTCGCCCAACATCCAAGGACCCCATTGCTTAGATAATGGAGACCCGTGCGACATGTACTCCAGCACCTGTGACGGCGCCAACGTGCTCTGCGTCGCTTCTGGACCCGGAAACGACATCTTCGAAAGCACCAAAATCATTGCCGAACGACTGAATGCAAAAGCTATGGTAAATTTTAAAATAATAATTTTTATATAAGTTACATAAAAATATGTTCGCAGGAATTATTTACGAGTGGAAATAACGAAAGTGTCAGTGGAAAAATCCAGATTGTCCATCAGTATGTGGACATGACGAAGCAGAACTTCACAATTTACGACAACTACACCATGAAAAACTTTACCGTAAAATGCAAGAATTTGTTTGATAATTTTGAATTTTTAGATGAAATTTTAGGTTCGAGGGTGTCTGCCCGCCATGGGGTACAGTTTTGCGGCGGGAACCACGGACGGCCCGGGGGCGTTTAGTTTTTCGCAGGGCATGACGTCTCCAAATGACTTGTGGAACGCCGTCCGAGACTTTATCGTGACACCGAGTGACGATCAGAGGAGGTGCCATCGGCCTAAGCCCATTCTTTTCCCAACAGGCGAAGTAAGTGAAATAAAATAAAATTAATAATACCAAATTGCGGAACATTAAATAAATATGACCATCAAAAGTGATGCATAATTTTTCAATTAAAACAAAAGTAAAAAATACGGTAAATTTATTATTATTTTATTAAATTTATCTTATATGAATCTTTCCCCTGGAGATGACTGAAAAAATTAGAAAAAAACTTGGTTATAGATGAAAAAATTTAGTTTTTTTTTTAAAAAAAACTGTTCCAGATGCAATACCCCTTCCCGTGGCAGCCAAAGATTGTTTCCACGAGCCTTGCAATGATCGGTAACTTTGCGATTATCCCCGTTCCTGGAGAATTCACAACCATGGCCGGCAGACGTCTGCGAAAAACCGTCCGGGACACTTTGACTGAGTACAATGCACCTCCTGGCCCGGTGGTGATCGCAGGCCTGTCCAACACCTATTCCAGCTACATAGTCACCCCAGAGGAATACGAGGTTTGACTTTATTTTATACAAAAAAAAAAAAAAAAATAAAATTAAAAAAAAAATAGTTGCAGCGATACGAGGCTGCGTCTACGATTTATGGCCCGCACACGCTGACTATTTATCAAAGACAGTACAAGAAGTTAGCCATCGCCCTGATGACCAACACCAACCTGAGGCCAGGTCGAGTACCGGCAGACATTAAGGAGCAAACAGTGACTTTGCTTCCTCCGGTCATTTTTGACTCGACGCCATGGGACAAAGACTACGGGACGGTGGTCAGGCAGCCGAAAAGCGTCGCCACCATTGGGGACAAAGTCACGGCTACCTTTGTAAGTTCAAAATTTTTTATGCTTTTAAAAAACACATCAAAGAAGAAAATAGTCCAGGAACGAACTAAAAATTAAAATAAATTTAATTTAACAAAGATCTTATGTAAAAAAACTTCTCAACCTTTCCCATAGAATATGAATGTAAATTTTTTTAATTTCGACTGACCTAATGATTTTATTTTTCTATATTAATAACGGTGATATGAACGTGATTTTCTGTAATTTTTATCAATTTCAATCAGACCAATTTTGAGAAAAAAATCATTTAGGAAAATTCCCATTAGAAACAATGTTGAATTAAAAAATTCAGTTCTCCCAATTAATTAAATTTTTCTTGGAACTGAAAACCCAAAGCTAATGTAAAGAAAAATAACCATAAAAATTGATTGGGCCGTTTTTTTTTGCCAAAGCCTCTCCTAAAAATCATTTTTGCTAATAAGTAATAAATCTCTGTGTTACAATTAAAGCTTTTGAATCGATAAATTTAAATTATTTAAATTGTTTAACAGAAATGACTGAATCAATCCGAATAAAGATTTCAGGCCATCCTAGAAATCACCTTTTGCAAGAAGAGAGTTTCATGACTGTTGAAAAACGCGTCCAGAGGGAAAACACAACCTTTTGGCAAATAGTCGCCACTGACGCCAACTGGGAAACGAAGTAAACTAAAGATAAGTTTCACATGTTCCTCTGATATATCAATTATAATAATCTCCAGATTCCACTGGTATCGAACGTCATTCTTGAAAGGAATGAGTGAGGCGAGAACGGAGTGGATCATTCCCGAAGGCACCGAACCAGGCGTGTACAGATTCAGCCACAAGGGCCACGCAAAATTGGTGTTTGGCGGAATTTCATCCTACAGGGGCCACAGCAGACCATTTCAAGTAACGTGAAAATTTCAATTAGAATAATTTTTTTGACTAATTTTCAAATTAATTTCTTTCAGGTTGTTACTCCGCCGAAACAGTTCAGCTTGAACAGGAGCAAAAGACTGTTTTACCAATGATAGTCAATCATTGATCAAGTCAAGAGATTTTCCTGTCAGCAAAGTCCTTTTCATAGGCATACTAAAATAAATTATACAAAATCCCTGCCGTAGCTATTAAGGTAATAAATTAATATTTTGTGAGAGCGTTTTAGAAAAATTGTCATTTAAAAATCAACAGCTTTTTATTTTTTAATCACAATCACTGTTCTTGTGCAACTGTTCTTCTGGCATGCCATCAATAAAAATGGCACTATTATAAATGTTTGGACATTTTTCGTGCAAATTAATATCTCTGTCAATTTTCTAAAACGACAATTTCTGCTACGACTAGCTTGGATAACATTGTGATGATTTTTAGTAATATTTAATCCAGATTGATTAATTTGTTTGGATCAAACTATTAATTTGATTACGATATATAAGAGCAAAAAGCCAATTAAACGGAACCTCCGGGGACAATGTATTGGGGAAATATTTTACCTCTAAATATAACAGTGTCTGGCGAGTGTGGAACAAAAAATATTCTACTGCTTTTGTACTTCTTCTGTTGCTGGGGCTGCTTCAATCTCTGCGGGTTTCTCTTTGCTCAGGTAATTGTAGTTGATGAATCTGTATCCTTGAGTGAGTTGAGCTGCCTCATTTGTGAAGTGACAGGCGAAGAGCAAGAGATTCCTCGGTTGTACTTTCCACGCAAATCTCATGAAAATCATCGAGTATAAACAAAGTGCTGTAAAGAGATAGAATTCAATTGAGTTGTTTTGCAAGAAAAAGCAATAAAAATTTTTATCTCACCAAGAGTCATCTTGCCACTGATAAATTTAGGGTCTTTTTTTGTGTCAGCGATGGCAGCGATAGGAATGCCCCAATTAGCAACTGGTCCCCAAAAATGTGTGCTGAAAGACAAAGCGGTGTGATAAATTCAAATTTCCGTCCAAAACTTAAAGACAACAAAAGGAAAAGACAAAATTGAGGTGACCTTCAAATGGACCTTGAATCCGGATCCTTTATCTCGAATAATTTTTCTTATTTGATATTTTTGAAATTTCATTACCTCATTAAATATTCCCTAAATTCTTTGCTCTTGAGCTGGTCGAGGCCCTTCTTGATTAAAGTCGATGCCATGTTGGTGGTTTTTTGGAAAATTAGGAAAAAATTAACAGAGCTGGGGGCACACAAAGCACGACTTGTTTACTACGAAGAGAACTGCAGGTGGGTGTGCGAAATAAAATACTGTGGTGAAGAGAAGGGAGATTTACGCGCGTAATTTAAAATTCTGTCAGCATAGTAAGTATTACAATTAGGAGCACTTCGGAATTAAAATAAAATTATCGAAACACACGCTACAGCCAAATTTATCATGAATACCTTTTTTTATTCATTATTTTTGCTCATGTAAAATTTTTTTTATATTGCCATCCTTTTTAACCTAATTTTAATTTTGGTGTGCATATTTTTATCATTTTATAAGATAATTTAAGAAACACAATTTTGATTTTTTTGACAAATTGTTTTTGTTTATTTTAACACAATTTTTAGAAGTGGTCAACACTCTGCGACGTTTCGAATAAAAAATTACAAAAATAACCATTTCCTGGCATGTGAAACGCAACAGGACATTAAATATTACTTAAACTTCACGATCCATAACAAACTCAAAATATTTATTTTAAACTATACCTCTTGAACTAATAGCATGATCATGGGCATAATTTTCAATATTGCTATTTATCTTTTTTAATCGCTACATCTTTTTGTAGCCACAAAATGTGTTACAATACAATACAGTGGTGGCAAAGTATAAAAATATAACAAAATTTTGGTCCACACGTTTGATATACTAAATGCTACATGACATTCAAAGAAGAATTTGGAAGAGAACAACATGCGTCACGGTGGACTGCTCAAAAGCAGAATCAATTCTCAAAAGAGAAAGAGCCCAAACTCCAAAGGTTGAAGGTGATGATCAAGACTTTTCCAAATAACTATCAAGACCACGCAAAACTTTGTGTTATAACTTTGCTTGTAGTTTTAGCTCCCTGAAAAAGTTGGGAAAAAAATTATAAAAAAATGAATAATTTGTTAAATTAACACAAACCATTTAACTATCAATCTGTTCCGACTGCTCCAGCGAGTCAAGCGTGTCGTTGGAACTTGACTGAGTGAGGTCCGAGAGTTCATCCAGGTGCTTCTGCCGCTTCCTAACATTCCAGTGAAGACACTCGGCCAAAGAGTCAAACCAGTCGGATATCTGGTCTTGGGCGCAGATTGAAGGCACAGGGTAAATGGAGGTGGTCACTCGGAGACTAAAAATAAAATTTCAAAAATTAAATCATCAGCACTTAAAGTGAAATTAAAAACAAAAACGTCATGCAAAAAACTATTTAAGAGCAGCTTTCCAAACAGAACCAACAACCAAAGTGCAAGTCTGTGAAAGAGAAAGTTAGCCACCCCAGGAGAAAAGACCAAGTGTCCGCCAATACATAAGTGTAGGAATGAATCGGTTAACCAGGGAAACATTTTGAAAAGCGTCTGCAACTCCAAAAGAGAGTCACACACCTATCTCCTTGGAGCAATTCTTGTTGGTAGCGTCCGTCAAAACTGACACATGCTGTGCTACGAGCGTCATTGCTTAGCATTATCTGAAACACACAATAAAACCGTGCTACCCTGGTGAGAAAATTACGTCTGATAGGTATTAATTTTTTTTGGTTTATTCAGTATTCAGTGCACCAAAAACTGCTCACAACTGCTACTTCTACAAGGGGTGCTAATCAGTGAGTAAAAAAATAGAGACAATGCACAGTGACCGTGTGGTGCTGCCGCTTACCTGTCACCGTGTCTCAATTCTTGTCTGTTTCTGCCATCGAATGAAACCCAAGATGTGTTTCTGCTGTCAGGAGACACTGAAATCTTCAAAGATTATACGTCTTTTTGAGCCACTCAGAAACGATATCAGTTTAAATTTTTTTAACAAAGTTTGGAATTTTTTTTACACTTCTTTGTTTCAAAATGTATATCAATCATATATTTATAAATTATTTTGAAAAAGATTCAAAATGACTCATCATTTTTTTTTTTAATTCATTGTAAACTATGATTTTTTTTTGCTTGCTTTAAATAACTGCACCAAATTTGCAATAAAATTAATGATAGATTTTACCTTCAGTTCCACGCCAGCAGGTACGACGATGGGTCTGAACGATAGCGAGTGAGGACAAATAGGAGTGACCATGATGGCAGGCACACTGGGGTGGATCATTGAGGCGCCTGCTGCGACTGCGTAGGCGGTGCTACCAGTAGGAGTTGACACAATCAGACCTGTTTAATATTCAATAAAATAATTCGGGCAAAAAAAAAATAGGACTGTTTCACCGTCGCCTTGCACGGAGGTGATGTGTTTTCCGTCCAGGTAGAGGTCAATGTTCGACAGGTAGGGCGAGGGTCCTCGGTCGATGACCACCTCGTTTAGCACCAAAAGATTGGTAGATGGAACGTGGCCCTTTTCGTCGTCCTTCCGCATGATGATGCAGCGGAGACGACTGCGCAGGGTCAAGGCTGCGTAGCCTTCCAGGACATTGGTCACTTGCTCCTGGAAGTTCTCAAACTCAAATGGAGTCAAGAAGCCAAGAGATCCAAGGTGGAAGGCCATCACAGGTGGCACTGATTGCTGCAAAATAATAATTGAGATTAAATAAATTAAATTATTCCAAACGAGACAAAGGATTTAAAAGATAATTTTTTTTTCAGTTGAATTTTAATTTAGTGGTCTTACTGAGGGGATTTGGCATGGCTTTTTAATGAACACCAAAGGTAATCTTAAATAAATATCAAGAGACTCCTTGAATAAAAATTATAGCACTAGCGCCAAACAAATATTAGCATACTTGAAATAACAAGCTGGCATAGAGCAAGGTGCCGTCCCCTCCCAAGCAGATGATGAAGTCGATTTTGTCTGTCAAATCATCTTTGCCATCTTGAAATGTCATTAGCTTGTCCTTGACGACTTGGAAGCTGCTGTTTGCCTGAAGCATCGAGTCATCCATGACCGAGTTCTCCACAAACACCACCATATTTTTCTCCTGAAAATGCGTATTAATATTTTACTGGCAAAATATTTTTTTTTTAATGAACCTTGATGAGCCAGTGCACCAGTTGGACGAATGGAGGAAGCACAGAGGCGTCCCTCACTTTCTTTATCACCAGCACGGTGAGGGGCGGTTTGTACCATGTCAGGCGCTGGCTGGCCGGGTCTTGGATCGTCCTGAAAACCGGTGCCAAAAATCAGTCTCCCACTCAAAGTGAGCAGATAGAGATCAGAGTGTGCCTTGTAATGAGCAATGCCTCTTGAAGAAAAATACGTGGGAGGGTCTTTGAGGTGTTACTTTGCATGTTGGAACTCGTAATGAGTACAAATAATATAGTCGAGAGAAACGAGGGACGAGTTTTTCTTTTCTTAACATCGAGGAGAGGTCACAATTTTAATTTGGGGGGTTTGAAACATAGTTAGAGAAGAGGGAGTTGACGAGAAACAAATGCAGCCCACTTACATCACCATAGCAGAATTTTTCATGATACGACCACAAGGGCCAAACTGCTGCACTGGACTGGGAGCATTTAATGATCGGGTACGCCTGAAACATTAACGGATATTTGCCGTAAGAAACAACCTCATATACGGATGTCGTGCATGGAAACAACAAACCTAGTTAAAGTTTGCCAATTATTTTTTCAGCATTTACGTCAAAATTTAAAATTAGAGCGACTAAATGCGGTTTCTTTAATAAAATAAACAAGGAAATAAGGAGGAAAAACCTCATATCTCATATCATTAGTTTGAAATAACGCAATTCTCTTAACTTGATATTCAAATTCAAGCAAGAATGTGTGGCAAGCAAACAGTTAAATGAACGGTTCAGAGCACACTGATCAGAATTGACCATAAATTTGAGTTTACTGTTACAATTTTACTGCAGATAATAATGGAATTTAAACAAAAATTATACAAATATATAAAAAAATCAAGGAAATAGCAACTTGCCTAGATCAATGCTACGTGTAAACTGATATTCTACAGACTAACCAGAGAGGTGTCAAATTTACTCGTGATATCAGAGTGTGAAATCGAATATAACATGCTTGTAAAACAATCTGGACGATGGCACCATAGAGGTGAACCAACTAGATGGTACACTCAAGCCATTAAACTAAAAGACTACAGACAAAAGCACGTCTCGCGAGCTCTAATCTTGCGCTAGTAATAAACAAATAAATAACTTATACGTGTAATTAAGTGAGACTCAAGCAAGAACATAAGGGAAAATTAAATTGTAAAAAATAAAGTAGTAAATAAGGGGCACGAGCAGCAAACGAATTCCAAAATGCAGTAAAACGAAACAGCGAGACTGGAGAATGATGAGGTGTGGGTTTTTTTATCGTGCGCCAAATTTATAATAGGTGCGATCAGCCTACAACAATAATAATACCTGGTCTTATTTGTTTTTCTTCACATGCACAGAGAGCAACAATAAAAAAAGGAAATCACACAAAATTGCAGCAGAGGTGTGCCGGTGGACGTTTGACATTAAAAAAAGAGAAAAGGTGCTTTGCAAATCAAGACAAAATGCGGTCCGAAAGGAAAATGGGTGCTGAACAGACAAACCTGCGATCCTGCGCCTTTTGTTGGTCCATCTCGCCGCAGCTGCACGTTTCGCACTTATTTCGCTGAGTTGGGCTGCTAATAACAGTAAAATAACAAAAGTCTCTTTCAGCTTACTCAGTCAGGCAGGCAAATTGCACGCAAAATGTATGGGGAAAAAATGCATCAGAGCGAGCGAATCCGCCGTAATTGCGGCGCAACAATGGCGCGGTAATTGACCAAGGCAGCCTTGGGAAATAAAAATTCGCTGTCGGAATGGAAAATACAATTAAAAATATAAAAATAAAATTGGCAGCATCTGTCAAAATCCGCGAGTTGCTGAGTGAGAGGAAATTTCCTAGAATTGGCCAAGAAGAAAATTGGCACGGCTCGTCAGCGGCGCTCTCGCGGTTTCCGACAGGGCTGCTCTGCGCTTTTGACAAATCGGAAAGGATTAATAAAAGTGAAGGCCTGCTCGATAAACCACGCCGTCTGTGAAAGAGATTAATTTTGAAAAGACGACGAGAGAGAGCGAGCGACCCGTGCACACCGTTGTGAATCGCGAAAGAACTTCCAAGTTCAACGAGTCAATGACCCGCGCACAGAGTTGTGGTAGTACCCTTGGGGCCAAAGGAGCAAGCAGCTGATATAACAGGAACTCCTTCTCTCTCTCTTTCAATCTCAACTACACACCTTTTCATTATCAATGTTTTGGTAGAGAGAGTAAACATGATTGAATTTCTATACAGTGTCTCAATTGATCTTTTGCTGTACGCGTGAAAAACGACGCCGATGAGAAATGAACCAGTTTTTTTTTCAATTCGTGGCTTTGCTTTCGCTGATCACAGCGACTTTGCTTCGCATCTGATGAAGGGAATTTTTTTTTCATAATTTCTTGTATTTTTAATTTTACAACATTTTCTGTGGGGAAACTAAAATTTCAAGTATTGATTTTATATTAGAATTAAACTGGGAAAATTTGTGTGTAATTTAATTGTATTTTAATAACATTTATTAATTATTGAAAGCTAAATTTTCAATAGAAATACAAAACTACTCATTATACATTTAAAAATTAAATTATTAATATAGATTTTTATTTCTAATTGCAAGAATTTGAGTCGGGTTAAAATAATACCTGAACAATTAATAAAAAATAAATAATAATAATCTTATTTACATTATTTTTATTTTTGATTTCTTTGTTAATAAATATCTGAACATTTGCGCATGGAAAATGTAAAAACATTGTTGAAAATGACTCATTAAAATTATAGAATTCCCCCTCCACCCCATATGAGACTACTTCTCTGTTCGCGTTTCAATTTTTGATATCAACAGGTCGGGACGAGACGCACTCAACAAAGAAAACGCTTAATCACTTTGCAATTATGAGATATCTAAAAATAGTCTCCATTCAATGCCACTTACTTTTCAAATGGATTTTCCCTTTGATACTTTTTACTTCTCTCTTGACCGTCAGTTTGCAGTACATCGCAATAAACTCAAGCTTTTGATTGCGCCATAACCTTCGTTATGGGCAAAAAGTCTGTCCGAGTTTGAAGTACATAAAAAAGTCTCAGCTCATAATGGAGATGTTAAATTTGCCGATTGTAAAATAAAACGGAAGCAGCTGAGCGTGAAAATATGCCGAGATAAAAATTCCCCGAGATGCAAATTTGAGTCGGAGTCACTCGAGCGCTTGGCACCTCACGCGTCGCGCGCGACACTCCATAGATCGGATGGAGCAGAAAAATAAGATACTGGTTGGTGCGCGGCAGATGGATGACCAGGGCATTTGTTCGACTGGAGAACCCGTCAGACTTCGGAGATCGTGATGGAACATAAAAGCAAATGATGCAGAGGAATTGGGTCAGATTGAGATGACTGAACCGATGTTTGCCTTGTTCGAGAGACCTAAAATTTAAGCACGTTTCAACCTACATTTTGGGATTTACTGTTCCAGCAAGGAGCACGATGAAAACGTGTCTTTCAAAATTTATGAATAACGCTCTATAGAAATCTCACTAAATTGGTTAACGTAGAAAGAAAGTTCTGCTCAAAATATAAGCAACTTTTTTCAAAACAAAATTTTAACTGATTTATTTAATAATTCCGAACTGGAATTCTTTACATGGATTTTTGTTCTTCAAAATTAACAAAAAATTATTTATGTTCACTAACGTTTCTAAAAAAACGTTAATCAGCAAATCATTTATAATTCATATTTCAAAAATTCCTCAATTTTACATTGCCTCCGTTTTGAATGAAATATTCAAAGTAATCCAATTTAAAATTAGATTTTCCAATAGTTTCCTAGCGGATATAGAGGTGCTGATTGTTTATCACGATTATGCCACACTTCCCTTCGCGTGAAAGGCTTCAAAGGAGTAAGGGCCAGTAGCTGTTAAATCACTTATTCAAATTTATGCACCAACTTAGGAGACAATTGTATGCAAGGAGTTAAAAATGAAAACGACTTATACATTTTTTAAATATTAGCCAGAATAGCACAAAATGAATTAATAAATTCAAATGCTGAAATCACTGAAATGATTTGGAATTACGCTGAATCCTTTAGAGATAAACTGCCAAACTCACCAGAGGTTGCATAAATAAATGATCAAATTAATGCTATCAACAGCACTTAACGTCACGCATTTTCAGATTGTCGATACATCCTATCAAACTGATCGATAAACGTCCTACATTTTGTTCGTCAGAGAACAATTATAGTCAATTTTAAATACAAAATTAATGAAACAAAATTGAATTGATCAAAAATGTTAGCGGTTGGGGCTTTTTACAGAGTTTGGGAACAAAACAAGAACCAACAAACTCACCTGAAAACTTTTTCCTGCACTCGTCCCACGACTGATTTCCGGTGTCTTGTGCCTGTGGAGTTCAGTTCCATGCCAACCATAGCCTTAGCCAAGCTGAGATCACTTTCGTTCATTCTAGACACAGAGACAAATTGATCCGATTCATCAGCAAAAATTTATATGTATTAGCAGAGTCATCAAATTTCATACATACGCAGGAAAAAAATAAACACAGGCACAAGCATGTATAGAAGTGTTTGGAAAAAAAATTAATGAAATCAAAGAGAAGAAAGTTCAGCACCCTTTAACCGCAGGTCAGAAATCATGCACGAGTGCGGTGGTCGACAAGCGTGACAAGCACTTCAAGTGACCCTAAAACCCAATTCGGCCGGGAAGAATAATAATAACGCCGCCTTTACCTGTTAATTAATTTTGTTATGCAACGCGGGGCCAATCAATTGCGAAATACGCCGATCCAAATTTCGGGTGCACCTTTGAAGGTCCGTTCGTCGGAGTTGTATGATCTGCGGAACAAATTAATGTCCCGTTCGAAAGGTCCTTCAGATGTCCAAGTGCGCGGATAGAGTTGAGGATCCCGCGGGCGCCGATTGTGCTCTGATAATGAGATCAATTCATCGAGCTGCCCTGCTTAAATTTACCACAGGTCTCTCTCAACCCCGCCCCTCTGAACAAAAAGTATCGATTTTTATTTTTTCTCAAACCGGTTTCTGCCCGCAAAAATCGCCACCTGCAGTTTCAAATGGTGTCACCTCGGGGCTAAACCGGTTTTTGCTGCAAAAATTACCGATTTCTTTATCTTTATTATTATTGTAAACATGATCAGATGTTGAAGGACCTCTTTATGCCCTGTTTTTTTGGTGAAAATGCAAATTAAATTCTAAGATTTCGATGACATCAAATTTTTTTGTGTATTTCGACACTTGATTGGAGTCATCATATGCGTAAAAACATCATTACGAATGCAATGAGGTTTGAAATAATGCTATTTTTTATATAATTGAATGAATAATTTAAATTTACAAACGGATTTTTAATTCACAGACAAATTTTACTTCAGAGGGATGGATGGAGTCTTGACTGACACAGAGTACTATACTTTATTCATCCTGGTTGTGCTTCCGGTTCATCTATTCTTTTCGCTCTGGGCATGGATGGGTTGGGAATTATTTATCAACAATTAAATGATAAACAGTATAATATGGTCTTGTTAAAAATACACTCCATTCAAAACTTTTAATATGTAATGTTTATTTTCAATACAACTTTGTTCCTTTGCAATATAAATAAGGAAACATACATAAATAAAGAAGTTATTGTAATTACAAATAAAATACAACTAAATTTCATAAAACTAGAAGTCATGATTGATTAAAAATTAAATGGAGTGCTTCGTCACTGATAAAGTGCAATACTCTCAAGCTTGACACTCATTTAGGATCCTGAGCCATATTTTGCAAGGTCTTTCCTAGTCACGATTCCTACCACCTGATATTTTTTAAATTAAAAACTGCATATATGTATCACAAAACAACATAATACATACCTCAAATTTATCATTCATCACTGGCAAGTGGCGCAGGCCGAGACCTCGGAATAATTTGAACACTCGCGGGAGAGATGCAGCCTGGTAATAAAACAATCAGCTACAGTAGAACTAATAATAAATTCATAATTACCAAAGGTACTGTATAAGGCGCTGGATTCATAAATGGTCTCAAGTCGATGGAAAAAGTGCGCTCCAACTCAGAAATATGAATTTGCTAGAGAATAGTAATATTTATATACTTTCAAATAATTGGTAATAATAAACTATACCTGAATTTTTGGATATCGTGGATAAGCATCTCTGAACAATTTCAAGCTAATAGACTTGTTCATCCATTCATCTTTGGTCTCCATAAATATTTTGTTTTGAAGCAAAACAATAAGTTGAGAACGTAAAATCAGTCCGCAAAGACTACTGCCAGGGCGACCACTTTCCTAAATCAAATTTGTTTTAGTGATTTTTACTTGCATTAAAATTAGCTTACTACCTCTTCATTGTAAATGGAAGTCACAACAGGGAAGCCACAATGATTTTCTCCATTATCACTCTTCAGGATGTCAACTATCCTTGCCACAGATTCAACACAATTTAGCTTGATCACAGGGTAGCTCATAAAATCGCTAGCAAAAATATTATGGGACAGCGGAGGAGGGTCCCATCCTAAGATTGGCACTCCAGACAAATGGATGTGAATGTCATAAATACCCTAGGATACAATTTAACTTAAAATCAAAATGTCTTGGCTTGTATTTTTTTTTTACCTCATTGAATAAATCTCCAACCCACTTGGCAGTAATTAGAGTAATCATTAGCGGCAAACCAAAAGTGATATTGGCAGTTGCCTCTATTAAAATCACAGTGAGACTTATCGTCATTCTGACTGTGCCTCCTAACTGGGAAGCAGCTCCAATCAACGCATATTTCCCAGGCTGCGCCCATGCCTTGAAAAGGATGATAAATAAAAAATGTTGCAAATTTCAAATGCACTCACAGAAGTGGGAAATAGGAATTCTAAAAACATTCCTGCCAATCGTCCCCACGCTGCTCCCGTCAAGAGGGAAGGAATGAACAGGCCACTCGAAACGCTCAATCCATAAGTCCAGCAGGACAGAGAGAAGTAAATCAGGAAGAAAACCCCCACTGTTAGAGGATTGTGTGATCCTAAAAATAGATATGACATAAAATGTTTTAAAGTTAAGTACAAAAGGTTTTGATAAATTACCTGGTGGATCATGAAATAATGAACGCACACTCGCTTCAGGATTTTGGAACCAAATAGAAGCAGCAGCACTGTACTCGCCATCTCCACAGTACATCTTTAAAGAAAGTTTCTAGCCAAATTTTTATAATTCAACATTAAAATACCTGAACAGGATATTTTGTTGGGTCTTGACCCAGAGGTCTGCAGTCGTCGATCAGCATGATCATGGTGTAAGCCACAGTAGCACTGACGGAGGCCACAACAAGTACCTCCACAACTTTCATCCACCTCTTTGTAATATACCTTTTAATAATTAAATAAATTAATTACGAAAAATAATATAAAAACTTAATACTTCATTCTAAATAGAGTTAGCTTCAGATTTGCAAAATTGAACAGAGCCCCGAGAACACCTCCAAGAGCTCCCAGCAATATAAAAAGAGGGATCTCAAAAATTTCGTACGACATGTTGGGGAACGCTCCAAAATTAAGCAGTCCTGAGTAAGACAATTGCCCTGAAAAATAAAAAATTTTGGAAAAAAAGTAAAATAAGTTATTAGCAATCATACCAGCAAATCCATGGTAAGCACTGAGGACAACATTGAGCGTAAATGTGGATATCATGGAGGCAAAAAATATGCGCCAAGTTAGACTTTGATTCCAAAAACTGCTGCCCTCCTCCAAGCTGAAGAGAACTCCACCCATCGGAGCTCCAAAAGCTGCTGCAACGCCAGCAGCGGCTCCGCCAGACACAAAATCTCTCTTTTCGTGGTCCTCTCGGAAATAGTTGAAAAAATGAAAGTCTTTGGCTAAGGAGGTGGTTTTCCCTTGGGAGATTCCTGCAGCTACCACAGCTCCCGAGTGAATCATTGGACCTTCCTTTAAAACGAATACTTCAATTTTGAGTGAAAAACAAAACAGGATTTTTCTACCTTTCCAACAGCTAGCCCTCCTAATACAGAGCACGTTACTCCGATGGACTTGACAAGAAGAGTTTTTATCCTCACAACTCGGGCAATTTTGACTCCATTCAGGTAGCATTTAACTTGAGGAATTCCACTTCCTGCTGCTACTGGCTAAAATTAAAAAATAAAAATACACCCAAATTGTTTCATTTGATTTTTACCTCAACGTAGGTGACAAGGAGGGTTCCAATTAAGACAGGAACAATATTGGTCGCCACCCAATATAGCAAAGGGATGTACATGCGCCGTTCTGACATGCATGAGTCCACAACTGTAAAAATGTTAATTAGAAATTATTTGCCAATAATATTTTTAATTTACAATGCTTCATGTAGTAGAATTTATAATGGGACAGCTCTTCTATGGCAATATCTATGCAGCAGGCAATCAGGGCGGTTACGACGCCGATGAAGAAGAAAACGATCCAACGGGCGAATCTCTTTTTGACTACGAACTTGTACCCTTTGGTCCTCTCCTCATTTTGCATCAGTCTGTTTTCGCAAATGTCGTAATCGAGGCTCTAAAATTTTTTAAACAATTTTTAGTTTTTTTCTAGAACAAATTATGAATAAACAATAGACTTCAAATTGCGTTGAGATATTTTCAATAATTTCATGGCTAAGTTGATCTCTTGGTGGAGCCCCGACGACCCTTTGGCGCAAACTGCACCAGGACTGTTCCATGATATTTTCATTTGTCCGCCTTCGGAGCTGAAATTAAATAGATGACAATGGCTCCAACATCAATTTTGGATAAATATATACCTTGGGTAAATAAGACACGCTGCCGACTTCTGTCGAAGATGTAGCAGCCTCGTCTGCATCAATTTGGTCGACTTCATTTGAAGTTGATGGTACCAGTTGCTCCCGATCCTCCATTGTAAACCAGACTTTAAGTCATTAGAAGAAATTTGCAGCCCCAAGTAAAGAAAAAGCCTATGGAAAAATATGATTTCTTAGATACAAAGACGAAAAAAATGTTTAACGATGATGAACTGCGCAAAAGCAAATTAAATCATAATCTTATAAACTTTTGGCACTTTAATACACAATGTACAAGTAATATTGGTGCAACGTATGTATTAAAACCAAACCTTTCTCAGTCTTAAAATTTCAACAGCTATTTTTATAAAATCAGTGTAACCGTAACCGCGATGCAGGAAAGAGGAAACTACATATGTACGTAGAGGAAAGAGGACACTTTTAAGCCGTGCAATGCAAAGTTAGTGTTTTCAATTTTCATGTGACGAGAGGGGCGTTGCCAATCATATGACCAGCTCAAAATATAAACAAAGGGGCATGACTTGCAGCCGCGGAAAGGACGACTTGCATATTTTTACGTGATCTATGTATTTTTGTAATATTCTGATAAGATTGGCCACACAGCTCCACTGATTGATAAGTTTTCAACCTGTAGAAGTGTAGAATCTCTTCAATCGACAGAAAAATGGAGAGAAACAAGAAGCGTTTGATGCGAGTGAAATTTGTCTCGTCTAAAGACTGTTTCTTGCATGTAAACTCAACAATTTTGAACTCGGTAAGTAGAAATTTATAATTTTTCAGCCAATAATTCTTGTTAAAAAATAAATCAGGTATTTACAAATGTCGTCAATTTTTTTCTTCAAAACACTTACTTTTTTTATAATATATATGTTATACATTATTATCCTATTAATTGTTAATATGTATTTTCTAATTTACTGACAGATGCAAGGAAAGATTTTTGAAGTGCTGGATGAAAATGGAAAAACGTGTCTTGGCTTCAGCTCGTGCTTCACGTCATCACTAAACAGCCTGAAAGATGATGAAGTGGGAATTTCACAAAAATTTGCAAAAGCCCTCCATGCTCTGAACAACTCGATTGTATCGTTGAGAGAGTTTGATCAACTCATTCCTAAATCAAGCCAAGTGATTTTCACAACCTCAGATGCTGATTACTCGATTCTCGTGAGTTTTATGCCAGCAAAATTGTATTAAATTGAAAGAAAATAATTCTACCTTAAGGCAATGAATGCGTCAACTGTTGAGTATGTTTTATTGGACCAAACAAGAGTGATGAAGAAAGGACAGAGCGTTGCTATTTGGATTTCTCCCATGATCACCATAAACCTCACTGCTGGTATATTTTATAGTTATATTTTCATTATTTTTGTTTATGAATGTGATATTTCAGATAAAATTGTACCCGAATCGACCATAGCATTTTTGACCAATGAGACTGAAGTTCACGTTTTGCCTGCCTCTGACGCATCGCCAATTTCCTCTGAAAAAAGTTTTGCTCATCAGCAAACTACAAATGACCAGCAGAAGAACTTAATTTGCAGAGTTATATTTTCTGAGAAACCCCATCCCTCACCTTTTGTGGCAAAAATTCATCCTTGTGCTCGACCAAATTTTTTATTTGCGCTTGGAAAAATTTTGAGTGTTGACCTCTCTCTGACACTGCAGCTTTTTGCGGATCCAGACATCTACCCGAGCCATGACTTTCTATCAAATCTACCGATTTTATATCTTGACAAACGAGTAAGAGGCCAGTGCAAAGTATTTGATGGATGCAAAATTTATATCGAACCTCTTGAAATTGTGCGAAATAGTGAATTTATTGTACAAACCTCTGAAATTGTAACAACAGAGGAAGTGAAAAATTGCATGAAGTCCTTAGCAGACACATTGAATAGGGAATTATTAATTGTAAACCAAGCAGTTTTTGGCCTGAAAGACAAATTGAGTGCCAAATTTGAACTCAAGACTCCTTTCACAATACTGTCCTCAACCAGTTTGGAAACTTGCAACATTGCTGTGGCACCTGAGATGATGCAAATCAAACCAGAAATTCACATCGAAAAGAGAAAACAAGAAGAAATGTTAAATTTCAGGTAAAAAAATCTTTTATTCTTCTTGTACTTGTTAATTTGTCTACATATTCTGCATTCAATTATTGATAAAAAAAGTTTTCTAGAAAGAAAGAGAACTCCTTAGATAAAAGAGCAATAATTTATAATTCAAAAAAGGCCCATTTGCCTCTTTGAGCCTCGATTGACTTGGTGTTCTAATGTGAATTTTTTTTATTAGTTCTTGGTCTCCGCTTTTCCACAAATTAAAAGAAAGTCTTTTGGCAAATACCAAAACACACTCTCGAGCTCCACTGGTAGTTTTGAAAGGGAAACCAGGATGTGGAGTGGGAGAGTTTCTTCATCAGTTTATCAGACAAATGTCTTCAGCACCCATGAAGATGCACGACCTAGCTTTAGACTGCAAGGCATTCAAAGGTAAATAAAAATTAATTTTTGTTTCAATCATTGATTCCGTCTTTGATCAGGAAAAACTATGGACACGTTAAAGAGCAAACTTAGTGATTTGTTTGTGGAGGCTGCCAAACATGATCCCTGCATAGTTATTTTTGAAAATATTGATCAATTTTTCCCTCCGCAAGCCAGCGAGCTTAACGAGTCCCCAGACTCTTCTTATAGGCTGGGGTAAATTAATATATAAAATCTACTAATGATATAATTAAAATAAATTTAGTGTTATTCAATTTATTTGGAATATGAGCCACTCGTTTAGTGCTCGTCATGGCTGCTTTGTCATAACTACTGTATCTGATCAAGATGTTAAAATTTGGGATGACAAAACTATTCCAGTTGATGTTTTCTGTGTTCCTGACCTCACATTGGTAATATAATATATAATTTTTTTTAGTTGATGAAGATCTTATAACTTTATAATTAATTTTATAGGAAGATAAAGTACAACTCCTAAGGCAGTGTCTTCAAAAGCTGGATGCAGATTGGACTGAAGATTTGAAAGCAAGTTGCTCTCAAATTTTAGAAATTTGTAGTTATCAAGATGTCTGTGATATTGCTGTTCGCGCTGTTTTTGAAAAACTAAAATCGAGTAGGTTCAATTAAATTTTACTTGAATTATGTAATTTTGGATTGACTTTTAAAGTCGCTGGAGGTGCAAGATATTCTTTGACAACATTGGACTTATCAAGCGCTAGAAACTACCTCACGTCTCAGAGTCTAAAAGAATTCAATTTACTTCGAATTGAAGATTCCAATAATTCCGCAGACGGCTTCGATAGGTGGTCAAAAGTTGGAGGACTCATTGGTGTGAAAGAAAAGCTGACAGAAATGATTTTTTGGCCATTCAACGTAAGTTTAATAATTTAAATAAGATATAATTTTTGGATTATTTAGGTTTTATCAAAAAAATTTAAATTTTAGTTCCCGCATCTATTTATGAGCAACCCTTTGAAACTTCAAAAGGGTGCACTTTTGTATGGAATGCCAGGGACGGGCAAAACGTTGATTGCGGTTGAATTGGCCAAATCAAGTGGGATGAATTTGATACATATCAAGGGACCAGAATTACTGAACAAATTTATTGGCGCCAGCGAAGAAGCTGTCAGGAATTTATTTTACAAGTATTTTTGTACAAGCCACTTTCTAAGCTTTTACTAAAGTTGCTTAAATTTAGGGCTTCAGCAGCAAAGCCTTGCATATTGTTTTTCGATGAAATCGACAGTTTGGCTCCCAGGTTTGTGACCATTTGAAAATCAACTTTGATCTATTATGCACCGCTTTTATTGATTTTGCCAAAATATTATTTAGGAGGGGCAGAGACACGACAGGAGTATCTGATAGAGTGGTAAATCAACTGCTGACTTCCCTTGATGGGGTAGATTCGCCCGTAGAGGCCGGTGTGTGGGTGTTGGCGGCCAGCAGCAGGCCGGATTTGATAGATCGCGCTCTTTTGCGTCCTGGTCGATTTGATACAATGCTGTACTGCAATCTACCAACTTTGGTATGTATTTCAATACTGAGGCTATTATCATAAATTGATTCAATTAAAATTAAATTATTAAGGACGAGAGACGCGAAATTTTAAGAATATTGTCCAGTGGGCTGGAAATTTCATGTGACACCAATTTAAATAAGCTGGCGGAAATGACTGATGGTTTTTGTGGAGCAGACATTCAAGTGAGTCATTCAAGCTCATACCATTCAGAAATTTGTATAAGCAATGCTTTGCAGGCCCTACTACAAACAGCACAGCTAGCCGCTTTGGAAGAGTTTGTGGATGTTGTAAGTTTTTGTTTTGAAAACATTCCTTTTTTAGAACTTCTTGTCTTTAGTTTTCAAATGAGATGTGCAACAAAGTCGAAGAGCAAGAATTTATAGTGAGCTGGAAGCACATGACGCATGCCTTGGAAAAAACAAGGCCTTCGCTAACTAAGAAAGAGAGGACGCGCTACGAGCTTATGTAAGGAAAAGTAACAATATTTGACTAGAGAAATTTAAATTTGAAAAAAAAAAATCAATTTTTAATTAAATGAGATTAAATTATTTCTAGATATAGGGAGTATGAGCAGTCCATGAAACCCATAGGCAGAGGGAAAAGAGCCCCAATTAAACAGAGGACGGTCCTGGCCTGATTCTGATGCGATTTTTCGGTGAGTCTCTGATATTTATTTTTGCTTTGAACAAATATGTAACTTCTACCGCACAACAATCAGCATATTCAAGTTTTGAATTTGATAAAAGACACGGCGGAAAGTTTCTCTTGCGCTCACTTACAATTAGTTCGCATCATCTGATTTGGCGAATTTAATAATGCAGTTTATTGTGCAAGTCAGAGTTGTGCGCTCATGTTATCGCTGCCGCGAGGGCATTACTCGTCTGTTTCTAATTATTGTCAGGAAACCAGTTGCTATCTACAAATAATTTTGAGCTGTGTTCAGCTCTTCGCGCATTTTAATGACTCGAGAGCGCTTTCCTGAACGGGAAAATTATTAAATTCACTCCGAGCACAAGTTTGTTTCGGTAATCGCGATTTGCACTTCTGTTTGTGATACAGTCTTGCGTCTTGGTAACGCAGCAAAATCCAAAATTTTATAAAAGGCAAACAGCCCGGGAACAATAAACAGCAGTGTCAAATTTTTATCAGCCGCGCCTGAGAAAATACGCTCGGATCTTTTATATCCGAGAGCCGAGATATAAATATATCTTTTTTCTGACTCTCTTTTCTGTTGCTCAAATAACAACACAATAGTTGTTTGCAAAGGAAACAAATAGATTTCATCGTCCCTTTCTCACTGTGCGGGTGTGTATCATCTCTCTCTACTTCGTTTGTATGAAACCACCCTCGCGCTCGCACCCTTTGTGAAAATATACGCGCGCATCACAATCCATATCACCCTCGCCAAGCAGACAAGAGCGCAGGCAATAGTAATAAACGCTGAGAAAATAATAGCGCCTCTTTTTGCTCCTTGATCCGATGATATTGCATATGAATCTGAAAATAGCTTGCAAAACTGAACACACAAATTTTTTTCTGTAAATTTAATTTAAAAATTATCAGTTTTAAAGCTGATGTTTTTTTTTATTTTTACACACTTTCACAAATTATATTTCAGTTCTTTGAATGTAATTTCATTTATTATTAAAGTTTATTGAAAAATTTGCTTCCGTTCGATTGTAGTTCTATTTTTCATTCAATCAAAAGCTTGGCTTTCTGGTCAAATGCCAAACCTGACTAATTTTCAACAAGTTTAGAAAAAAAATATGCATTTGTGGCAATTTCATTGTGATAATGCAATGGTTGCGTTTGCATTATCTGAATACAAGTTATGCACTCTTTGAAATTAAGAAAAATATTACCGGAAACTTTTTAACTTTTGTTTATTTTGAAGAAATATCTGCTGTTTTTGCAGATTTCTATAATTAGAACTTGATGATATTGTGAATTTTAAAATATTATTTTTATTGCACGTACTAGCACTATTCTTTGCTGCTTTATCTTTCAGGCAAAACAAAAGAATTTTTTTGCTACACAAGTACACACATTTGTAAATTTAATCACGTTTTCTAGAAGTTGTAGAGCAACTACTACAGAACTCCGTTTTTTAATCATGATGTAGATGAATATTGTTGTGAAACATCTGTGAAAAAAGTAGATTCTTTTTTATTCTGTCTGACAGTTTTCTCTTAATATTTTATAAATTTCCGTTTTGGTTTTCTGGATTTGTAAAGATAAATTAATGAAATTTCTCCCCACGGATTTTAAATATATAATAATCAACTGTAAAGTTATACTTTAATTTAGAAACTTTTTGTATGAATTCTTCTGTTGTTGACAGCTTCAGTTTTCTAATTTTTCCATTCTAATGTAAACTTTACAAAGAGTTAAAATATTTTCTAGAGGATATTGTAAACTATCTATTTCATTTATTCGATAGCAAATTTATCATGCAGGGTGTTTTTTTTCATTGGAACCAAACACAAATTCTTTATTCGCAGGGCCAAACAGACAAAAAGGTAGAAAGGGAAAAGCGAATTTCCCACAGTAATTTATCAGCCGTGCGCATAAACACGGACGGACGTGAAAAGAGCCTGCCAGTGTATTGGCACATATTATATTCATACAAACAAAGCGAAGGAAACTGGTCCATTGGAGGTCCACTTCGCGCCGGCCGGAAGGTACAGACCCTGCTTGTCCCTCCGCGCGCATTTGCTCTCAATTAAACGTGGCAAAGGAAAAGCGTTTTTCCGGTCGCAAAGTGTGATCGTGCACCGCCCCCGAAAAGAATAGGTAATTGCCACCATGCATTGTGGTCCATGTTGTGTGAGAGAGAGAGAGAGAGAGAGAGAGAGGCTGCGACAAAGGGAAAAGGGAAGATCGAGCTAGCGCGGCGCAAGTTCGGGGCGCAGACAAGTCGCAATAGGAGCGAGGGCGCGCGAATAAGAGGTGGAGCGTTGATTGGGCTGGCTCCGTGCAGTCTGCCTCCGTCTATCTCGGCTCCACTCTCGGACCGACCGGGAAAGAGTTTTGCGTGTTGTTCATTCGGGCATTAATCACATTGCCGGTTCTTCGAATTAATAAACAAAATGCCGCGGCTATTGTGCCACTGCCGGGCCTTTAGTGCTGCTGCACCACAACATTGTCACTGCTAGGCCCGCTCGCTTTCATGCCCGTCGCGTCCGTTCTCGTCACTGCTGGATACCCTGAACACTCGTCTAGGTAAATTTATCCAACCTTTCTTTAGTGACCTCTTTAATTGCTGGCCTAAAAATAGCGTAAAAATGTTTTTGAAAAATGTGAAAAGTACATTCAGGAATTTTTTTTTATGATTTTCGTTTCTTTTTTTCCTCAAATAACCTTGATTCAGGCAACTATTTGTTAGTTAGCTGCTAGATTAAATCCAATTTAATTTGGAAGAATAGAAAAACATTTATTTCATTATCTTGTCAATCTTTATCTTTTATATTTAAAATTATTTAAGAAGAAAAACAACGTTAACTACCTGAAAAGTGTTTAAGTCCGTTATTCAAATGAGCTAACAGCCAATTTTCATGTTTGAGTCAAGACAAGTCCTTTTGAAGTTTGCAATTTCGCAAATATTTATATTAATACTTTGCAAAACATAAGTTATTTTCTTGCATGCTATGATACTCTTGTATTTTTTAATAATATAAAAAGAAAAATCTTTGTAATTTTGTAATGCTAATGGTTTTATTGAAAAACTCAATGGAGTGAGATCGAAAAGTTTAACTTTATATTAACAAATTATGATTTTTTATTAAATTTTTCTCGTTTATTTTATATTTCAATTTTTTTTCATTAATTAATCTCATTACGTTTCTAGTATACCACAAAATAACACGATATTTCATTGCCATATTCTTTTTATTACCATGCGCAAATTGATATAAAATGTACTTTCCACATTAAAATATTTTTATTTTGAATCGGAACTATAACTATACTGCTAGTTCCCTGTGTCATTTCCAATTTTTTTAAATCACTCGTGCTGAATTGGATGAAAACAGCGCGTCTCTGGTTTCAATTTCCTATGTAAAATTGATCTTTTTTTTTCAATTCTGCTGAAAAACATCATGGGTTTGTGCCGTTCAAATTGATGAAATGTCCCCTCTGTGAGGCAAATTCCTGTCTTTTGTACAGCTTTTGCAAAAGCAAAAAATGCCCAGCGAAACGGCAAAACTTTTATTGAAAAAATATTTTACGGACACAAAATAATTTAGCAAATTTTTGCATCTAATTTCGTGGAAATTACTAAATTTTATAATATCGTTCACTTGCTTTCTGGTCATATTAAATAAAATAAACAATAATAATACTTGGAAAAAATCAAACTAGGAACGAGGGCGCGTTTTTTCAAATCAGTTGGCGCAAATCAACTTTTCGCAAGTGAAATGACAGGAAGTGCATCAGAAAAGGCAATAAATTTTGATTCGCATCTATCTCACTTGCACGTTTTGGACGTTTATGCATGGTAAAATGGCCTATTTTACTCGTAGGTATTTATTGTGCGCTTTCAGTGTTAAACAAAGGGGCAGGTTGACGCGTTCACAACGCAACTGAGCTTGTCCATCGTTTTGGTTTGTGACAAGCAATCTCTGCACATCCTCTGATGTTGTAATATGATATTAATTCCCATGAAAATTTCCATAGATATACAAAGAAAATAATAATAAATGAATTATTATTATAATTATTGAATTGAAAATATAATTCATTAAATTTATTGAAGATTTATGTGAGGTTATTATTAAAATTAGCACAATTCTATTAGTATTTTTTTCTTCTTCTTAATATCAAGATACCGTCTTTTAATTTGTTAATTTAAAATCTAGAAATATATTTTATGTAATTTGCGATAGTTATTAAAAGATTTTTGCTAATGATAAACCTCCAAGACACCAAGAATATTTTCAAAATTTTCCTAATGTTGTTTCTAAAATTTCTGATAGACTTTTTTATCTTTAATTTTAATTAATTTTTAAATAATAAATACTTATTTGCCAAGGTGTGCTTAATTTAAAGATGTGACAAACATCACATTAATCAAAAAGCACGGATCGTCTATCTATTCTCACCAACTGAAAAGGCATCAATAGAGGACAACAAAAGGACTGTCAATCTAGTTAGGCGCACCACGAACACAAACGCGGCCGTGTAACACGGAGAACACACAATAAAACGTGAAAACCAGCAATTATCAGTTCCGGTCGAAGAGACAAACGAGAGAAAAACACAGGCAGCGCGCGCATCAGATTGTTCCGATATCTATTGGGCGAGTGGAAATAAAAATGGGAAAATTTTGGTTGTTGGCAGGTGAGGGAGGATGATGCAGCCGAGCAGCAGGTCGGCCGAGGCCCTTTTCCAGCAGCAGCCCCGCTCGCCCCCTGACCACTGCCACCTGGTGTCCGTGGACTCGCCAGGGTCGCGAGACCAGGGTGCGTCCAACACGCACATCAAGCGGCCGATGAACGCGTTCATGGTGTGGTCGCGCGGCCAGCGGCGCCGCATGTCCCTCGAGCACCCCAAGATGCACAACTCGGAGATCAGCAAGCGGCTCGGATGCGAGTGGAAGTTGCTCAATGAAGCCGAAAAGCGGCCATTTATTGACGAGGCCAAGCGACTGAGGTAAGGCTCCATGCATGAACACCCTGTGTGTGCGTCGCACCCCTTTTTTGCCACCGACCGGTTTTGGTTTGATTATATGCCAATCCATATCATTGGAAAATTGAACGCAAAAATCTTCAAATTATTATATGCTGAAAATTGTTTTGTTTAAATATATATTTTCTTTTTTTTAAATATTTTTAATTAATTTTTAATATTCTATATGAAACTAGATTCACGGCATTCATGCATAAAATATAATGAAGAATAATTGTATTTTAATTCTTTCACTATCATAGTTTTATCTTAACAGATTATTTTTTATTTTAGAAGGACCAAAAATGATTTTTTTTTTTTTTTTTTAAATAAAATGTTGTTTATATTGGAAAAACAGCAAGTAAATTTTATTGAAAGTATTTCGCTGGTGGAATTTCCTATCAATTCTGATATAAGAAATAAAATTTGACAGGTTTTGTGGTAGTTTGATTTTTTGGCTTCAGAATTTTAGAATAATCTTTTTTTATAACAAAAATTACAGCTTCCTGTTATTTATAAAATTCATTAACTTAATCTGTCCAATTTCATTTCAAATGAATTTAACTTTAAAAGCTGTTAAACCTTTTTATTAAAATAAGGCTGGTTTGAAAAATTATAAAAAATTCATTCTGGTTTTCATTCCGCAAGTTATCAATTTGCTCAACAAAAAGGCTCTCATTGAAATTCATCTCACACGGCGTTGAAAAGAAGCGCTCAATTAATGGCGGATTTGGTATTCACTGTGTTTGAAAGGCGCTTGTTTTGCCAACAGCCAACCCTTTAGTCACATTTGCTGCAGGCATTCAGTGACGGTCGGTCGGTTTGCAGCGCTGAAAGAAGACAAGAGCGCACGCCAGAATGAGGTGCATCGAGCGAACGAGCGAGAGAGAGGAGCGCTAATCCTTCTTTTATTTCCATTGTGCCTGTATTTGTGACTTTTAATCGCATTAAATGTTATATCAGCACAGAACGGCATCCTCTCTCTCTCTCTCTCTCTCTCTCTCTCGCTCGCTCGCCGTATAATAATACAACACACTTGCCAGCCGACAAGCACATTTTAAACCGCGCGTCTGCACCATGAATATGCACCAACTTGACGTGCATTTTGTGCAATTAATGCAGTGAATTAATTTTCAATTAAAATTTGCATAATGGATTGACCTCACTTGCCTCTGCTACTTGCACCAAGCTAGAACTTTGCAAATCTTTTGCATGAAAATTCTAGTTAATTTGAGTTTGTTCCGACTTATTAAAGTAAAAGTACTGGAAATTTTTATTCAAGTTTCTTCATCCTACAAGTTTTTCATGCTTTTTATTTCCCATTGAGAGAAGGGATTACTTTAAAATTAGATTTATATACTTTGAGCTGCTCTATAATTAAAATCGATGGTTAATATTATTTTGACCTGTTTATAATAAAAAAAAAAACGAATTAAATGTAAATTTAAATAATTTTCAGAAAAATTTCCTGGTGGGATGTTGATTCATATAGCGTTTGAATTTAATATCTGCTTTTCCTCGACGGGGGTTTGTTTTTATTTGTTTCATTGAAAGAGAGCAGGACAGTGTTTTTTTTTCTAGGAAACAAAAAACGACTCAAAAACTCACTTTGGAAAAGCTGATTTTAAATTCAAAAACATTAAAATTAAATATTAATACTTTCCAGTTTTATTTTCAAATGAATCGATCATTTATTTATTTATTCTCGAAAATTTGATTGCTTATAATAAATTTTATTGAATTTAAGATTTCAAAAGAAATCATGTTAAATTCAGTGTTAACGAGTTCCCAGTCAAGCTAGAGAGGTTAAAGTACGTTGATTTTAATGGGAATTTTAATGATTGCTACAGATTTGACGAACACTAAAAGTGAATTCCTGATTTTTGTTGCAGGGCCCTTCACATGTCGGAGCACCCTGATTACAAGTACAGACCGCGACGGAAGCCAAAGAGCAACCTGAAGGCCAAAGACCACGGCTCAGGGTCGTCGGGAGGTCACCACAAATTTGGCAAACCGTGCGTCCCCTCCACTGCCACTCCTTCGGCCGCCAGTCCGTCAAGCTCAAACCAAAGACTCTCTTTCTACCCCTTCCAGAGCAACTTCCTGAACCCAGCCCTGGAGTCCTTCCACCACGCGGTGGTGCGCTCCTTCTTCCCCTTCCCCGCTCCCCCTCCCCTCTCCGAGATCTCAGCCGATTCAAGCAAATTGATCGAACAGCACAGGTTGCAGGGCCTCTTCCCCTACCAGCCTTCCCTGCCCTTCTACCCCCGCCTCTTTGACTCCTGCCTCGGCCGGGACAAGGAGGAGACGGATCGCAAGTCCCCTGACACACTGCCCTTGGCCCCACCCCTACACCCCAGCTGCCCCAGCAAGGTGCCCACAAAGTTCAGCAGCATTCCCGCCCTGTGCGCTCCGGTCTCCAAGTGCAGCGAGTGCGTTTCGGCCCGACCTTCTTTTGGTCTGGAGCAGGAGCCTCTGCGGATCGCCATCCCGAGGCCAATCGCCCTGTCGCTCCAGGTGCAGCCAAAAGACTCAACAACCCCTTCACCGTCAAATTCGGCATAGAAGTTACTCAATGGGTCACACAAGTATACGCCCAATGGACATTGTGAAGTGGCTTGTAAAAAAATAATTGTTGCTCCCTAATTATCAGAGGACATATCAGTGATTTTCAAATGTTTTTGTCTTGTTTAATGTGAATTACGATAGGAGGAGCGCGTCTCTTGATATATGGATCAAAGTAAAGCCAGGAGTATTAAATCTGCTGTAAACCATATTTGGATTATACGTTTTTATGAAATGTTTCAGGTTTAAGTCCCTTATCTGTGAGTTGTTGAAAATTAAATATACTCGGTAAGAAAAATTAAAATGTTTTGATCTTTTCACTTAAATATTCACTAATTGAAATTTTAAAATTTAGTTTTGCAAAGGGAAACATAAATTATTTTTATAACTTTTACAAAAATTTGTTCTCTTATTCAGTGCAAATCTTTGAAATTAACTTCAGAGATATTTTCAGGTTTTTTCCAGTCTGTCATTTTGAAGTACATTTTTTTGACTATTTGCTATCGAGTGTTCTTTCAATTTGGCAAAAAATTGCAGCGTGATTATGTGCAAGCGCTTGGTGCATTGTGCGAGATCGAATCAAGTGCGCTTATTGATTTATAATGCAGGGCTATTGTGCGGGACACGCTGCTAAAATTGATTGCATTGTCTGTGGCGGCGCGGGTCTATTATTTGTTAGCCAACCAACACAAAGAGATCATCAGCTAAAGTAACAAAAGGCGTGGCTTCTTTCTTTGTGTTTGCGCGTGTCCCACAATGGATCCTTCTTTATTCCCCGATACGAGCAGAGCGGAGGCGCGAGAGAGCGACGTTCTCTCTCTGCTTTGTCGTCGACTGGATGCTTTTACATATAAAACTGACTGAGTGTCTCTTATCGCATCGCCGACTTCTATTCACCCTGCCTGCCGCCCGCCGCTGTCGTCGCTCTGCCAGGCTTGTCATATTGACGCTGCCTCCACGATAATACAATTCCAAATAAAAATTTCCTTTTACACGAAAAACCATCCTTATAACCGCGTGCTTATCGCCACTCGGCGGCTCAAAAGGCTCATCATAGCGCAGGGTGCTCTTAAAAAGCACCGTGTTTAATGCAGATTTTCGCTGCTGTTCGCCGCAGATAAATGCCCGTCGACTCTTTTCACCCGCCACAAAAGCCTTTTGTGCACCTTTTTTACTCCCTGTTGTAAACACAGCAACATTGTTTCGGCCGGACCTCGTGTTATTTCCGACGACTGCAGATTCCTCGAGTATGCAACCTGTGCTACGCCACCGCTCAAACGGTTGCTTCTTCAGCCTGTAAAGACAACGGCGCGTCTTGATTTTTAATAAAAATTCAATTAAATCATCCAACACACGTCATTATTTATTTAAATAATTATATAGATTTTTTTCTAAAAATATTTTGGTATGAAAACCATAAAATTTGTCAATTGAAATTTTTAGAGCAGTGAATGTTAATTTAGTAATATTTTATTTATTTAAGATTGCAAAAAACTGCTCCCAAATTTGAATCCTTGACCGTGTTTTGAAAAATCGTAACAGCCCAAATTTATTCTTAAAAATATTAAAAATTATTAAATTTAAAAGTATGTGTTGTTATTTTTTATGGCTTTGAATACCATGCAGTCAGATCTCTGTTAAATCCATCTAAAATTTTATTTTAAATATTTTTTATAAATATTTTATTTTATTTTTATCGCAAAGCGAGATAAACATGCTTATTCTGTGAGGAGAGTAAGCTTGGCAGGTGAAAGTTGTTGGCTGCCAATAAAGCAAGCTGCAGCTTTATTGCAAGCTAGGATGTGTCAAGTGCAAAAGAGAAGCAAATGACCAAAGTTTCCGGAAGTAAAGGAACAGGAGCATGTTACGGGCAGTTCAAAGTTTCCATTGACACAGCAATCAAGGTGAAATCACGTGACCAGAGAGCAGGTCGTTAATACAGAATAAAATCCTCTGGTTTGGGAAGGAAAAAGAGAACCGGGGTCTTGGAGCAGTGTGTGATGTGTCCATCGGGAGAGTTTTGCATAATGTTTCCGTTTTTATGTGACTGTCACATACTAGATATAAAGATAGTACCGAATTATACGAAAATAACATCATAGCACATTAATGATGACTACTTAACTGAAACGCTTTTTCTTCCAGAATTAATAAATTAAAATTGCTAATACTGCATGCGTAATTGTTTTATTTCTAATGTTTTGCCTACAGAAGGTAATTTATTTTAGTCAAAGAATAAACCGCAGTTTTATTCAATTTAATTTGTAAAGAATGAATATTAGGAAATTTATGTTTCAGAAACAAGCTTTAAATGAAAATAAAATCTCTGTACAAGAACTAATTATTTTAAATATTATGCACAGATGAAATGATGATCAGTAATATTAAAGGCGCGGCGTTACTTCATAGGTTGGAAGCGCGTACGACCCCATGTAAACAATTGATGCTACAATTTGTACAAATTAATTAAAAAGTGCCACTTCTCTTGTACAATATTAGTGATTTTACTTTGCGCCTTCTATATACTGATGACGGTGTAAATTTTAATTTCGAGAACCGAATTTTTCCTGATTACCTCTCGAAAGCCTCTAAAGCTGCACGCGCAACGCCACTCGTTTCATACAATCTCAATTTAGGGGACATTTTTTGCTCAAACGTCGATCTGATGAAGGCAAAATAAAGGCGACATTTAGCGTGAACGTGGCTGTGTAAAATCCCGCCAATTCAAATATCGCCGTGCGCAGTCAATTCTTATGTAATGGCAGACAACCTAACACAAAATATAATATTTACATTTATCCTTAAATTTAAATCAAGAAATCCTAATGTTTTAATTTTAAAACAAATTTTAGCCACCGGAAATAAAATGATTTAAATTTATTATTTGTAATAAGATTTCAAGGCAAAATACCGCAAAATACCGTTTGGTTGCTTTTCTGATTTCCCCTTCTTCTCTTCTTCTCATAAGAACGGGGGATTGGGGTGGGGATTCACCTGTAGTGACTTCTGACTAATCTGACTTTGGTGTTGTTCTTGTGATATTTTCATAATATTTCAAAAATTTGCTAATTGTGACGTCGTTTTTTGGGTCGCAACACTTCTTAAAGACTCGCGGAGGTCCAAAAGCAGCGTTTTTTTTTCCAAAACAGTCCCAAAACAACCAAAAAGTTTCACACGATTGAGGTATTTACATGCATGCATAAAAACACACAATATTCATAACATGAAATACATTCTCGATTTTTGAACTAGAGAAGCTAATTTTTCGTAATTTCATTCCATCTTATTTTCCAGCATGGACAGCTTTTCCTTGGAAACTGAATGGCGTGGGTGGAACTTTTGGCAGAGGACAAAACCGGCCTGCACTCGGTGCTCGGCTCGATTGCGAATCTCATCCTTTTGTTTTCCATTGGCAAGTTTTATCTCAATTTTCACATTCTTTACCATTCTTGAAATCAAAGAACAATGGTAATTTTGGTTTTTAAACGTGCTCTACATAATATTATGGCTTCGGGCTGCTCTGTAGCCCTAATTTATAAGCTGTTTTTCATTTTGCCATATGAATGTACAGATTTACATAAATTTTCATTTCATCATTGATTTTTTTTTCAACATTTAATGTATAAATTTGTGTCTGAATCTCAATATTATTTAACAAGGGCATACCGCTTTACAATATGTACATAAAACAAAGCTCTGTGACCAAACTTTTTCAACAATAGAAAAATATTCCATGTGCTTCGATATTTTGAAAGTGTAATTGAAAACTTTATTGTCACAATTAATATTAATATAGTCCAATGAAATTGAAAATGTTGATTTTTTTCAAATGCACAATATATATTTTGGCTTTTGTCGCTGTAAGCACAACACTTGCACGCTTTTATGTGATATTGATTGTGAAAATATAGGGTTGATTATAACTTTTCATCTGCTGTCTGCAGGAACAGAAAACTGAGACGGGAATGCAAAGATCCTCCCTTGGATTCAAGGCTTACAGATCGTAATCATACCAGAGACTTGGATGGACTCATGCTGAGAATAAAGAACATGATTGAAAATTTGAAGGTAAAAAAAAAATCGATTTTTCATATTTTAGTTAACACAGCACTTCTTAAATTGTTATGCTCCTTTTTTGTCTGTTTGCTAATCTGATAATATAACAATTTTTTACATTGTGGAAATTGAATTTAAAATCCCTATGAAATCTGCAATCTTTATTGAAATCAATCACCATATAAATAAATAAACTTAATTGATTGAATTCCAGTGGCAGTCAATGAATCACAGGACCCATGCAGATATCAAAATTCAGCACTAGACCAGAGGGACTGTTTTGAAGAAATCCACCAATCAGGCAGGCAAACCTATCATCATCAGTGAGCAGCTGGAAAGCATCCGTGGAAATATTTTTGCCCTGGTCAGGATCAGTCAGCGCATGACATTCTCTAAGGTAGGATTTTTACTCAATATCCTTTTTTTATGGTTACCAAGTGCAGGGTTTTGCTGTGACGCCATATAATTTTATTTTTATTGATGACTTGGCACCAAATTGCACTATAAAAATTCTGTTCAGGGCCACTACTTTTGCAGTTCTATTAAGTTTGAATTATTGCGAACGTTAACAGAGAAGGATATAAGCTGCATTCTAATGCACAAAGTGTCTGTTTTAGTGAAACTAACTTTTACTTGTAATATGTATAAATCTGCGCAGTTTGGGTTATGGGTTGAAAATAACTGGTCACCAAAAGTGGCTTAAATTGATCCGTCTGGTATTTTTAGATGGATCCTGTAAACGCTATCAGACAAAATATTTGGCAATTTAAAGCCTTTTATTAGGGTTTTGCCTTCGTTTTGGATCCTCAGTTTGCAAACGTTCTTTATTTCTGATTATATTTATAATCGCATTCTTCCAATTAAAGTGCAAAAATTTATTTAATGTCTTTACATGCATTGCATCATTAAATGTTATGCAATAAAAAAATGATCAATTATGGTCAAACTGTTTGTAAAACAATCTTAATAATAATTTCCTTATTTGTAAAATTTGTTAGAGGCAACTGCTTTCTGCGAGCCAAAATCTCTTATTACCAATGTGTTTGGACTCAATTGAGTGGGAAAATGTACTTTTGAGCTTTAATCAGAGCAAAACGCCCGCATGTTAAAAAGATTTGTGAAGCGCAATACGTCATTCGTTATATAATACATAACTCCAGCCCTATTAGTAGGGTCAAACGTAACGCTGGTGTATCCCTCGGCTGTAAAGGGTGTTTTGGATGGGCACCAACGCCAATTCCCATCGCCAGCAATGTCAAATAAACCTGCCACCCCGTGAATGCCACCTATTAGATAAAACCATCACTTTACAAAGTATAATTATAACCAGATATTTTTAGTTTCAAAAGGAAGCACACTTAAAAAAATTTGTTAGTTTGAGAGAGGCTCTTGTAGATTGTAATTTAAAAAAAAATTACAAACCAAAAGCGTTGGAGACTTGCATGCATTTTAAAATGCTTGGAATTTCCAACGATCCCAATTTCATTCCAACTTCGGCACAAGCGCAAGTTAAATTTTGAGTGTTGTTATACTAAAAAAGTGCCATATTAAATTATTTTTCGATTTAGTGACTTTGATTTGATTACCGAGGCATACGTTCGATACCATTTTTTACCACACAATTGGTCGACTTCACCCAAAGTCGTATTGCATGTACCTGGTTATTATAAATATTTTATTTATTTATTTAAATTTATAATTTGATACCAGTGCAATCGCCAATTATCTTCTGCTTAATAGGCTTTTAAAATGATAAAAAAAAAATTAATAAAATTCGCTTATATTATGAAAATAGAAACGCGCACATCTAAGACACATGATACATTACTTGGGCACTGGCCTTGCAAAGACACAAAATCATTCTTAGGCGGCTGTCGGGAAAATGAATTAACATTTGACAAATCGTTATCCTGAATAAACCGTGGGCAGCGATTGATCGACGGCTGTGATAACTGCTCTCACAACATCCGGGGATTTGTCATAGCTGCATCTGATAATTTCTGCTGCCTTTTCGCATTCGTCCATACCATCTTGAAAATTTCGTTTTAAATTTCGTGCAACAAAAATTTTTATAACAAAACCTGGCGTGTTTCCACATTCAGTGGCAACTGCCACATTCTGTGATAGTTCGCTAATATTTCCCTGAGCCATATTCTCCAGAATCGCCAAAACTTGGCTGTCAATGTACACTCCGTTTACCATCTGCAACAATAATTAGAAATAATTTTGGCGTCTTTTTTATTCTGTGATATACCAATCCTGCTTGTTCTCCCATGCACCGCAAAAAGCACTGCCAAAAATATAAAAAGTGTCAAATGTCTCCTGTTAGAATATTATATTGGTATAAAATTTGCCTTCATTCGAATATCCAAGTTGTGAGTGTTATTTAGTAGTTGGTCAATCTCAACTGAAAGTGTTTCTGCTGTTACTTTTCCTTCTTTTTATCCATAATGGTTCACAATAATATAAACAATTTTTCCTCCACATCACTGATGGTTTCTTAAAACTATATGATTGTCTTTTCACTTAAAAAAAAAATATTCGTAGAGATAAATTTAAAGATTCATGCTTCCATTTCCTCCTAAAATTCTCATACATTCACCTCCCTGACGTTATGATCACCTCGGACTGAAATATTGAAGACAATGAACAAAAAAAAAATCATTTTCTCACTCTGGCTAACGTTGTAAGTAAAGGCGCATTCATTGCTGGCAGTTGTTCCGGCTGTGTTATTTGTTGTTGCATCAGATCCCTTAGATTTCATTCGTTTAAATTTTTATATATAGAAATTCAAATTATATTTAAACCTCGCATATAAATCTCATTATCTTCCTCTCCTCAAAATCAAACAACCGTGCGTAACTGGCATTTACATAAACTGCAACAGCGTTCTCGATGCCGCCCGCGTTGTCCGGCTGACCTGGTTCCCAGCGAGCATTTCCTCCAAAGGGCTTCTGGACTGCTAAGAAACCGAATTTCCCGTCGCTCGCCGTTTTAATCCCGGATGTCCAAAAATAATCTCCATCCGCTCCTAACGCTAAAGGTCATTCAATAGTTATATTAGCGGCTATTAGATTAATTAATATCATTTTTTGCATATTACGGGACCGTATTTTACCTCCTTACTTTTAATTGCGTTAATCAATGCTTCGTATTTGATTGTCAGGTCAAAACTGAGTAGGCTCATTCCAATACTGCAACATTCCTTAATAGCCCCTGCGTACTAGATATTAATTATTTGTTTTTATCCAATTTATCTGTAAAAAGCACAAACTTATCGTACAGTCTGTGTGACGCTACGATAGCTGAACATATACACGCGCCCGTTCAACCTAATCCAACTTCCGATGTAGCTGCGTCCTTAAAAAAATAATTCACCATTATTGAATTCGACACCATAAATTAAACCAACTGATTAAAAACGGCTGTTTTTTAATGGTGATAAATTTTGTTGTCTGTAAAAAATATATTTATTTTATATGTAATATTCGAAAAATTCATAATTAAGCACAAACATTCATCAAGCAAGGTATAATTGGGTAGATGGGTGTTGGAAACTTTGGAGACAAAATTAGGGGACCCTGTGGTGAAACAGAAATTATCAATACGCTTAAACAAACATATTTTCACATGCCTGGCAAGCTAGGAAATATTTATCGGTACACATTTGATCTGAAAGGGTCAATACATAATTCAATTTGTACGCGTTGAGTTGCAGGCAGTTTTGGTTTCCGTTTAAGTTGTCTGGCTGCATGTTGGCCCATAGATTCTTGGCCTCACTAACCGCCAATGAACCGTTTTTCAAACACCACGAGAAGCTCGTTGCGTTGACACGTTGGGCCGACGTCCAAAGTTGTGAAGGATATTTCCATTTGGGAACTTTTCATTATGATAACTTGTTTAGATGCCATTATTTAAAAAAAAGAACATTAACTTAGACTGTTATAAAAACAGTTTTGTTTGGTGGAATTTTCAAAAGCTATCGGTTCCATGCCAATTTTGTAGCAATTGATAAAATTTTCCGTCCAGTGCACCTATTTTTCATAGCGTATTTAAATGCACAAAATTATTTAAAATGAAAATACCAATGACCTTCCAAATAAATACTGCTGGCCACAAGCTTCTACCCAAAATCCATATTGTGAAGCATCTGTAGTCAAAATTTTATTATGAATATGCTAATTAAAATGCTGATTCTTATTAAAAAACTTTTTAATGTCCCGTCAGGTAAAAAAGCTGTAGGCTTTGGTTTTTAAAAAGAAATAAAAAAATAAACAGTACATTAGATAACAAAAAAGTTTTCTAGTAAAATTTATACGTCTTTTGCGTAGGATGTGTTGCAGTTTCCTTTCAGGAGCTCCTGCTTTCATTTATAAACGGATACGTTAAAACTATTTAACTCTTATGTTACCGTTTTCTCTGCAAGGGACATAGTTGTTGTTGTCTGCATAGCTGTAGTGGTGTCGGGTTTTGTTGAAACAGTTGTTTCGGTAGTTACGGCAGGACTACCAGTAGTAATTGATATTTTTGATGATGTGAAAATGCTCACCACACTGGCCGGCATTAAATTTGCAATTGGAACTGTTATTATACGTTCAGTGGGTATGGTAATGTCAGTGATTTTGGATGACGTGGATTCGCTCGCTGCCCTCACTATGTTAGCAGAACTCAAAAGCGATTCTACCAAAGTTGTTGAGGGTGTCTCAGTAATTCCTAGCCCAACAGAAGATGTCTCAGCATCAGAAACTGAGACACTTGATGACGATGAATCAATCATGGTAAATCTTTTTGCGTCCTCGGTTATTGTTTTAACAGGCGTTGAAAAAGTTTCAGTCATTTTTTCAGGGCCAGATTCACTTTTTGATAAATCATTATAAATGCACAGTATGATCAGTTTTAATATCCTTGAATCATTAATAAAATTTACACGGAATTATAATCCATTATAATTGTTGATTTGGATTCTACATAATCATGTATAGTCCCCGTTGTCTTCTAATATTTTAATTTTATCAAATTATATCAAGGATGCGTGCGTAATATATTAGTTTCAAGAACTTACACGATTGCTCTTGACGACCGTTGAATTGAAGAGTGGTACTTTGGTTTTTGAAGAAACGTAACATGATTTTTTCCCGCAGCACTTTATTATGCTTATTCTTCTGAAGGCCGTGGTCTTTCCTATTATATTATATGGTTTAAGGCCTCCTTATTGACATAGTCAAATCAAGTCTTTACAACAAATGAGCCATTTAATCAATTATTGGAAAACAATTAGAAATTTTAACCACCATTCCTGTAAAGACTGGATTTGACTATTTCAATAATATTTCTAAAATCGTTGCCATTATTTAGTTTTTATTTTAAAATAAATGATTTTCAGCATTTGAATGTAAACAATTTATTTGCAACAATGTGGACATATAAACAACAATAAGATAATGAGCAAAATAAATTCTGATATATACCCCTTCTGGTGTGAGCGGTTGGCTTCATTGGGACATGTGGGACTTTTGGGAAGGAGACAGAAAGTGATGTCAACTAAAAGTAATTTTACATATCTAATAATTTGAATATAGATAAGAATGAATAAAGTTACAAATACAATCGCAGCAAATGAAGTCAGCACAATAGTGTGCATGTTGGAGGCAAATGTAACAAAATATCAGTGCCATGGAGAGCGACTGGAAAATAATCATAAATTAATTATATGTTTCCGTCGCAATGCGCACTGATGTTTGGCTTTTGATCGGAAATGGAAAATATTCTGCAAAAATTACAGTATGTGTTTCAAAGACCATAATTTTCTAACTTTAAAAATCAGATATTTCTGTATAAAATTTTAGTTACAGAGCTGCAGAGTATATAAATTTAATGTTATTTATTAATGGCTTAAAATGGTAAAATTAGACAAAAATAATTCTTTTAATATTGTAATTTTTTTATTCAAATGTTCACGTTGACGATAATAATGCTGGGCCGTTTTCATTTGATAATCGCAAGTATTGGAGCCGCTTGTCGATCGATAAAACTACAATCACAAGCAATTATATTCTGTGGAAAATGAATGGTTTTGATTTCACCGTAATCAATTATCTTTCCACTTCTACGTACGCTAACTTTTCAGAGTTATTTTACAATGATTATTTATTAGTATGACGCACATATTGACGCAGAGGACATGATGTGGCAACTGTGGTTTTTATTCTTTCATTTTATTTCAAAATTTTATTTTTAGAGGCCAATCTTAGAAGTTACGAATTTTTTTTATATTTTAATTATTATAATTTTATGCATCGGCAATAGTTCATATCTTTATCTATCAACATTTACTTATCTGCATTAATAAATCAAGAGTCTAAAGGTCACATAATGAATATTCCTCACTATTCCCCTACATAAATTTTTCTTCTGCAGAATTATATGTTTCCGCCAGCAATGTGCACTGATGATTGACCTTTGATCGGAAAACTAGAAAAGCTGCAAACAAAAGAACCTTAATAATTATACTGTAATAATTTGAAAATTGTATACTATGTAAGCATCAAAGCAAGATTATTAAATTTGTTGTAATAGGAAAAATTAAATTAATGTGCATAAGTAAATTTGTTGGACATTTATTTGGGTTTATTGATGAGCATTTTTTACTGTTTTGTTTGGTAATTATCACGATTGGAGCCGGATGGCGAGCAAACATCAACCGCAAACTTTTTTCTGTGGAAAATTGCTCATTTTTTTATATTCATCGTACCAATTAACTTTCCAATTCTACGTAGGCAAATGTTTTAATAATAATTTAGAGTAATTATCAATGTGACGCATGTAGTTTGACGCAGAGGAAATGATGTGGGAACTGGTTTGGGTCCAGTTACAACTATTTTCTTTAAACTGAAATAAATTTTGGTCAATCTTTAATCATGGTATAGTTAAAATTAATTAGTTTATTTAAATTATGCATAATAAATATCATCTTCTTAGGAGATTTCATTAATCCTCATTGCAGATTTTCCACAATAACATTTAACATCAAAAACATAAATAGATGTTATAATAGTTGCAGTTCTCAATTTATGATTAAAAGTTATTTATTGACTCACGTACCATCAGTGGGTATTTGTGTGTTCATATTTTAGACAAATGCCTTAAATTTGGTGTGATAAAAAAATTATATTATTTATCGGCAGGCACAATGGAGACAGCTGATGAGTCAAAAAAAGAGAGGTTGAAATGTAGCAAATAATGCAAATAAAATGCTCTGTCTCTTGAATATGCGTCCTTTGTGCCGAAGAAGAATGAGGAGGCGGACGTGTGAGAGGCGCGAATAGGGATGGGATGTACACAAATGTATTCCTGCCTTAACATGGGGAGGCTCATTTGATGATACAGTGCGCGGGTTATTTTACAAAAATTATAAGTATCATTAGTATGACGCACAGTTTGATGCAGAGGAAATGATGTGGCAACTGTGATTTGGATTCTTTGATTTTATTTCAAAATTTTATTTTTAGAGGCCAATCTTTGAAATTACAAAAAATTTGTTGATTTTTATGATTTTTATTTAATGTTATACATAGAGAATAAATAATATCTTTATCTATCACAGATTTATCAATATTTACTTATCTGCATATAAATAAAGTTTATAAAGGTCTCATAATGGTTATTCCTAACCATTCCCCGACAAATGTTTTCCTCAAATAAGGTACTTTTTGAAAAGATTATGTTTTTAGATTTTCAAAGTACAATTATTCTTTGTTTCTGATTTTGATTATATTTAAAATCACATTCTCCGAATTCAAGCAAAAGAACATTGTATTTCTTGGTGTTACAAGCATTGCATCTTTAAAATTTATTATCATTTGAAATCTAATAAACAATATAATAGTATTAGGATTTTCACTTTTGTGACCGACGAGCGGCATCTGACAAACTTATCTCATTATTAGTATAGTACATTCAAACAGATGGTAGAATCCAATAGCACATCCGCATTTTCCGCATTCACAACTGTCTATTTTATTTGTGTGATAGCTTTTAAAATAAAGTGAAACCCATGAATTGGCATATCATGTCATTAAAGTGACTATTTTCAAAACAAGATGCTTTCCAGCGCGAGTTGACCATTGCGGGGGAATTATGATCATTTTCAGCAATTTTATAAAGTTGACTATTATCAATAAATTTTAAATAGCTCTCAGTTTCTGTCAGCTCATATTTTTCATCCAGTCAAAGATACAAAGCTTGGAGTTGGCCAGTTCATAGACTAATCTAGATTTTGAGTGCATTGAGACTTGCAAGGCCTGCTTGAGGAATCAGCATTTAGCTTTCTTGAGTTGAATTTAGTCACTTCATTTTAAATAGGACCAGATTGATTTGATTCCGTAACTCGCAATAGGCTTGATTGTCAGCTCAAATGAGTGCAGTATTCAGTGAGGAAATTTAAGCAAAAAAGGAAGCTTAAATTCTATGCAAGGAAAATTTCTATGGTCAAACCATAGTTAAGTACACATTCAAAGTTGAAATTCATATCTGTAGAATGGAATTTCGGCCATCCCTCAATAAATTAATTGAGTTTGAGATTCTTTTTCTTTCTTATTCCTATCCGTCTGGCCACTCTGGCCTCTGCTAAATTTTAAGTGCCGATAATATAACGGTCGTCTTTGGACCCACTGGGCCATTTTCTGGTGTTTATAATTTAATAAAAACTACGCTTCCCACAGTTCCCACGTTTAGAAAATAACGAATCTACCTATTATAACCTATTATAATTTAAGTTTTAAATTTCAAAATTATTGTTGTAATTTTTTAAATAATTTCAACATCTTTTGATAAAAAGCAGCTTAAAAATGTAGAGCAGATTTTTTTCTTTCTGCAATTAAAAACCGCTCCAATTCTGTAAGAGGAATTTACCATTCTATTTCAGCCTTACAGAATTAGAACCCTGCAGAAAAAAATTGAAATCGTTTAATTGTAAGTGGAATAGATTTTCCCATTATAATTTTGAATAACAACTGGCAATATGGATTTCTTAATATTCATAAATAAAGTTCATACAAATTTGTTTGAAAATAGTGATAGGATTCAGAGAAATATAAAACAAAAACGTGCAGACACAATTATATAAGAGTATCTAAGTTACGATTTAACCTGAAACTTTAAATTATCCAAGGTCCGAATTTTACCACCAAAAGTTTGAATAGAATATATTTTAGTATCCCCCTATCATCGATTTCGCAAAATTCTGATGTTTTTGCATTACATTTTTTTGCAGAATTATGGCCTCAACACAACGCAAATGTGCCAATTATATTGTTAAATTCCAATATAGTCCCTTCAGCGGCTACAAGTTTCACTCTCATAACAATAATTTAAAATTCTTTAAAAAAGTTTCCACATTTGCTTGAGAGTTGAGACCTTTGTGACGTGCTCCGAGCGTGGCTCACAAAAATATCTTATTTAACAATAATGTTTTGACGATGCGTCGCGTTGGGACCATAATGATGCACATTTGGGGTTTAATCAGTGCAAAACGCACGCAAGAAAAAAGTATTGGTAAAGCGCAATGCGTCATTCTTTGTAGCATAATACATAACTCCTGCCCTATTAGTAGGGTCAAATGTAACGCTGGAGTAGCCTTCCGCTGAAAAGGGTGTGTTGGATGGGCACCAACGCCAATTCCCATCGCCAGCAATGTCAAATAAACCTGCCACCCCGTTTATGCCACCTAGATAAATTCACTATTTAGAAAATTATTAACCAGACGTGGCACGCTCCCACTTATTTTATAGTTTAATTATAGACTTATTATGTAAGCATCTTTAAAAATGGGTGAATATGATGCAATAAAATTTAATTTGTTAGTTTACGGAGGAATTTCTAGGCTATGATTTCTGAAAATTTACATACCAAAAGCGGTAGCGTTTTGCATGCACTTTAAAATACTTGGAGTTTCCATTGATCCAAATTTCATTCCCACTTCAGCGCAGGCACAAGTCAAGTCTTGTGTACTGGCATACTTAAAAGCCACCAATAAACTTTTTTATATAATTATAGCGATTTAAATACCTGTAAAGTTGTTCGAAACCATTTTTTACCACAAACATGGTAAACTATTCCAATATTCACATTGCATTGGCCTATAGTTATTATTGAAAATTTGCAATCCATTAAAGCAATATAATTAAAAAAAAATACCATCTGTGCAATTGGCGACAATTTTCTGCAAAGCAGCCTTTAAAAATTGAAAAAGAAAAGTTATCTCTTGTATTTTTTTTTTCAAATTTAAGAACGCACATTTAATACGCATGTTGCAGTACTTGGGCATTGGCCTTGCATAGAAACAAAATCAATGGTAGGCGGCTATTGTAAAAAAATTATGTTTAACGTTTTTGATAAAGTTTTGGAATAAACCCGGGGCAGCGATCGATCGACGGCTGAGATCACTCCTCTCACAACATCGGGGGATTTGTCGTAGCTGCATCTTATAATTTCTGCAGCTACATCGCATTCGTCCATGCCCTCTGAAAATTACAAGTTTCTATATGGATTAAAAAAACATACAAATCAATATTTATGCCTGGTGTTATTCCGCATTCAGTGGCAACTGCCACATTCTGTGATAATTCACTAATATTTCCCTGAGCCATAGTCTCCAGAATTGCTAAAACTTGACTGTCAATGTACACCCCGTTAACCATCTAAAACGATCACTAGAATTAATTTTGGCGTCTCTTTTATTCTGTGTTATACCAATCCTGCTTGTTCTCCCATGCACCGCAAAAAGCACTGCCAAAAATATAAAAAGAGTGTCAACTCTCTTCTGTTTGAATTATACAGATTTTGTGTAAATTTTGCCTTCAATCGAATATCTAGTTTGTAGGTGTTGTTTAAAAGTTGGTCAATCTCAACTGTAAATTATTAATTTTATTGTTTTTTATCTCCATATAATTCACAACAATGGAAAATTCTCTTTCTGCGTCACTAGTTTGTGATAATTCTGATTGTCTTTTCACATAAAATCGTCATGATCAGTTACCGTAACCGCAGTACGGATAATACTCACAATACTACAATGAAACACAAACAATAAAAAAAAAAACAACAATAGAAATCATTGTAACAAAAATATTAAAATCAATTTTTCTGTTCTTTCTCGATCTTAAATTTTGCATTAATTATCCTTCTTGAATATATTGGGTCATTTAAGTTGCACATTATTTGACACTAGAATCCAAAGGCAAGACAAAACCGATCATTTTCTTACTTTGGCTAACGTTGTAAGTAAAGGCGCATTCATTGCTGGCAGTTGTTCCGGCTGTGTTATTTGTTGTTGCATCAGAACCCTAGATTTCATTCGTTTAAAATTTTTACAGAATTCAAATTGTATATTTAAACCTCGCATATGTATCTCAAAATCTTCTTCTCGTGAAAATCATACAAACGTGCAGAAGAGGCATTTACATAAACTGCAACAGCGTTCTCGATGCCGCCCGCGTTGTCCGGCTGACCTGGTTCCCAGCGAGCATTTTTTCCTAAGGGCTTCTGGACTGCCAGGAAACCAAATTGCCCCTCGCTCCCTGTTTCAATCCCTGATGTCCAAAAATAATCTCCGTCCAGTCCAAACGCTAATATTCATTGATAAAATAATTATAACGGTTATCAGATTATTTTTTTTCGAGCGTGCTGGCAGAACATGGCTTTGCTTTCTTACTTTTTATTGCATTAATCAATGCTTCATATTTAAAGGTCATGTCAAGACTAATAAGACGCATGCCAATACTGCAACATTCTTGAATAGCCCCCGCAAACTAGAGTGTATTCATTTATTTTAATCAGATTTGTCTGTAATGTCTCGATGCTCGATGTCCTACAGTTTGATTAACAGTTTGATAGCTGACCATATACACGTGCCCATTCAACGTGATCCAACTTCCAATGTAGCTGCGTCCTTAAAAATTATTTACTTTTATTGAATTCAAGGCTTTTAAGTAAATAAACCAACTTATCAAAAACGGCCGGTTTTTAACGGTTTTAAACATTGTTTTCTGTTATAAATTTATAAGTTGTAATATGATTCAAAAATATCCCTCTAACAAAGCACATACATTTATCGCACAAGAAATATTTGGGTATATCGGTTTTAGAGAAGAAGTTGGGGGACCCTGTGACAAAAAGGAAATTAATTGGACGATTATACATAAAATATTTCTATGATACCTGGCAAGCTAAAAAATATTTTTCGGTACACATTTGATCTGAAAGGATCATTGAGATATTCGACTTGAGCACGCTGAGTTGAAGGCAGTTTTGGTTTCCGTTTAAGTTGTCTGGTTGCCTACTAGCCCAAAGACTTGCACCCCTGGCAAACGTGACAGCCAGGGATCCTTTTTTTGAACACCACGAGAAACTCGTTGAATTGACACGTCGAGCCGACGTCCAAATTTTTGAAGGGTAGTTCCATTTGGAAACTTTGTTCGTTTAGATGTCATTTTGTAAAAAAGAAAAAATAATAAAAATAATATTATCTACCTATATTGCTGAGAAAACAGCTTTGTTTGGTTGAATTTTCTAGAGCTATCGGCTCCAAGCCGATTTTAAAGCAATTAATAAAATTTTCCGTCCAGTGCACCTATTTTATGTGGCTTATTTAAAAAGCACAACATTCTTTAAATTAAAATTACCAACGACCTTCCAAATAAAAATTGCTGGCCACAATCTTCTACCCAAAATCCATATTGAGAAGCATCTACTGTCACGATTTTTAATAAATTACTCAAAATAAAATTTTAGTTTTCATTAAAAAGACTTCTTAATGTCCCATCAGACGAAAAAGCGGTAGTCTTAAAAAAAAAAAAAAACGTTTAAATTAATATTAAATCTTAAGTGAATGTTATACGTCTTTTGCATAGGATGTATTGCAAACTCCTTTCAGGAGCTCCTGCATGCATTTTTTAATAGTAACTTCAAAAAAATTTTTATTCCAATTTTACCGTTTTCTCAGCAAGTAACATAATTGTTGTTGCTGTTCGCATAGTTGTAGGGTTCGATCTCATTGAAACAGGTGCTATAGTAGTTACGGTAGGTATGGTAGTAGTAACCAATGTTTTAGAAGTTGTGGGATTGCTTGTCGCAATGGCCGTTATTGTTGTTACTTGCATTATTGTGGTACTGCTCGCTTTTGTTGAAGCAGTTGTTATGGTAGTTATGGCAGGAATACCAGTTGTAATTCTAATTTGGGATGGAGTGAAATCGCTCGCCATATTACCCGTTATTGTTGAAAAATGCGTAGTTGTCGCTGTGTTCGCTGTATTTGAAATAGTTACAACAGGACCACCATAATTTATTAAGGTTGTGGATGACATGGCCAATTTGCCCGTTAGCAAATTGGAAATTGGCATTTTAGCTGTAGTGATCACTCTTGTTAAAGTAGTTGATACGGCAGGAATTAAAATTTCGGACGATGTGGAAATGGTCGCAGCATTGGCCGTCAATGTTAAAACTTGCATAGTTGTAGTACTTGCTTTTGTTGGAATAGTTTTTGCGACAGTCACGACAAGACTACCAGAAGTAATTTTAGCGCTTGCTATATTTGCCGTTGCTGTTGTTTCCATGTTCATTAGGGGTACAGTAATTTTTTGTGAAGTGGACTCGCCCTCAGCCTCCATAATTTTATCAGCAGAACTCAAAAGGAATTCTACCAAAGTTGTTGAGGGTGATTTGGTAGGTCCTAACTCAACAGGATGTGGCTCAGCATCAGAAAATGAGACACTTGGTGCCAATGATTCCTCAATGGTAATACCTTTTGCGTTCTCGGTAGTTGTTATATCAGGGGTAGATAAACTAATATACATGTCAGTGCCTTTTTTAGTCCATTCGTCAGGGGCAGATGTCCTTTAAATGTATTATTTTATTTAAAAAAAATCCGTTTTATCTTAAATTAAATTTACATTGAATTATAATCCATTGTTGTTTGAATTGATTTCGATTCAACATGATCTTTTATTGCCGTTTCCTTCTTGTATTGAAATTTTTCCATTTCAATTAATAGACGAATTAATGCTGTAAATTAAGTTCAAAGTACTTACAGTTAGTGTGGTTGGATTGTTCTTGATGACCGTTGACTTAAAATTTTTAACATTGGTTGTAGAGGAAATGTTACACGTTTTTTTCTGGCAGCACTTAAGTATGCGAACTCTCCTGATGGCCTTATTCTTTACTGCATATTATTTGATTAAATATTTATATTAGTGTTTGCCTCATTTTATTATTTTCCTCATAACATTGAATTCTGATACATTTTGATATACCTCTTCTGATGTGCAACACTGGGGCAAGTGGGACTTTTGGGAAAGAGACAGAAAGTGTTGTAAACTGAAATTAATTTCATTCACCTATTAATTTGAATAAAAAAATATAGAAAATAATCAAAAGATACAAATACAATCGCTGCAAATAGAGCCAGTACAACGTTCTGCATTTTGTAGACGAATGTTGAAAAATTTTAATGATGGTGAGAGCAAATTGGAAAAAACTCGCTTGAAATTAATTACAAGTTTCCGCCAGCAATGCGAACCAACGTTTGGCTTTTGATCGGAAATGGAGAAAAAATACAGTCCCTTATTATAAGACTAACTGTTTGAAATTGTATAATAAAATGTAAGACAAGGTATATATTTATTTATTTGAGCGAAAAAAGTAAAATAAAGTCCTTATGCAATTTTTGTTTCAAATGTTCGCCCTGGAGATAATGCCATCTAATTATGGTTACTTGATGAGCATATTACTTGATAATTATGAGTATTGGAGCCGGATGTCGATCGAGCAAACTACAATCATGAGCAATTATTCTGTGGGAAATGAATGGTTTTGATTTCACCGTAACCAATTATCTTTCCACTCTAACGTACACGAACTTTTCAAAGTTACTTTAAAATAATTATTTATCAGTATGACGTACAGTTTGACGCAGAGGAAATGATGTGGCAACTGTAGTTTGGATTCTTTCATTTTATTATCATTGTTTATTCTTCACAAAGTAGTCATACATGAAATCAGAAACAAAATATGTGAGGAAACGGCAGCATTATTTCATATTATTTAATTTTAGAGGCCAATCTTAGAAGTTACAAAAAATTAGTTTATTTTTATTGTAATAAGATGCAAAGAAAATAATTAATATTTATTATTATTATTTACTCTTCTCGGTGAATAAAAAAATTTTAAATTACAACATGAAAACTTTAAAACTATTTTCCTTTCAAGATTTAAGACTCATCTGCAGATTTATGTTCATAATCATCATAAATATAACTGGATTTTTGAAATAATTTGCAATGCAACAAATATCACAGTTCACAGTACTGCACTGTCATAATATATATTATTGATTGAAATTCTCAATTTCAATATTTTAAAAATTTCTTCATCGGCAGGCACAATGGAGACAGCTGATGAGTCAAAAAAAGAAAAGCTGAAATGTAGCAAATGCAAATAAAATGATCTCGTCTATAGCTCTGTCTCTTGAATGCGTCCTTTGTGCCGAAGAAGAATGAGGAGGCGGACGTGTGAGAGGCGCGAAATAGGGATGGGATGTACACAAATGTATTCCCTGCCTTAACATGGGGAGGCTCATTTGATGATACAGTGCGCGGCCTGCGAGTGCATGACCAGAATAATTTCCAAGTCTTTCTTCGTCGAACAAGAGGGAAAGAGCAACAATCAGCGTGCGAAATTTGCACAAAAGAGAGGCAATCGACACGCCGGCCGCCTTTTTATCTGCGCGCCTACCCCTTTTCGGCGCTGGATTGATACACACAAATCCCGGCCAGCGTGAAAAGCTTGTTAATGCAGCTTTTTAGTTTTCCGTCTCTTTCACTCTCGATTCCCCCTGCAAAGTTCACGCGCGACATGAATAGCCGGTTTTGTGCACAAATTTTCTCTTTTCTTTCGCGAGACGCCGACGCAAATTAGCATTCGTAATAAAAGCGCGAGTTGGGGAGAGCAAATGAGCCGGGACAGAGCAAACCGTTCAAAACTGACAAAGTTGGTAAATAAAACTCGCAATTAAGGTATATTAACTAGCAAGTGTGCGATAAAGATGAATTTAAAAGCTGCAGAACTCTTTTGACTTAAAATTATAGTAACTTGTGACAAATCGCCTTTACGTGCGGATTCTCAAAACACGAAAACACAAAAATTAAAAAACACGTTTCTCGAGTCTGATCGTGCCATTCTAGGGAAAACTGATGGTCCAATTATGTAAAAAAATCCAATTGCATTTTATAAGTGCGAATACAAGTAAATTTTATTATTATTTTGGCAGATTTATCCCAACTAAATATAGAATTTTTTCTTTTTAGGTATAGTATAGCCCATGCGAAGTCAATTAAATTTTCATGTGTTTTCATGTATTTGCTTAACTTTTTGCCAGTATAATTTGCGTACTGGACCATAACAATGATACCACATTTTTTTGCCACTCGACTGGAACAAATAAAGGAAGTGAGCAGTGTTATCTTCATAATTATTTTGTTCATTATAATTTGTAGAGCAAAATAGTGGTAAATATGTTTTTACCTTAATGTTTATTTTCATGCAGCAATAACGCAGGGACTAATATCAAAAATAATTGACTATCTATTAATTTTATTCTTTTGTCATGATCTATAAGATTCATTTAAAAAAGGGATTTCGCTTTTAATTATCTTTGATTTCAAATTAAGATAAGACAATCAAAATCTTTGATATGTACACATGTTCAATTCTTCAACCGAGTAAAACAAAAACTTATATAATATGCTCCGTAAGTATCCCATCCTAATAATTATCCGAGTCAGTCTTTGACCACAAGTGCAGCAGGAAAAATTTAGTAAGCTCAAATCTTAAGGTTCGCTACTGAACTTTTTTTATTCACAAAAATTGTCGTCAAACGCAAAATAAGGCAAAAAAAAAATCATCTGGATACGCCATCTAATAGAGGGATGAGTGAAAGGGGGATGAAAAGAATTTTGTATAGATTCTAATGAAGCGAGCGATGCAGGAACAA